ACCGAGACTACAGTAAATTTGATCCTATAAAGTTTCGCAGTGACCTTAGCAGCAATCTAGCTAAGAGCAGCGAAGCATACTCTGAATATGAAAATTTTAATTCTGTAGTCGAAGAAGTTCTGAATAACCATGTACCTCTAAAACAGAAATATTTACGCGCAAATGATGCACCCTTCATGACGAAAACTTTAAGAAAGGCAATTATGCTCCGTTCACAGTTACGTAACAGATTAAACAGGCATAATACTTCTGAAAACTGGAACGCTTTTAAAAAGCAAAGAAATAGGTGTGTGAAAATTCTGCGACAAGCAAAAACATCATATTATGGTAACCTTGATATGAATTCTGTCACTGACAATAAAAAGTTCTGGAAAACTGTAAAACCACTTTTTACTGACAAGGTACAAACCTCTTCAAGTATTACGCTTATCGAAAATGAAAAGTTTATTACGAATGACAGTGAAATAGCTGAGATCCTTAATGAATTTTTTACAAATATCACAAAGACAATTGACATTGCCCCTGGTGAATGCATTCTCAATTCGACAGACCATTTGCTGGATCCTGTTGAAATTGCTGTTGAAAAATATAAACATCATCCCAGCATCCGCAAGATTAAGGATAAGGTAAACCATGGCACATTCTTCGAATTCAAACCAATTACAATGCAGGCAGTCAATGATGAATTATTGAGACTAAATACAAAAAAAGCGTCTACAATTGAAAGTATTCCTCCGCGGATACTGAAAGAAAACGAAGACATTTTTGCACCATTACTGACGACAATTTTCAATAATTCATTGCTCCAGAAAACGTTTCCTGAAGATCTTAAATTAGGAGACATAAGTCCACTATTCAAAAGTGACAAAACTACAGAAAAACGAAACTATCGACCTATCACCGTTCTATCCGCATTATCAAAGGTCTTTGAACGGCTTCTATATGCTCAGATGGTCGACTTCGCGGATACGTTCCTAGTTCCCTACTTATGTGGTTTTCGGAAAGGTTTCAACACACAGCATGCGCTGTTGAGATTTATGGATATCTGCAAGAATTTCCTAGATAAAAAAGGGGTGGTTGGTGCCTTGCTAATGGATCTCTCAAAAGCGTTTGATTGCATAGACCATGAGCTATTAATTGCGAAATTAAATGCCTATGGTTTTTGTAAAGATGCTCAATTTATTGATTTATAATTACCTGTCCGGTAGAAGACAAAGGGTAAAATTAAATGGTTCATTCAGCACTTGGCGAGAAACCTTTGCAGGTGTACCACAAGGATCAGTCCTTGGGCCTCTTCTCTTTAATTTATATATTAATGATTTATTCTTAATGGTAACTGATACTGCAGTATGTAACTTTGCTGATGATACTACGATTTTTGCAGCTGACTGTCAATTAGATAAAGTTTTAGAACGGCTAGAAACTGATGCTCTTATTTTATCAAAATGGTTTCCAGAAAACTTTATGAAATTGAATGCAGAGAAATGTCATCTTCTTACTTTTGGTACAAATCAAGATGACCTTAAGATCAAAATCGGTGAGGCCATTGTTGAAGAAAGCTCTGAAGAAAAACTGCTAGGGGTGATAATAGATAAAAATCTTAATTTCAAAAGTCACGTCTCAAATTTATGCAAAAGAGCCAGCCAAAAACTGCATGCTCTTGCTAGAGTTTCGCCATTTATGGGTTCTGATAAACTGTGTCTCCTAATGAACAGCTTCATAAAAGCTCAGTTTAGTTACTGCCCCCTAATTTGGATGTTCCATGACAGATGTCTGAATGCTAAAGTAAATAAAATCCACGAAAGAGCACTCAGAATTGTTTATAAAGACAGTCATGCTGACTGCGAAGCATTGCTGACTTTGGATAATGCAGTATCAATTCACCAACGCAATCTACAGTACTTGATGATAGAAATATACAAAACCAAACATAACCCGAACCCTAGTTTCATGAGTGAGATTTTTGAAACAAGAAATGTACATTATGATTTGCGAACTAAAAATAATCTTTGCATTCCAAAAGCCAGGACAACTTCTTATGGCATAGAAACTGTGAGATATTTAGGTCAAAAACTGTGGCAAACACTACCTCACAGTATAAGAGAGTCCCAATCATTGGCAACATTTAAAAAAGAATTAAGAGCACACCCTATAGAATGCGACTGTAGATTGTGTAAAAAATTTATTGCTGGGTTAGGTTTTATTTAGAACATTATGCCTTAAACCTTTTTAATATTGTATCATATATTTTTATTTCATACTAACTCTTTATAGATAGTTGGCCTTAATTAGCTTCTTTATAGCTATCAACCGTTCATTTAGTACGCCAACTTTAAACAAATTATTTATTATTATTATTATTATTATTATTATTATATTATTATATTTATTATTATATTATAATATTATTATATCACTGTCCCTAATGTAATAATACGATACTTAACTGGATGTTCCAAAATCCAATGAATGTTCTCTTCGGGCCCTCAGTTTAAATGTTTTCATTAAATCATAACTTAAGGTGGTAAGGACATGACAATTTTTGTGATTCAATTTCTAGGAAGGCATATTATTTTAATGCTAACCAAAAAGATTTGAGAGTACAGGTCAAAACAGCAAAAGTGCTCAACCCCTTCATTTCTGACAAAATGTTTGCTCCAGTACATCCATACTTTGCTCCAGTATAAAATATGAATGAATTGCCAAAGATCTTAGGCATAAAACATTGGTACTTACGCTAAATTTTGGTGTAATTTTTCAGAAGAATTTTGGCCTAATTACATTGGCGTGGTCTGACTGTGCTAGTCTTTTTTTCGAAAATTTGCTGACGTAGCGAAAACCATGCAAGATTGCCCTGATGAACTTTGCAAAATAACAGGACTGTAGACACTGGGGCCAGGGGGGCTATGCACCCTTTCAATAATTTGCAAAAATTGTGTTTGAAGATCTTATAAGCGCAGTTTTTCGCAAGGCGGGTAAAGAAAAAGCTATATTTCTATCCATGCCCCCCAATCCAGTTTAGCAGTCTACGGGCCTGCATAAAAATGAATAAGTTTTAAATGTCTCCCATTGTAAACTAAACAAGAAAAAGAAATGAGATAGAACTGGAAGTTTTAGATGCCTTACAAGCTCTATGCTCATAGAAATGTAGACATGATTTGATATCTAAACACAGAAAGGAATGACTCGTTATTCTTGAGAGTTTCTTACTGACATTTATTTACTTTCTTCAATAGACAAGACAGGGTTTTTTATAATTGCATTTAGAAATTTGTTCAAAGTTATGTGTGTCGAAAATGCTGTGCTTGTCGCTGATTGTTGAGAATAAGACCTTGGCTTTTTGGCAATTGGAAACTATTAGGGAATGGGGAATTATTGTAAATGAAAGCTTTCATGTATTGCCCAGGATCGTCCTTTCGACAAACTGGATGTGGCAAGTATTTTTTATGAATTTTTCTTGAATTCGGCCAGAATTCAAAACCATGGTGGTGGCCTTCATCTAACCACTGAACAATCTAAACATATCACCTCTTCCCCAACTTTTATTAACGTTTCGTCAGCCCTGTCTACTGATGTTATCATCTTGGTTGCTGCGCAAACAATCAATTAACCTGGCTGCTCAACCAATGATCGGAAAAACATCAAACCCTATTATTTTTTGGCTGAAAAAATTACATATCAAGATTTTCTTGAATACCTGAGATATTTCTTGAATAACTTGAATATTTTATTAAGTTCTACCCTGGGTACCAGAGCCTCAGTGATCGAAAAAGGTGACCCCACTAAATACCATTCGCCATTTTTTATCACTGAGGCCCCCTTTAAAAGTCCATCGGCTAGAAAACAATGATTTTTCCCTCGCAATGTCATGAATTTCCCTCATCTCTTATCCTACGTCAGAATTAAATTTCCAGTGAAAATAAGGCTGAACTGGACTAAGGATTGTAAATCCCCCTTGTAAATATTTCACACTTACGCCTACATTCCTGGTAGTTACTAATTAGAATTAATAGCAATATTCCTATAACGTTTTAAGCCATTATAAAAAAGTGATGCAACAACATTGTTTTTCGGGGCCCTTTCTCGACGACTTGGCCCGGGCCCTAAATTTAGAGCCAGTCCGCCCCTGAGTACACCTGTCAAGTAAAAGATTGTCATTTTTCCTCAATACACCCCAATCTACACGAGCAAAATTAACTTCTCAATGAAGAATTGTCAAGGAAAACTTATTCGTGTAAGATTGTTCGATAAGTGTAATGCGTCTTTAAGTAGCAAGACTCGATTAAACAGCGGAATTGTCAGGTTATTAGTTTTTCAGGAGGCCAGCAGAGCGAAAGGTGACGCTTCAAAGTTTAAAATTTTCTGGGGGAGCATGCTACCTGACTATTCTATTAAAATGAATCCTCAGCACATTTCCGGTGCCGTATCCTTCACACAAAAGCCCTATACTTTTAATTTTCTTAGGTGTATGTTTTTAAATAGGAACAGGTTTAGAAAGCACAAAAAGCCAATATTTCATCTGGCGTCCTTAGGTTCTCCTCAAAGTACTTAATGCAAAAACAGTTACCCGCTTTACCTAAATGCCAAGAAAATGAATTACCAATTTTACCACATGGCAAGGTCTCTTGTCATTTCATCAAACGTAGTCTTTATACATTTTTATTTTGGTTTCGAAGAGTCGGTCCATTTCTTGTGAGGGTCGGTCCAATTTGTCCTGACATTGCACCCCCCCCCCCTCTCGAAAATAAAAATTTATTTGCAGCCCTGATAGTATCATGACAGCCTCAGAGAGCTTGACGCTTCCTATAATGATCATTACATTTGAAATTGGATAAGCCATGCATGAGAGAATGCTGTTCAAATATCTAGTCTGTCCTGTGGTAACAGTCTCATATTGCAGCCTCCAGGTCAATTCAGTGTCGTTCCATTTCAGTTGAGGAAAAAGTACAGATTACTTCCTATGAAAAAGGATCTGGTAACAGGAAGTGAGTCTGTCAATTAAATGAACAAATAACAATTGGGATCAATAATAGTATCAGTAGTAACAAGCACGTAACTGAGCAAACAAGCACGTAAGCCAATTTCACATATGCTGACAGCTAATCTAAATGGTTGAGGACAGTGCAAGCATTTTGCAGGTATTTTTCACTGGCAGAGAGGTTGTGCCCAAGGGTCCAAGGAGGTGGGTTGAGGGGGAAATTCAGGGCACAGCCTCTTTCAATTGTTATGCTATTGAATAATTTGAATGAGGGTGTAAATTTTGTAGACATAATTCACTTCAAGTTGTGTTTCTTTACTTGCTTGTAGTTTTAAAATCAATTTCGAACGGGCCATTTCTATACCTAGTGTTGACAAGAAAAGAGAAATGTTTTAGTCTGCACAAAGTCAAACAATTGTATCTGAAATTTCTGGAGATATCATCAATTTTCCTTTAAAAGCAATCTTTTCCTAAATTTTTCTGCACTTAAGGATATTTTCATGGTATACTTTCTGCGCCGCTTTGAAAAATATTTTACACTGCATCTACACTAGGCACGGACACAGCAAGGCAGACGAAATTGTCCAATACAACAATGACATTCCATAAAATGAAGACATTTAGAGAAAGGTGTATGTTTCTGAATTTGTCTGCAACAGGCTTCAACTGCTGAACTTGCGAATCTGAAACAAAATGGCTTTTCTCTAAAGCTCCTTTTAATCAAATCGGGTTAAGCATTATTTCATCGGTAAAGCATTTATCAACAGTGCAAAACACACCCATTAAAAAAGACTGCTGTATCATTTTTAAATTCTCATGTTTTACTATCAAATTTGAAGTTTATGCACAATGATGAGCTTCCACAACTGCCAATTATGTAGCATCAATAAAAGTATAAAAGATTTCCCAACAAAGTTCTATCTTGACTACCTCTTATATTTCATTTAAGATAGTCCTGCTATCTTCTTCTTTCGATTGAAATCGTTGATAGCTCCCGCGACTCTTGACTTTATCATTGGTGGTAAATAACACCATCTGCTATATGTGTTAGAATAAAACTTGCACGACAGAGAAATTATCAAAAAGTCTTAAAATGCTTTGAAACCAATTAGGTGGGTCTGCATTATCAATACGATATCCTCAACTAGACGTAGTTCTAGATAACAAGAAGAAAAGTCTTTTCTGCTTTGCACAAAACCAAGTAGTGTCTTCACCTCTATGAAAATTGTGCAGTATAAACATCATAAAGATTTAGCGTGAGGGAAGTGCACGGAGAAAGGATCGACTACAGATTAGTTGCTATATTCCTTCTTTGGTTTTTCTAAAGGTGAACAAAAATGCGAAAGTTGCTTGACCTCAAATGAAAGCTTGTCGAACATAAATACCTGAGACATTATCAGTTTTTTAAAATTCATCATAGTTTCTGAGTTATTGAGCGTCAAAGTTAGCCTCCCGAAATTTTTCAAGCACGTACGAATGTGCCCACGCCTTCCGCGTGATCGTGACCTCACAAACACAATTAGCTAGGTCGTGTAGCGTTCAATTTAAGGTCAACCGGGAAAAAAATGGTAGAAAAGCAAATTTTTCACTGTCCTATGCAGAATTTTTTCCTCTATAACATACTCAAAATCGCCCAAAATCGACCGTGGGGAAAAATTTTTATTGAGGTTTATATAATATACGATGGCCACATTTGATAATCAAATACTTATAGCACAACCGAGGGCATCTGTTCAGAAAAGCAAGAAATCCGTTTTTCTTTTAAAATTGTAGATTTACGTAAGGAAAAATTATCCTATTCTAGGCCTGAAAAATTAATAAGAGGGCTAGTAAAGAAAGAAGTCAGTTTTTTTCTGATTTTCCTAAAAACATGGGCGGGAATTTTATAACCGACAGGCAGTTTTTGAATGCCAAATTACAATATTCGTCAACGCACTATAAGCAAGGGACATTTATCAATATTTTAGGGTACATAAAGCTACTCAATGCTTTAGCAATTTACTCGGGGGAGGGGCTTTTTTGGGAATTGGGGACATGCCAGCCAAAGATGTAATGTCCTTTTGTAATTTAGAAATCATCCTTTACTTAAATGATTTTGAGCAATGCTTAGAGAAAAGCTCAGCAAATATGTATGCAGACAACACTAGCATAACATGATCTGCATAAGACATTTTAGGAACTGTGCAATGACTTAAAAAATGAGGGTAAGAGCATTGCAGAGTGGATGCGGCAAAATAAGCTTAGTCTGAGTATATGGTCATTGGTCATAAAAGACGAATTAACCATATTCAGGGGGAGATAAACGTGGAAATAAATGGAGAAAAAATCCAACGAGCCCATGAAGTAAAATATCTCGGGGTTACTATCGATGAAAACCTATTTGGAACAAGCAGTACAAGAGGCTCAAGTCTATGCTTAAAAGTGGTCTTTCTTCGTTGAGGAAACTTAAAAACATACTCCCTCAGTCGAAATTGGACCAGATTCACTGGGCACTTTTCGAGAGCCATCTAAGATGGCTCTCAGTTTCGAATCTAATTAATGAATGGTCTTTGCCCTGGCAGCCTTAAAGGTAAATTTATTACTAGATCAGAAATATCCAGGTATTCGACAAGGAATCAGCTTGATATTGACATCCCAAGGCAAAATTTGGAATTCCAAAAGAGAAGTCTTTTACTCTGGGGCCAAAACATGGAATGAGATTCTAAGAAACACCAGAATGAGCCCCACAATTTCCATGTTTAAAAGAAACTTGAAAGGATTCCTGCAAAGTTAATAAATTCCCAAAACAAAACACGATCCCTAGGTAGAACAGCAACACCTTTATTTAATATATATTAAAGAAGTAATTGTAATAGAAGTAGTTTATTTTATTTGTGTTTAAGTTGATAGGGAATTCGTGTGTAACGATTTTTGAAATGAAAAAGAAAATGATTTGTATATCAACACAGGTATTTATTACCTAATAATTGGTACAAATGAACAGCTCACTTTCCGGAAACTCTCTGGATATAATATAGCAGAACCGCTAAGCAATTTGGTGGACTAAAACTTTGTGATATGCACTTGCAAGGTATTTTTTTAAAAATGGAATGGCAGTCAAAAAAGAAAAATTATGTACTTTTTGCTTTTCTACCAATATGTTCCTGGTTCATCCCTTCAACGACTGCACTAAATGTTCACATGACTTGAACAGCACGACCGTCCGGAAGGCCGTACGTGTGCACTAATGTTTTTGCGAAAGAGCTTCGAAACATAAATCAAGTAGGTTTTGGATCCATTTCAATAACCTGATTTGAAAATAGATCATGGCTCCTTTTGCAAAGTTTTCATAATAAAATTTGCAAGAAAATTGCATGATTCAATGCGTTTAAGCCCCCTTCCTCCGTCTCACATGGCCCAGTTTATGGTGGGCAAACATATCAAATAATGGAAGCTTTAAATATATTGGCGCTTGGAAAAAGGAATAGTAATGAATTGTAGTTTTCAGCTTTGATAATCTTTGTAAGTGAAGTGATTCAACTACAAAACGATTCCTTCGTGTAATCGACTAGATTGTCCACATTGAATTTCTCTTTTTTTTGCTGGAAACATATCCCGGTTAACTTCAATATATGCTGCAAAAATTTTGTAGCCTTCAATATAGACGCCATTAGTGTCAACCGAAGAGCTTCTTTTCATGGTTAAATTACTTCAGAAAATGTCCTTTGACAACATGCCACAATGTGAAGTTCTAGTGTATATGCTAGTTTTTTTTCTGGATGCACATCTCCTTAAAATGTTATGTCCAGACTGAATGTCAAACATGACTCATATCCATTATTAAAGCATTATATTAAGGAGATTTGTTAACAATTATTTCGCAAATAAAAAAGAAAAAAATGATCAGAAGTTTTCATTAGACAGGCTATTTAACACAACAATCTTCAAACATCCCTCACTGAAATTTTTTGAGTTGAATTATAAAAGTTATGTCCACTGATAATTTTAAGTCTTGGGAACATTCTGGGAAGTGACCGGAAGTCACGTTGAACGGCCACCTTAAACCAGAAAAATGCATAATCAGCAAAATTTCGAGTTTCAAACTTTTCAAATCTGATGATATCATCAGAAAAAACTGAGTAAGACGGAAAATTTGCAAAGTTTAGTGAAAAAAATCAGACACTAATGTGATTTGACCTTTAAGAAAAATTTCATTGCTATCGAAACTTTTCGTTTTGTCAAGCTAAATCGATTCCTGATATTTAGTCGCTAGCAGTTGGATTCTGCATTTTATGCTAAACGCATGAAAGTACATAACTCGATAAGCTCAATAAGATTGAATTCATATCAAGCGTTGAAAACTTCCTCAAAAGGTATTTTCAGTCTGATTTCTCTCTTTATTTGTACGAACCTCGAATGAAATTTGATATCTTCCCACAAGTACGAGCTAGACAACCCTTCCTCTCTTTGCTTTTCCGCCAGTCTTTGACTGATTTGCTTACTAGATATTTTTCGTTTTCTTATTTCATATACTCTGAGAAGATAAGAAGAAATGGCAAAAAACTTATCTTCATTACTCCTTTGCATTGCTGTGGAGATATTCGCAATTAACTGCTGCTTGGCGACAAGTAAGTTCAAAATATGAACCTTCATTATCCAAAAATTTCTTACTTAAAAGTAGAAACTAAACAAAATTTACTAATATTCAAACTGAATAGCTTAAATTCAAATTTACTAATGATACAAGGAACTTGCATCCCAATTTTGTTTGTATTTATAGGACAACAATGTATCAAGAATTATTAAAGGTCTAGTTATTATATGTGTGTTAGAATCGGAAAAAGCCATTCTTAATAAAAGGTTTTATGAAAATATTTGGTGCTCAATGGCGATAAAAGCAAGCTTATAACATTTAAAGCCAATCGATCCAATTTAGAGGAATCTAAAATTAAATGAAATGGTTCTACTTTAATAAAAAGTAAGAATTTTAAACTTTTGGGGGTAACTAGATATAGAAGAACATATTAAAGTTTTTTGAAAAGATACCGGGACAAAGGTAAACGCTCTAGCCAGGATTGCTTCGTATATGGACAAATCTGAGCGAATTATTTTAATGAAAACGTTCATATTATCATATTTTAATTGTTGTCCTCTTATTTGGATGTTTTGCAGTAGGTAAAGTAATAGCCGGATAAACCGGATTCATGAAAGAGCAATGAGAATAGCTCTTGATGATTATGAATCAACTTTTAATAAAGATTAAAACATAGGTTATATTTGCTTTACATTATATTTAGCATTGGTAATTTAAATTAGTTGGTTTTAATTAGCTTGAGTATGCAAAGCAAGAAATTGTACCAACTTTGAATAAATAAGGGAAAAAACCACCAGTTTCGACCCTTTCCGTCTTTTTGAACCTTAAGTTTTCTTGAAAATTTAATTAATGATAAACATGATAGTTCAATATGCTTCGTATCAATTTTTACATTTTAAATTAATTTGAAATAGATGAATTAAGAGGTTCTATATTCTTGATAATATGGAAATTGCGATCATTGCCAAATTTGCTGGAAAATCAAAACGAAATGTGTTATGTGTGTCCTCAAATTTGTTATATTATTTTAATGTTTTAATTTAAATTTCTTTTTACTTGTGGTAAACCACACTGTTTTCAAGGTATCTTCTGAAAATTACGCAGCGTTGTAAGGGGGGAGAAGAGAACTACAAGTCAAGGCTTGAAAATTGAAAGAATCTTTCAAAAATATTAAATTGATATAACTAAGCTTTGTTGGCTATATTTTATCACATCCAATCTAAAGGCAACCCCTTGTTATGTAGTCACCAGTTTTTGAATAAAAACCATACTGATTATAAGTATCACTTACGTTTGAATTGGTGATGCTCTGAATAGTTTACTTTACAACTAAGACCAAGCTTTTTGGAACATTAAATGAAAGTTAATCAGTAAAGCATGGCAACGAGGCAATTTTTAGAAAAACCAGTTGAAATTTCAGATGTTTTAATTAAAAGACCTAAAAAGTTAACAGAATTAAAAATTTTATCTTGATGAAAAATGCTGCACGTTTCTTTTCCACTTCTAAGTTAATGGAGCAAACGAAGAACAGTCGGATGGTTATCATGAAAAAAGCATTACAACGCGTGTATCTTGAGGCACTTCTCATTATTACCACTGAATTTAATGATAAAAATAATGATAATTAAAATCAAATAAAGATGAGATTTGAGATTGGGGCAAATGTTTTATCTCTTTTGTGTTTAATTTTGCTCAGTTTTACCTCATAACGCTATCTGAGAAGCTAAAATGAGTCAACGTTACTTTGTCCAAATCTACATTGCAGCTATAAAACTTTATAATGTGAAAAACTGTTGGTGGTTTTTTACCAAAAGTAAAGAAACAGCATGCTGTATATCTAGCGTAAATAATCAAATTTAATCGAATTATTCTATCATTGTTCCATCATCAATATGTTTTCTGAAATTAATATTTCCTCATAAAAAAATCAATAAATGATTTCTTGATTTAGGGTCCTAGTTACTTGATTTTTTCTTTGAATATTTAGCGTGTGACCAGACTTATACTGCAAACTATGGCGTGGTGACGTTAAAAACGAGTCCTCCAAACTCTATCACGCAATGCCGATTTGTAATCAAGGCTCCATCTGGGTACCACGTTCAGCTTGAAATAACAAACATTGGGAGTGGCTATAGTAACTGCTATTACAACTCGTTACGACTATTCGAGGGAGGAAATCCTGACTTCGTGAATGACATTCCTACTGCTACGTATTGCAGCATAAACAGCGATCGTCCCACATATCTCTCTCAAGCCAGTACCCTTACAGTTCTGCTTACAAGAAGATCTGGATACAGCTTTATGTATCCGACAATACATTTCAGACTTGTTCCAGGTGAGCATTTCTTTTTATGAATACTACTCAATTCTCTATCTAAACAGTCTCTTTAGTTTTCTTCTGCTTGTTTGTTTTAGAATGTTTTGATATTTTCATTTAGTTGATTCAAATTGGAAAGGAGCTTGTTGTTCAAAGGAGGAGGAAATAACAGGCCTGAATTAACTTTCGAAATTTCCAGTTTATTTATGAAACTCGACCACCACTCCAGGCTTTTTGATTAAATCGCGTGTGTGCTTTGCAACCTTCTAGTCCAACTGACTCTTGGCAGCCAATTCGAGCAAAGTTGCTTTAAGAAAAACAACACAACATATGAACTTGACAGATTAACTTTTTCTCTGTGAACAATGAAAGATCAAAAAGCATTTCTTTGAAAACTGTAGAAATATGGAATTGATTGGCATTACCATTCTTGGTTCTAGTCCTATCTACAATCAGACGTTAGTTTGCACGGTCAATGGCGTATCCTTTAACATACACAGGGTGTACCATAGGGTTCATGTCTTGGTCCGTTTTTTTCTCAATGTCTCTCTGAAAATGCAATGTGACATGGTCCCTTTTTGTCCCTAATGTCTCTTCGAAAATGCAATGTGACATGATCTGTTTTTCCAAATGTCTCTGAAAATGCAGTATGACAATATATAGTGATGAAAGAATTTCGTATTTTCCTAAAAACAACAGTGATTCGATAACAGCACGTAACAGTGTCCTGAAACAGTTGGAGGAATGACTACAGGTATTTAATCATTAAATAACAAAAGAAATGGCTGTACGTTTTGGACTAAGCTAATTAATATTATTTAGCATAGGCAGAAGACCCCATTATTTAGTATTGATAGCAAATAAATTAGATGACAACTTAAGCTGGGACTAGAAAATGACATTATAATACGGAATAAGAATTAATATGATAATTAACAATTTGTTTTCAGTTAGCAACGAGATAAAGCTATGCTATAAGACAATTAAAAACATCTATTTCCATATGTATAAAAATTATTTAGAAAAAGCCCAAATGTATGATATACGTTTTTGCAAAACCTACAGCTACACTCAAAGTTCTCCAAAGATTCTTTAAGCAGAAAACATCACGAGTTATTAACTTATCGCTAGATACGTGCGTTTGTCTTTCTTGATTGGTTGGCTAAGTAGAAGAAGGGCTTCTTTCAAGCATCCAGCTTCGAATGGAGTGTTTTATGAACAAGTGGCTCAGTACATTTTAAGGGAAATATAAGAGCCTTTACTTTTTAAGACAGGAGGTCACTAGTGTCATGTAACTTGGTAAAAATGAAGTAATGGAGGTTGAAATGGGTTCCTTTTGTGACATGTTTGGCTAAAGTGCCTCAAAAGAAAGCGACGGGGGGGGGGGGGCTGCAATCAATTAAGAAATTAACCGTTAGCACTGAACACGAAACTTGACCTCTATTCACAGTAGTAAAGCTCAGTTCTACCCATCAAAGCTTGATCCTATCATTGCATAATTTTATACACTCAATGAAAAGCACAATGCAATTTTGTCGTACATAATAAAATCCTTGAAAGAAAAGAATGTAATAAACCCTATTTCGGCTTCTTGGTTGTCCAAAAAGATTGAATAACGTCTCTGTTGCCTATTTCCAGGATACAACATGGTATTCAATCTATCTGAAGGCTTCATACCCTCGCCCAATTTTATAAACAGACTCTTGCCACGAAGCCAGTCGTTCACCTACCGCTTGGAAGGAGCGCCTGGAATGAAAGTCCAGCTTTTCTTCTCCTACATGAACCTTGGGTCGAGCCAAACGTGCACTGGAGCACGTCTTTCGATTTATGAAAGTCCTACAGCAACAGGCGTGCCAGCACAAACAAGATGTGGTAGAAACACGACATCCTATTTGTCATCAACGAACATAATTTCCTTGAAATTTGATAACTGGGCATCGCTTTCGGGACCTGAGTCAGGATTCAAAATTTTTTACGCAATTGGTACCGAGGGTAAGTAGAATGTTGTTGTACATACTGTGATCTTATGATCATACTTAACGTATTTTTTTCATTGGAAGCACACTTACAAACGTGACAGCTATTTTAACTGATCCACAAATTTACTGGCAAATGAGATGCATTGTAAGACCGCTTACTATTATTTTTAAGATTTTTTCGAAGAATTTCTGTACGAATTGCAGAGGGGTCCATTGAAGTAACTTAGACAACTCATTATTTGGATAAAATAAATAGAAAAGCTGTATTAGTCTTAAGGCCTAATTTTTCATCAGTGAATCAATGCAATCTAATGTTTGTTATTGAGCAATGTTGCTTGTTTCACTATGGAGGGTCTCCCAGGAGGGGAGGGGGGGGGGTATGGGTATCCTTGTGATCCCTTTTACAAATCCAACCATTGTTTCCATGCTTCCATTGAAAAATTAAAAAAGGTTCTCTTGCTCCCCTTAACTAGTAAAAACGTTCCCTAATTCCAAAAACCTGACTAAATTAAGAACTTTCTCCTAAAAACTATTTACAAGAAGAATGGAATTATAAATAACCTGCTAAAAGACTAAAATGAAAAATAAAGGTAGGCTGTTCCGCAATTTCTTTCCCCTATAGAAGAATCTTTTGCACGTTTGAGGATCTTTTTTTCGGTTGGTTTTCCAACCCAAGGTTTTTATTGGCCATTTACTACAAGCGCCATAACTATTGACAGTGATTTTGACACTTAAGTAATTGCTGAATTTCAGTCAATCCACACACTTCCTAGACTGATCAACAATATTGAAGGTGTGGACAAATCATGCTAGTATTAATGTTTTACAGTAACTCAGGAAGTTGGAATTATTTTCCATATTTGAACAGCCCAAATGATCGTGATTTTTTTTAAGATTTTTCTTGAACATGTTTCTTTCAATCAAGGGAGTTTGTAGTGATAACATCTAAGCTTTTGTTTTGTTCCCACTGTGTTTTTCATGCTACGCTTCGCTGCTTGTATATACCGCTGTGTTTATTTAGAAATAATTAGTTGGTTCGAAATAAGATGATAACACAAGGTACGTCTCTTACTATCGACTTCGCTCTTCAATAATTCGTCCTTCGAGGCTGCTACTTTATTAACAACACAGGTTGTTAAATTGGTGACCACTTCGTTTATTTCCACGTCTACATTTCGACATGAATACAGACGCCAACACGCCACCGTCAGCCAGCACTACTGCAACTGCAGCCATCGCCACGACTTCAGAACCAGCACCAGTTGCTTCGGTGAGTGTCAAACTTCCACCTTTTTGGCCTAACGATCCCCTTGTTTGGTTTGCTCAAGTAGAGGCCCAGTTTTTCACAAGAAATATAACTTCACAGGCTACAAAGTTTGCTTATGTAATCTCCGCTCTCCAGCCTGAAATCGCACAGGAGGTACGCGACATTTTGATCCACCCCCCTCAAGCAACGCAGTACGATATACTCAAGGCCGAACTCATACAGCGCACTTCCGCATCTGAACAAAAGCGGCTTCACCAACTGCTGACTGCAGAAGAACTGGGTGACCGGAAGCCCTCTCAATTATTGCACCATATGCGACAGCTGCTTGGAGACAATACACTAGAAAACAACATTTTACGACAGTTGTTTTTGGAAAGGTTACCAACCAATGTCAGGCTGATTTTAGCCTCCACTGCTGACTCCCTTCCCGTTGAGCAGGTTGCTTTATTAGCAGAAAAAATTTTAGAGGTTGCGACCCCCCTTGGCATTTCCTCTTTAACACCTACCGTGTCAGCGCCGGCCCCCACGCCTGTTACACCGCCTATCGCATCTGAAGTTCATGCTCTCTGATCTCAAGTAGAGGAACTGACTTTTCAAGTCCAAGCCCTCATAAGCCGCACACAGCCAACCAATAGTTTCCCAGGGCGTAGCCGAAGCCGCTCTATCAGCCGTAATCGCCGCACCAGCCCAGCACCCTCAAACTTTACCTACTGCTGGTACCATCAACGTTATGGTAGACTTGCTCGCAATTGCACTCCACCATGCAACTTTTCAAGCTTCACCTCAAACCAGGGAAACGACGCCACCAGCAACTAAGGGCGACTAGTTCTGCTGGTCCTGCTTCTTCCAGTCGCCTCTTTTATATTACCGACCGTATCACTGGTACACGCTTCTTGGTAGATACAGGTGCTGATGTAAGCGTTTTACCTCCTTCTTCTACTGACAGACAAACTTCTCAAAACATTTCTTTACAGGCTGTGAATAAGTCGCCAATTCGTACTTTCGGAGAAAAGTCTTTAACGATAGACCTCGGACTTCGCCGCACGTACAGGTGGATTTTTATTATTGCTGAAATACCGTTCCCTATTCTTGGCGCTGATTTCCTTGCTCATTTTGGCCGTAAAGTTGATGTTAAAAATCGGAAACTCGTTGATACTACAACAAATTTGACCATTCAAGGTATTTTGTCCGCCGACAGCTCACCTCATCCTATGATGGCAACCCCTGATACTACTTCGCCATACCAAGCATTACTTCAAAAGTATCCTGACATTACCCGTCCTTCATACAACGAATGAAAGGTAAAGCATACCGTCACCCATCACATCACAACTACAGGCCCTCCTGTATTTGCTCGTCCCCGTCGTCTTGCTTCTGAACGTTTGATCATTGCCAAGGCTGAATTTGATCACATGTTACAACTTGGCATCATTCAACCGTCAAAAAGCAGTTGGTCTTCTCCGTTGCATATGGTTCCTAAGGCTACTCAAGGTGACTGGCGACCTTGCGGTGATTATCGTGGCTTGAACAATGCTACAGTACCCGATCGCTACCCCATCCCACACATCCAAGATTTCTCTTCGTCTCTGCATGGAAAAACCGTTTTCTCAAAAATTGATCTCATGCGTGCCTATCATCAGATTCCAGTCGAACCTAGTGACATTCCTAAGACTGCTATAACAACTCCCTTTGGGCTATTTGAATTCGTTCGCATGCCATTTGGATTGCGTAATGCAGCACAGACCTTCCAGCGCTTCATGCACCAAGTACTTCGTGGTTTGGATTTCGTTTTTGCTTACATTGATGATTTACTTATCGCAAGCAAATCTGAAGCAGAACATTTGTTGCATCTTGACATTTTATTCTCTCGTCTTTCCGATCATGGTATTGTCATTCATCCTACCAAATGCATTTTTGGCCAATCTCATATTGACTTCCTAGGACATCATGTTTCACCACAAGGAATCTCACCGCTTTCCACAAGAGTTAAAGCAATCAAAGATTTTCCTCCACCTACTTCACTCAAAAAGCTTCACGAGTTCCTGGGATTGATCAACTTCTACCGTCGTTTTGTGCCTGGCTGTGCTGAATTAATACAGCCTCTCACCGACCTTCTCTCTGCCAAGTTTACCAAAGAACCGTTCCAACTAACTGTGGATTCATTATCTGCATTCTCAGAGATCAAAACAGCACTTTCCCGGGCTACTCTTCTTGTTCACCCATCACCAGTAGCACCATGCAGTGTAGTTGCTGATGCTTCGAATGTGGCTGTAGGAGCAGTGCTTCAACAATTCCTCAACGGTGCCTGGCAACCTATTTCTTTCTTTTCAAAGCGCCTGCAACCAGCCGAAACGAAGTACAGGACATTTGGACGAGAACTACTCTCCGTCTACTTAGCTATCAAGCACTTTCGGTACTTTTTGGAAGGACGCGCATTTCATGTTATGACAGACCACAAGCCATTGCTTCATGCACTGTCTTCTTCGTCTGATCGATATTCGCCACGGGAAATTTGCCATCTTGATTTTATCTCTCAATTCACCTCTGACATACGATACGTAAAAGGCCATCAGAATGTGGTTGCTGATGCTCTTCCTCGCATTGAGCTCAATTCCTTGCTCAATATTCCAAGCCTTGACTTTGTCACACTGTCTGTAGCTCAACAGCAAGATTCTGATTTCCAACGAGTACAGTCAAACACCTCTCTTAATATGAAAGAGTTTCCTTTACCGGCAGATTCTGGAACCATCATTTGTGACATATCAACCGGCACTCCTCGCCCATATGTTCCTGTCTGTTATCGCCGCCTTGTGTTTAATCACCTCCACTCACTTGCACATCCCGGTATTCGTGCAACGCAGCGACTTATCAGGCAACATTACATCTGGCCTAGTATCAACACAGACATCCGCAATTGGACTCGGTCCTGTATCCCATGCCAACAGGCTAAAGTCACCCGTCACACGTTTTCCCCCCATTGGAACTTTTCCATCTACTGACACACGTTTCGATCACATACATATAGACCTTGTTGGCCCTCTACCACCATCAAATGGCTGTAAATATCTTCTTACTTGCATCGACCGCTACACTCGTTGGCCAGAGGCGATTCCAATTTCAGATGCTACCGCAGAAACCGTCGCTCAAGCTTTTGTTTCACGTTGGATTGCAGCTTTCGGTGTTCCTTCAACGATAACAACTGATAGAGGAGCTCAGTTTGAATCAGCTCTCTTCCGTTCCCTCGCTGATTTACTTGGAATCAAACGTAGTCATACTACTTCTTACCACCCTTGCGCCAATGGCATGGTTGAGCGGTTCCATCGACAGTTTAAAGCTTCAATCAAAGCTCAACCGGATTCCACAAGATGGATCGACCTTCTTCCACTCATTCTCCTCGGACTACGGACAACGATTAAAACTGACCTCGGTTGTTCACCTGCCCAACTTGTTTATGGTTCCACACTTCGTCTTCTAGGTCAATTCATCTCTCCGACCTTTGATGTCACAGCCCTTGATCCCTCTGTTTTCGTTGATCGTCTACAAAGTTTTATGCAACAACTAAAACCAACTCCTCCCCGTTCTCAAGAAGCTTACACATACATCCCAGCTAATCTTCTATCTTGTACGCACGTTTTTGTTCGCCATGATGCTGTTCGAAAGCCGTTTCAACCTCCCTATGACGGTCCTTTTAAGGTTCTCAAGCGCTCTGACAAACATTTCCTCGTAGATGTCAATGGAAAACAAAAAACAATAAGCATAGATCGTCTGAAAGTTGCGTACACCGATGCAGATAACGCACGTTCAACTGCCAAAAACACATCATTTCAATCAAACCATGCTTCAGCGAGAGCCAAGCCGATTTTGACCCACGACAGGAATGCACTTTCTCGTAAAAGGAATATTCTTGAGATTTAAGCTATCCAATACTTTTTGAAATATGTTTCATTGCCCTAAGCTGGGCAGACTATAAATTTTGGAAAAAGCACATTGAGCTATACATGCTGTACACTAGGTAAGCCAAACTTTTGTACTACTGTACACAACAAACCGGCAGTTCTGTCGCAAAATGCTGTGACCAGTTGCAATAGAGTTCATGACTGTTTAAATGGAAAATAATTAAAGATCTATATAGGTAAAGTAACAAGTATATGGAAGTTTTTTATTTATAAACATTATCAAAAATTTTGAAAGCACGGAAATTGTGCAAATTCAGGCTGGCAATAATGACTTTATAATTTAGTGATAATAATATTGTGAGAAACTCTTCTAAAATGAACCAAGTCGCCAAAATGTTGCAAAACCTTTGCTCTTTTCATCTGTTATCATTTTTGTTAAAAAGAGAAAGCTTTGCGCTACAGCCTTACTACGCAAATCAACTGTCAAATGTCAATGTCAAATAAGCGAAGAACAGCAAAGTCAGGTGACTTGGACGTTAAAATGGGCCAATAAAACGTGGTGATTTTTTACAAACTGATTCTTGAGGCACAAACATTTTGAATAAAGAGAAATACAACGTGTTTACTCTCAGTTGGGGAAAATATTTGTTTGCATACATTGAAAGAAGTAATTTTTGTGCATCCAGTGATGTAAGGAATTTGATGATTGCTTTTCCATCATTGTGATAAACGATCATTTCTAGCCGCTGTTGTAAGTCAACTTTCGTTTCCTTCGCTACCAGCTTGACAAAAACACTCGCAACATTTACTAATATATCGATAAAATAAATCTATTTGACGAAGAAATAGTTCAAAGGCCAAAGAATCTTACAGAAATAATTAGAGGAAATTTAGAAGAAAGGCTTCCCTAAAATATGGCTTTTAGAGTTGTAAACAATTTTTTTTAACAACAGCTTTGAAAGTTCAAATCTGTAAATTGTAAATCCTAAGCTTTCCGGATACATTCGTGAGGGGAGTGGATTTAGAATATATACTTGCAACAAAATTCGAGGCCAATATTATCATAATGGTTTTCCAACAACTAAATGTGACTTTGCAAAAAGATTTCAAAATCTATCATGCCTTGTTCAAAAAACCTTTCAGCAAGTCTCAACAAGGCTTAAAGATTGTCAAAAAAGTGGGTCTTTGTTACTTTTTAAAAAGTTGATTTTTCTCAGATATTAAGTTTTAACTATTGCCAATATTTTTGCCTTTTTTGGTTTCAAACTATAGACTGATGGCTTCACAAAAGTGGTCTGCTGTGATGCCCAGGAAGGAGGTTCAGAAAGGGCCTAGGCATCCCGTGCGGTTTTATAGGGGAGGGAATAGGCAATTATAACGCCTAATATTTCAAAAAAATACAATATTCCCAGATGATGGCTGGGTGATTTATTTGCGCAAAACAACTGGTAACTTAAATCCTAACATGTTTCCTTGTGTTATTAACGAAAGCTTCAAAGGGAGTTTATTAGGGGGTGGGCAGTTTTGGCGGTAGGGCCGAGGTGGAAAATAGGTGATATTTCACTGCAGATATTTTACAGACCGTTTGTGTTTCTGATCAGGGCTTCTCGATTCGTACCAAGAAAATTACTCTAGAAACTAAGTTTGAAAAATATTCTTTGTAAAAAAACGTAAATTTTGAGATGGAGACACAAGAGGCAAGCTTAGCAAAACTCTGCCACTAGACGTGAAGCTTTAGGTTAGGCTAGGGCCTAGTATGCTTCGTATGTTTGAGTTTTAAAAAAGTTTCTGAATTATAGACACAATGTATTTCTTGCGTTTCACTCTCTGGCTTCGTGACATCTCCGTTATGATGATCAATTATTTCATGAAGGTGGAAATTCAAAATTATTCCATTTACCGTGTAGTTGCCTCTCAGGAAAATATTTGGAGATGCGGCTTTTCTTTCCGCTAACTCCTCTCCCACAGAGCAAAAGTATATTTTCATATTATTTGAGATTTCCCTTTTCCTTTGGATTTGAGAAATCCCGATCTTGGAGAAGGATGATCTTTGTAGATTTCCTGCACTAATTGAGAGCCTCATTTGCATTGTTGTAGAGATTCCTGTTTTTTTTCATGTTATCGTTATGATCGATAATCTTATAAGTAAAATATTGCTTTTTTGCAACACATTAAGGCTGTTCACATTATTCGCACTTTTTGTAGCAACGCATCATATCTGAGATTTTGTGCTTAACGGCAGCTTTGTTTAATTTGTTTATTGACTTTATCTGATACTTCACCTCACTATTTACTAAATGAAAGTTCTCATCTGATTACCTGGTCTCGTCTCGGTTTCATTTTTTCAATTTTAAAAAGTAGCTGTGTAGTGATAAAAGTTTTTGACTTACTATGTATTGCAACAACTTGCTTGACGCAAATCAAAGGAAATTGACAGATATAGAGTGAATTGCACAAGATATTATGATATAAGTGATGTGAAACACTTGATTTTTTCTAGGTTGCAAGCGCAAGTACTCTGGATCCAGTGGTGAGATCTCGTTTCCACTCTACCCATTCAACTACCCAAACAATACCAAATGCAAGTATGACATTTCTGTACGCGATGGACAAATGATCTTTATCTATAGGCCATACTATTATTCTTCCTATGGCGATTCTTTGAATATTTTTGAAAGAATTGGAACTACTGGTGAAACAATTGTGACAAATCTGCTAAATGATGCGGAAATGACATATTGGTCCATCGGAAAAGATATAACAATGGTGTTCCAGAGTGATAACAACAATGTCATTACAGGAATGGCGATGCACTACACCGCAACAAACGGTAATTTACTATTTTGGTTTTAGTAATAAGATCTCATTAAGGTGTAAACGATTCTAGAAATATTTTTTGCTAGAGAGAAATCTTGAACTCTTAAGGTCACACAAATTGTTGCATTAATTGCTTCACTCTACTGATTCGAAAGAGGTTTCAGAAGTGTGAAGCAATTAATGCAACAAGTGGTCCACCGAGCCGGATGTTTACAGTGAATATGGAGAATTTAGAAAAGGACAAGAAGAAGAGAAGTCTATTCAGAAGAAATGTTACGAAGTTGGTGAACAAAGTGAAGCAATTAATGCAACACAAATAGATAGGCAAGGAGTATAAAAGACTGTTTTCCTCGTTTGCCGTTGTACAAGGAATACTAAAGCAATTTTTTTCACCACATTTCCTTTCTGGTGCAAGGGTAATTTTCAACATTGTGGCTGAATCAAAAACAGGTAAAAGAGTAGCCATGCCAACAATATTGTTGATGCTTCTAATTCCTGGTACTTAAGTTTTTAATATACCAAGTGCGTTTCTTCCAAGTAACTACCACTTCATGTATGCAAAGCAAGAAAGGAAAAGATGACGATAAAACTGAGTTTTCCTTTCATAGCTTATCATGTAAAATAAAAAATTGAAAAACTAACCTTTGGGTAAGTCGTCCCGAAAAGGTTTATCTGAATAAGCTGTCCTGTTATGTTGGTAATATGTTATGGAGTCAAACTCTGCCTTATTTGGTTATGTGTACAGTCTATTGCTAGATCATCATAGACAGAAAGTCCGAAAAATTTGCAAAGTTTCCATATTTTTGTATCGATTTATCAGTTTTCATATTTTTGCATTGATTTCTCTGATGTTGATTGAATGAAGCAGTTAATTGTTGTACCCATAACCAAGATTCAAACTATGGATATTCATTCCATAAGGTGCAACAAATTATTCTGGTAGAACCTCTTAAAATTATTTAGGAGATCTATCTCTTTTGACATGGGGCCGTGGAAAATATTTTCAACAATTTGTGCATGGTCCTAGCAATTTTTGGTAAGTTCTTAGAAAGATGTAGACAAGAAGATGAAAGGAAAAGTGAAAGTCTCAATAATCTCTAGTTGTATGACGATATTTTGGAAGCCTGCCTCATTAATAACTTGCTAAACCTGTTGATTTTTTCCAAAATATGCGCCACATAGTTTTAATCACAAATCTATGGAAATGCTTTGAAAAAATGCTTTCTTCGCCATTGAAGCCTTTTGCTTCGTTTTTCCTATAGAAAAAAGACCCGCAGAGATCGGCTCACATGAGCGGCCTGCATGCGAAAGAAGCACCCAAACGGCGGGTAGCTTATTGCCAAATATGTTGACAAACCTCTGATTTAGCAGCACTCTCAGGGCAAACAAGCCTGAACAGAACCTGTTGTCTAGTTTTTTAAAATGTATGGGAACTACGTGCTTATCAAAATTTGCATAAATATTTTCTGAGTTTCTCTTATTTCATTTATAGTATGTTTTCTGGTTGGGCTTAATTTTTTCTGTTGAAATCCGCAGAGCACGGTCCATTTGCACGGTTACCATGTCAGAGCAGCGCTCGGACAGCGTGTGGCTTGACTGCCAAAATTTTGAAAAAATTTGGCAGAAAAAGAGTCTTTAGACTTACTAGATACATCATATTTATGTTTTATCATTAATGCTTTTTAACTTCGTCAGGTTGCAATCTGGTCCTTGGAACCACGCAGACATTTGTTTCTTCCCCGTTGTTCCCGCACAATTACCCAAATGGACTCACTTGCACTTACTTATTTGGCCAAGATCAATCACCCAGGGAATACGGAATTGAAATGGTACTTCAAGAAATGAGACTGGAGGACAGTCCATCATGCAAAAATGATAGTTTGAAAGTTTACGATGGTGCAAATGCCACCACATTGCTTCTAGACAATCTATGTGGATCACCTGGTCATAAGCAGTACGTATCCTCTACAGGAAAGTTATATATGATCTTCAAAACAAACGGGAAAAGTCGCTTCAAAGGATTCAGAGCACGGTTGAGATATAGCTACAGATGTAAGTGTCTAAAGTACATAAAGCACTGTTTCTTTTTCTCTTTAGATTAGCTTATTTTATGCAGACCGACTTACCACTTGATCTCTGAAGTATTATCTTCTAGTTGCATACTTAAAAGAAAATCCAAATATAAAGATTATATTGCTTTTTTCATTTTCGGCTACTGAGCTATTCATGTTTTTTCTTTTCAGATTTAGACTATTTATACAGCGACTGGCAAACAGGTACATTACAATCATGGAACTATCCATACAATTATCCACATCGAAGGTCAGAAATAAGGCGCATTTCTACATCCTATGGAAACAGAATCATTCTTAGATTCACACACTTTGATTTGGAAAAGAGCACAGGTTGTAGCAAAGACAGTCTCAAGATATATGAAGGGTCAGTTTCAAAGGAATCTCTGAAGTCAACAAGATGTGGAAAGGACGGTGATCCATATGTATCTAATTCGAACAGCGTTATTTTGCTATTCACAACAGATGTAAGAATTTCAAAGACTGGTTATGAGTTTAATTTTGAAGGTAAGTTGATATTGGCATCGGTAATAGACATCATATAGCTCCTGAAAAACATCGCTTTTGACAAGTTATGAGAAAAATTTGATTCATTTTTTGACCAAAATCGACTTATCATGAAACGACAAGCGTTAAGACATCTATAGGATTTTGTTAATGAAACGCAAATTTGTCATCTTTACATGCAGTAAAAATATTAGCAGCAAATGATATAAGACATATTATATGCAAAAACTTAATTTAACACCTAATTTTTGTTTGTACAACAATATGCAACGAGTATAGAACTTCTATTTTAAGGTTCTAGGCCGCCATTTTTAGCCACCGACGCACAGGCCAACTTCGGCCTGCAACAAGATTTCATTCGGTCCGCCGAATACCTTAACCTGAAAAAAAATCATGGCTTACACTAACAGAGTTCTAAATATCTTCAGTAAATGACAATATGCTTTCCATTGTCCAATTATTGGTCCGAAAGTTAATACCAAAATTGGAAATGCTGAAATAAAAAACTTTTAGAGTTTAAAATCTAGTTTAAATGCCGTTTCTCGCCATCCCTAGATTAACAAAGCCTAAAAATTTGTTGTCGTCAACAAAGGTGGCAACCTTCACTAAAAATATCCACAATAATAACATTCTGGCCTCTCTTCAAAATACGATCCGTAGTCGCTGGATCTTATTTTAAGCCCTTCAAGTCGATCTAACAAATATTAACGTCCAAACCTAGCTATAACACAACTACCTTTTGACTAACTCTGATTAAAACTCTAAGAAACTGATTAAACACTGATTAAAGAAACGTAAAATTGCAAAATTCTGTGAAAATTTATTTTGGATATATATACTATGCTACAGATTGAAGAAGCTCCCCGAGAAAGTTATCCCTGGCCTCGGGCCTGTGAATCAGTCGTGCATTGCACATTGGCCCAGTCTCTGCAACATCTAGCCAGCACCATGCCTTTCAATGTTATCTTTAGCTCACACTATCCCTTCTATCATCCAGATTTGCAAAACTTATTTGATAAAAATAAGCACACTCAATAATTTTTGCGAATAAAGAATATAATATTAAACAATTTGCCTGCCTATCTTATCTTTAAATTAATCTGGTAAGTATGGGAATTTCATTTCAAGCAGCATTTTAGCACAAGCTATGTTAAAGATAAAATTTCCAGGGGTTTCCTGCAGAAAATCTACATGTTTTTCTGGCCCGGCACTCAGAATACTTAAGAACCCCGTTTATTCAATTATATTTCTAGCACTGGGTAAAATATAAGATAATATGATTCTAAAAAAGGTAAGTGTATCCCTGTTTTCAAGCTCATTTTCATTTACCACAAATTCATTTAAACTGTGAAAGACAGTGACTATGAGAATAAGCGCAACAAGGAGGAAATTGCTATAAGAAAAAATATGATTATCTTGCCCAGAAAAGAAAATTCTGGGAGCTACGCAATTTTTTAAGTTCTCCGAATAGTTATTCGTTTTATTCCACACTGAATTTTGCCACTTGATAACAGATTCAGTGGCGTTGCCAACCTAAAAAGACTTAGGTGGCCACAATATTTTTTTTCACCAGGCCCTTCAAATTCTCAGAAAACATTGGGATATGCCTCTTTTAGAATTCTTAGGCCATGTCGATATTAATCTCAATGATATTTCTCAAGCAACATCGTTTGTAATGGGGGCATTTTTGCAAAACCGAATGTCGATATCGATCTGATGCCCACCACAGTCACCCGTTGCACCCCAGTCCGCCCGTCCATCAACCATGTCCAATGGGATGTTTTCCCTCAGAACCTCGGGTACCCAAGTTATAAATAATAGTTCGAATAATTCATAATTCAAATGATTTTCTAAACCAAGAAAAATTTATACACAAAAAACTGTCTTACTAATAATTAAAATTTTAGGCCAAATATTTTATTAATAGAGTCAAGAAATATTCTTTTAACACTCACACGACCTCATTGTCTTCGACAAACGGTACAAATAAACTAAAGAGACATTTTTTTTAACTAAGGATTGGAAATGATGCATGAAAATAAATTTTGGAAGAGTCTTCACTGCTTGCTGACGGGTGCATGCGTTTCATACAATTTAGGAACTTCAGTTGCAATAATTATTCAAGACAAAGAATGACCAATCCCTGAATGGCAGACCATCGTTTTTATACTTTCGTATATATTTTTAATTAAGTGAATATGGGTAGTGCTTTATTGGTTAAATTGTGTATGGTCAAAGAAAAAAGGATCCAAATACAAACAGTTTAAAAATATTGATGTTGAATCTTAGCGTAAGTCATGAAATATTTTTACTTCTTTGAAGATATTTGCAAATTACTGTAACATTAGTAATAAAGTGCTTTCTCCTCCATATATCTTATTCGTTTGCACCACTAAATGATAGTACAAGAAAGATACAATAATTGAAAAATATTGGTAGAAAAAATCTTATACTGTCCATGATTTCTCTTGAGCACTTAGATACATGTTCGGTGCAATGAACACACTGTTTTTGTTTACTTAATAAGCAATTTACTTCAAACTTTTTGCAATTAATTTCAATTACTTAACTTCAAAGGCAAGGCAACATATCTCAAAATCTGCTGTGATGCGAGCTTTTCAAGCTTCTTCTTTACTTTTTAGCATATCAATTGCATATTTTTTAAGTTCTCAAGATCCATTTCTTGCTGATAGATTTGTAATTTTAATAAAATTTGTTTGTCTTTAGAAATGTACTTTTAGTATCACCATGAAAAGACAAACCACCTTGCTTTTAGATCTTTCTTAAATTCGAAAGAGTTCACAAAATACTTAACAACCTCTTGTTTTGTATCATCAACAATCGAGCTTTCGGCTGATTTTTTAGTATAGGTCAGAAATGATGACTTCAAAAAATTTTTTTTTATATTTTATGAATCTGGGTCACATGATTTGAAAGAGCATCATAGATTACCTCTCAATGTGCAAAATCAACTTAAAGGGTTACTAAGGGCCTGAGACAAGGCCCCATAAGCACAGGCTCTTCCGCTACCAAATAATTTTGATTTGGTCTTTGTTCTAAATTTTGCGAACATACTAAAAACAGTAATCTGCTCGCAAACTTCAAATATTTCAGCATCTCATCGTTTCCTTTTAGGTTATGGGTTCAAAATTCAAATATTCTGAGAAAATCATTTTTGACGCCACACTTTAAAACATTATTGATTTGTTTATCTGATCGAACATAATGGAAAAATCTTGATTGGTTGCAAGCAAGATCCCCTATTTTCTCCTTTATAGAATCAAACACCAATAATAAATTTTGAGCATTTTAACCACCCCTAAAAACCCAGTGTTAATTCTGCCAACATATTTCGATAACATTTTTTGACTAAAATAATATTTAATCTTGCATCTAAAATTCGGCCGTGCACAATTCCTCGATTGAAAAGTTATTGTGATTCAATCATTCAGTAACAGTGTTAGTTATAATTAATATGTTCTCAACACTAATAAACTCACCTTCTTTGTTTTAATTTATTGAAAAGACAATATCCGAGTTTTTTTCAAAGAAACGATGTTTGTACACTTACTACTGGAGCTAGGATGATGGAAACAGCACGTTTTCCGACAAGAAAATGGCGAAAGAAACAAAAACAAGATCAAGGAAGATTTTTTTGGCGCTCAGCCCTCTCAAAATCAAGTAAAAATGGGGTTTTAACTAGGGAGCTCCGTCTCCACCCTTGAATAAATGATTAACCTCGTTTTGTGTTGTACTTGTAAGTTCTACGTTTGCTAAAATCTACTTTATGTAACCTAGTTAACATACAAACGAAACTTTCTCAATTTTTAGCATGTGGAGGAGTGTACTCAAACTACGAAAATAGAATCAGGTTCCCATGGTATTATTCAAGATACCCGAATGGATCCAACTGCCGGTATGAAGTTACTGCAAAACATGGCTTCGGAATAAGAATTATATTTAACAAATTTTCCCTTGAAAATAGTCTAGACTGCAAAAATGACAAATTTTCCGTTTATGAAACGGCAGTTGCAAGTGAAAATTTAATTGCAACAAGATGTGGCAATAACATGACAGATGTCTTTTCAAGTGCAGCGAAGGTGATATTCGTATTTCGATCGAACGAGGACATAGATGATACCGGCTTTGATGTTACTGTCCAAGGTTTGTATTATACTGTAGTTTTTCTAACTTTTTAGAAATTAGAACGCAAGGATATAAAATTTATATTTTTAATAATATAAGATAAAATTCTTAGAATTAGAAGGTTGATTTTCTAGTCTAGATTCTTCTTTCTGTCCTGAATAGTTTCAACAGTGTGCAATAAAATGTAACAAAACGTGTTTTTAAGAGTGCTTCAATTTTTGCGTCGTGGTGCCAACCAATAAGTAAACACTAATTTCAGACAGTATTTTATTATAGAGAGTGATAATTAAAATAGAGGCATTTTATTTGCTAGCGACCAAGGGGCAGCCTCTTTTCTTAATGGCCAACCTCCTCTAAGTACACCTGTGCTTTATAATTTGTTTTGTCAATACTAAAAGGACCAGATTTGGTGAAAAATTACGGAATACTTGCTATATTGTTGGAATTGATAGAAAATTTGACATTTCTGTAATGAATCAAAAGCTAACTTTTTTCTTTTGCAGCATGCAGCAGTTTATTCAGAAACGACACAGGAACATTGTTCTCTCCCCAATATCCTTACAATTATCCAACGAACTCAAAGTGCACATATTTCATTCGACTAGCCAAAGGTGCCAAAATCCAACTGGTGTTTCGCAATTTCTCACTCTTCACTTATCAGAGCGATCGATTGACAATATATGATGTGCATGCGTCTTCCAGTTTTTCGTATTATGGCTCCAATGCCAAAGACTATTTAGCGTCAGGCAACGAAGTTGTGCTCACGTTTTCATCTTGGTGGAGGAGGACCACAGTAAACTCTTTCAAAGGATTCCGAATCTACTATTACGATCGCCAAGGTGTCTTATTCAATTTTACATTTGCGTATTTTTTACTGCTTTGAAACCAACAGCTTGTGCCACACATTATTGCTGGCCCTTTAATCCTTTAATCAGTTTTGTATTTGCTGGCCCTTTAATCTTAAAAGGACTTGCAATAGATTCTTTAATTTTAAAAGGACTTGCAATAGATTCTTTAATTTTAAAAGGACTAACAAAAGCTGTAAACAGGCTCCACTTTCAACTGGTTATGCAAAGAAGTAAGAAAAAAAGAACTTGCGTGCATTTTCCAGTTCTCTAACAGAATTATCTTAAAGTCATTTATTCCTACTTAAATTTCTCGTAAGAACATCTATTTTACATACCTAGCAGTATTAACTGACTTTGATCTCATAAAAATCGTAACGTCAGTACCACTAAGGGATTTTTTTGCCTCTGACATGAATCATTTAAAAGAAATTATGCGACTATATGAAATACAGGAAATTTTATTTCTGAAACCGATCGCGCTTTAAAAGATTTCTTTAATTCTATCAAAATTTCAACACCGAAATTAGTTTCTACAATACATCAAAAAATGATTTGTTCACAGTTGTTCACATTATTGTACATTCTATATTTTTAGTCCAACTAATTGCTAAAAATTAGTTATTCACTCGCTATTTAGGTTAATTTTATTAATATTTCGTTACTTCAGATTTCTTACAATTGAATCATGCTTTAGAGGTTTATTAGTAAGAGCATTGAAAGATAGGCTTACTTGCTACTTTCATTTTTTAAAGGTTTTTGTAGTAAGTACAAGCCCTGTCGCAACAATGCATCATGCACAAACATTGGAGATAGCAATTATACATGCAGCTGCTCAGATGATTTTACTGGTCGGAACTGCTCTGTAAAGATCGTTCCATGCAAATCCAACCCATGTATGAACAATGGAACATGTACAGATCTTTATGGTCATGGCAAACCGACGTTCAACTGCAGTTGCACAGATGATTTTCAAGGAAACAGATGTCGGAATCAAATTGGTGAGCAATATGAATTGCATGACTCATAAAGATCAAACGAATTCACTTCATTGAAAAAGATTATTGCCCTGGGCAAAGAGCGTTTTGGTCGGACGGGTTTCCAGGGGTATCACATCTTCCAGTTGTCAAGTTTCTTGAGGAAATGCCTGCTAGGAGTTTTTCGATTACTAAGTGCCAGCATCTTCCTCACCTGTTTTTTTAACGATATCGTACTCTTAGACGTATTCCCTATGAAGGAGGTTCACCTATGACAATTGCTTTTGAAAGAAAGTTCTAAGAGAATGAGTAAAAGTTGACAAGTGAGTTTCTTTGTTGGATAAAAAAATTTAAAGCAACAAATATTAAAACCCAAATACGGTCTTACTTTGCATAAAAATGTATCAGTGTCCTTTATTTTTGTACGAAAATAGGTTTCTAGGACTCCTAGTAAAGTGAAGGCAATAATGCGGCTTCTGCATCTACAGTAGAATGCAAGATAACTTATGCAACATTTTAAGTGGTTACAATAATAACTGGTCTAAGCTACTTTTGGCTCTTCTCAAACCATCTTCTTTACTTTTGCTCCACAATTTTCAAAAACTTCACTACCTTTCATTGAAATGTTAAAATTACCATAAGAAATAAGCAACAATAATAGCTTGCACAAGGAAAACTGTCTAAGCAAGGCACAGTTACTTCTCAAATTTTTCTTTTAAAAATTACAATTCAAACAAGAATTTCAACGTTCACAATGATCATGTTTGCCCTCTCTAGAAGTAATTTCCACTTCTACCAAGATCTTTAGCTTGCAGGATGGGTCTTGGGGCTCCGAGAAAAGCCCTTTAAAATTGAATAATTTTGACATAATTGATATTAAACTTGTTTTCAATTCGTCAAAGGATTCTGCACAAAGCACAAGCCCTGTCAAAACAAAGCATCTTGCACTTCTACTGGAAATGGCATCTACACTTGCAGTTGTCCAGTCGACTTCACTGGAAAAAATTGTTCCATTAAGATTGTTCCTTGTAAATCTAACCCATGTCTGAACAATGGGATTTGCACTGACATTTATGGCCGTGGCCCACCAATGTTTCAATGCAAATGTCTATATGAATATTATGGCACACGATGTGAGCACGAAAAAGGTAAGAATAAACTTTTCTTGATTTTTATTTATGTAATATGGATTTACATTGGAAAATGGTTTTCAATTTATTGCTTTGTTTGTAAAATGCTAGAAGGTTTTTGCACTTCTTTTGAGATAGTGTATTGTAAAATAGAGAAAGAAATGAAAAATGCGATTTTTCTTCAATGTTCACAGATCTAAAATCTTTTTCCAGGAAGAATTTTTAAAAGCTTTGCCTTTCAAAATTTTTGTTCCATAGATCCATGCAGTCACTATTTATCAGATGATACATGGAAAAGAAGCACTAGCTTCAAACACAACCCATCGCGGACTCCTTTGTGTGACAAGGGTCTCACACCAGGATGGTATCGTTTCACAAGCAAAGCTGGTGATAAAATGCCCAATGAACCGCCTAGTATCGGAGCTTGCGGTAATCTACTGCATTTTTCTGGGTTTGATTTTCATTATTAGCATTTCCAATCTAATCTTTTGTTATCTTTTGTTAAAGCAGCTTCGTTTAGATTTTTCTGAATACAAGTTATGATTGAAAATATCTTCATTGAATACGCAGTTCTGAAGAGTCGTCATTCGATATAAATCAATTCTAGATGTAAATTCCAGTCGTAAGCTCTAAATCAAACGACTCTTTGTTACACAATGTATCTTAATTCACTCTTGATCTTTTTGTTGATTGTAATTAAGGTATTTTTGCAATTACGCAATCAGTTGTTAAAGGTACATAAAATTTATTTTAGGAACACCTAATTCGATTTGGGCAAATGGAACTTTGCCAAAAACTGATGGTAGCTACAGTTCATTGGTGGCCTGTGTGAGAAACATTGACTCAACCTGTTCAGAGTCTTGGCCATTACCTGTGAAGCGATGCCGTGGAACTGCAGCTCATTTTTTTGTTTATAAGTTGAAGGACCCTAACAAATGTCCACTTTCTTATTGTGCAGGTATTGCTTTTATCACTATTTGGAATTGTTTGGAATTTAAAGCTGACCAAAATATTTTTACTGAGCACTTTCTGTCATTAGTGATCGAAATGTTGATGATATCTAGACATCTAAAAATAAGATGATGAGTATGTGATGAAACCGTTGCGCATAATAACAACTTGGTATTTAGGTTTATTATGATTGATTTGAAAATTTCTCAATTGTTTTTTCTTCTCCATTCATTTCAGATAATGAATCTATGATTGATTTAAAAAATTACTTCAATCTTTTTTATTCTCCATTCATTTCAGATAATGAACATATGATAGAGTTTAAAATCGGGATTTTTCTTGGATTTTTCTTCATAATATCAATATAAAATAATAATAATGATACATATTTATTCAGGATAAGCCTTTTCAGTACATGAAAAATACCGCTATCAATGAGGTTCCTGTTGATCTCATCCAAAAGAGCATTATTATGTAAAAATCATTAACTGAAACATTCCCATTTTATTAACTATTGTTAATGTCTTTATCAATCTATGATTTATCATGATATGCTGTCATTTATCAAGGTTTTCAAGTGCCATGTCCAAGGGGCAGAAGTTCTCTGACCGGTTTTCCACCGTGTGATGGTATGTTGCACACGTTTTTACAATTTCATGCATGTTTTTTTTGCTTTTAATTCAAGTCCAAAAAGCCCAGAAAATTGAGCAAGTTAGAAGTCAACCAAGAAATTAATTTTTCCATAGACACAACAACCTGATCTCTGTTGCTTCTTATTGCATCCCTTGTATCCGTCTCTCAAAAATGTGACTTCTTGTCAAGCACCACAGATTATCTCTGACATTCTTTTCAAGATTTACCATTTTTTTTAAAAGCAAACAAATGGTGCAACAGTTATTCAAGTTCTGAATGAAATTTTGATTATTCAATATCGAATCTCGCTTTACTTTATTCACAAATTCAGTTAGATTCAAAGCAATATTAATCTAATCTTTTCTTGAAGATCCTGTTCCTGTTTTTTGGAATGTCCAAGTGAAACCGTCCTACAATGGTGGCAACATCATTTTTAGTTGCAAATTCACTACAAAAGGGAAAGACGAAGGTGCTCGCTATGAAGTTAGATGGTTTCAAGGCAACTCAACGATTCCATTTCGAACAGCAATGTTAACACAAACTGAAAACAGTGACACAGTACAAAATGACCACAAGGCTGGCAAATGGCACTTTCGTATTGGAAGAACGGTTAGATATACATTTTTTCCCTTATAATTCCACCAAAATACAAACGTTTTTACATGTAAACTAGTAATGAACGATAAGATAGTTGTATGTACATATTATTTATGAATATTTTTGTTATCTTTTGCATTTATTTCCCTAAAAATATATGTGTCTTTCAATTCTTTACAATGTCTAATAGCTCCCATAAAGGTCCATGTGTTCATAATACTTCTATTATCAAAAGACTGTCTGTCCCAAGGGCCCTTTTCCTAACTTAATTTTTTAGCAGATTTCCTTCATTTTGTGCTTTCACGATTCTTTCTATGATGCCTCAAAACTTACGTGCGGATTTAATAATTATAAAAAGTAAATTACGGACATTTCAGCAGTTGCATGAATTGACAACGATTTAAAAAGCATCTTGAATGTACTACACATAATACACATATATACGGTTTGTATAGTATACTAGGTTAACTTCTCAAATACTTGAATGTATAATTTTGTATTAATTTTTTTAAAGGTTTACTGTCGTGTCAGAAGCTTTTATCAAAAATCTGCCAATATTAAGAGCCAATATTCCGAAAGCAATCATTTTTATCCGGGTTTAAAGGTGTGTTTTCCCTTTATTTTTATTAATACGGTATTTCACAATAACTTTATAACTGCACCGTGACTTATGAAACTACCATTAAAAGAATAAAGAAGCAACATGAAGTTGAAAATGAGGTTGTCATATTAAGGTCATATTATCATATTGTCATATTATTGAAAATTTCTGATGGAATGAGGCAGTTTCCGTCATTCAAGTTGCCTTTGTTTCTAATCTTAAATTCCTTGCTGATGCAGGTGGAGCTTCCCAATGCAAAGCGACACAAAATCAGGGAAGCAGGGGAACCACTGAAGATAACCGTATCACGTACAATTGATGTTGTTTGCTCAGGATCGAAGCAATGTTCTGTTCGCTTGTATATTAGTCATGACAATCCGGAGATATTACTGAGCACGTGTTCGGTGTTGCTTGATAACAAGCGTTCTTCGCAAACAATCGAGGTTCATGCAAAACGAGATTTCATCGACGATGGTGACAAATCGGTTACTTTGAAAATGGCAATCGACCAAGACACAAATGCCACTGATTGGCTATCTCACCAAGAATTTGACAATATCAATGTAGGTAACAAGTTCTTAAACTGACCCTTAAATTTTCTAATGCACGAAGTTCATAAATAAAGATATTTTAATGTTCTGCTATCGCTTATCAAGACATGATGTCAAGGTTGTTTTATTTTGCCATCTTAGATTGATGTCATTGATGTTCCAACTGCAAGGTGCTGGTCAAATGGTGATCCACGGATTCTCACTTTCGATAAGCAGTAAGTGATCTTACAATTTTGCTTAACAAACCTTAATACATAACAACAAGATTTTCCTCATAGAATATTTCACTTACTTCTGTTAACATTCTGTAAATATTTCTGAAAACTACTTCTCAATTCACAGATATTTTGGACACTTTCAACCAGGTGACCATGTTTTCGTCAAAAGCTCTGCACGCAAATTTGAGGTACATTGACATTTGATACCCAATTTTCGTAAAAGCTATACAATCAACGCTTTGACAATTTTTGTATCTTTTCGATTTAAACTCTTCATGTAGAGTGAAGAACTCTTGAAGTCTTCATTATTTGCTAAACCAACCTTTATTACAGTTAATGCTAGATAAAATATATTTTACATATGAATGTTGATAACAGACTTTAGCTGTGAGAACGAGCTAAAGCTTATGTGACTTTGAAGGTAAGTCTTTTACTTTTCTAAAATTGCTTCCAACCTTTTTTAGCTCTTTCAAAATATAGAAGGAATTTTGTGAAATGCAAAATTTTTGTCTACTTAACATAGGTCCACGTGCGCACATGGCAGTGTGGATCTGTTACATGCAATTGTGGTGTGGCAGTAACGGAAGGTGATGACACCATACTTCTTGACATGTGTTGGGATGGAATTCCAAGAATTCGATTCTTAAGCCACCAGGAGCCCGCAGAAGGCACAACAGTTAGAAGAGACCCTACTGGAAAGAGCTTCGTGGTAAGAAGTAATATTTGACACAATTATAAGCGGTTTGATCAAAAGAAAAGAGGATAATGGCTTAAAAGGAAACCTATTGATCGTTGTATTATATGAAATAAAATGAATCTGAAGTAAAACATTCGTAGCTTGTGGATGTGCTGGTCAAGACGAAATGCTAACCACATTGTCAAAGAGGCTACCGAAAGCACTTTTGTCTTTATTATTCTCTCACCTAATTCGCAAAGGAAATATTCTAGGACAGGAAATGCTTGTGAATGATTCCTCTGTAATTTTGGACAAGTTAATTTTAGGAAGAGTGTGTTCTATACCGAATTTTTTTACTTTTCATTAGAAGGCTCATTAAAAATATTGAAAGCCTTTGAGTGTTTATAATGAAAGGGCTTAGAAAGATCTTGTTCCACTTCACTGCTTCAATCATCTTACCTTCTTTTTGACCAAATTTCTATTATTCATTAATGATAACAAGCAATTTCACACATTCCTTTGAATTTCAGAAAGTTGTTTCAAAATCTATTCAATTAAGAATTTTATGCTGTTTCAACTTGGACGCATTTTTTGAAACTTCAGTCAGTTTTTAACAGTTCTGGTAATTTAATGCTTTATAGAATGTATGAATATGTTTCTAGATGAAATTTCCGTCCGGATCGTATGTGCGTTTCGACTCATTCTATTCATATGCAAATGTCATTGTCCAAATTCCCAGCGACGATTACCAATCAACGACAGGACTATGTGGAACATTTGATGGAAATTACTTTAACGAGCTGCTTAGCAAAGATGGAAATTATCATTATCATGAATACGGGTGGACTGCACCGCTAGCATTCTCAGAGAGCTGGAAGTAAGCTTCTCAAATTTTTCTAATTTACATATTCTAATATCTACTTTGCAACTATTTATACTTGTTAGACTGGATTACATTGCCATTCAATTCAATCCACATCTATTTCTCTTCCCATCTCTTCATTTTGATATGATGGGTAATGTTTCAAGGGCACTCATGTGATTGCCCAAATCTACCAAGCAATTTTTATAAAACTATATTTGGAACTATTATGAGCTTACATTTGGTAGCGCTTTGTTAAGTAATCTTTTTGATGAATAATTTCTTATTTTTATCTAGAATGCAGCTTGGAAGAAGCTTGTTTTATTATCGTGGGGGATCGTCAAAATGTATGAATTCAAAGACGGCCTATTGTGACTGCAGCTTACCTGCCGGCAGCACATCTAAGCCTGTATGCAAGAAGTATACATCGATTTATCAACAGACGGAATTCGAGCAAAGCTACCGGGGTTGGAAAGAACTTCGGCATCCAAATGCACAAAAATGCGCCAAAAGAAAGAGAAGGTCTTCCAGCAACGTTGTCACACTGCCTGACGACAATGATGCTCTTGATTACGTTTATGACCCAAAACCACTGAGGAATGTGACAGTATCATGGCCAACAAAGTCAGGAAAGACAGCAAAAAGTGTTACTGATTATTGTGAAACAGCCATTAAAGATTCGCCTCCTGGAAAGATTTGTGCTAAAATCAATGAGTTCAATTTTACAACATTTATCATGCAGTGTGTTGAAGACATCAAGGTAACCTTCTCCTTATCAATTTTCGTTTGTTTCTTTAACTACTCAAATATCTTGCAATAAACACAAAAAACATTTGGCTACTACAAAAGAAATACACAGGGGCGCAGTGGCTGGGGGGGGGGGCAGCCGCCCCCCTGGCAAAAAATTTGTCGGATTGTCGGAAAATCCAACGTTTGTCGGAAAATTTGAAATATTAGACAAAATGTAAGGTTTTCATCGATCGTGTCCAAAAGGTCGCATATTTCTTTTAACCTGTCGTAAAATAGGGCATGCTCAACCCTTCTTACTTATTTTCATTAGAGTATTTATCGGAATCATCGCATTGCTGAAATTTGTAAAGGAAATTAACGCTCTGGTCTCAGTTATTTCATAAACTCTCATTTCGAGCGACGAATACGCAGAAAGAAAAAGATGCCAGGGGAAAATTGCATAGATGAATAAGAGGGAAATAGGGAATCCGTATATCATCGTGATAGTGGATACAGCTATCAGCTCAATGAATACAATATTTACGTCTCATAAGGCAATTTTGACAGATTTTGCCTTGCTCAACCCTGAATGTTTTCAAAAAACAATTGAAAGGCAGTTGTGTGCAGTGTAATTCAAAAAGGTTGCGAAGAATTACGGCCTGGATGACGAAAAATTAAGAGATGAGTACAGCTTTTTCAAAGCTGAGGATTGTAAAAAAATCGGCTACGGTCAACGATGGGACAAGACCGCCTTTCCTCTCTGATAACAATCAACGTCGAAAGTGATATTTTACAGTCGATAGACTATGGTGACATCATCGATTTGTATGCTGCAACACCTCTTTTGAGAAAGATGCTGCTTGAGTAACAGTTTATATAAATTCAGTTAAAAGAAAACTATTCTTTTGGAGGCGTTATATCTATTAAAGGTTTGGCATAAATAAATGCAAAGTAATTATGATGCGATTTAAAACTTGCCAAAAAAACTTTTTGCTATAAACAGCTATAAACACTGACTTGTTTACTGTAGCTGTTTACTGTCTAGTATAGCGAGAAGATTTGTAGGGTGTAAATTTATAACTAGTTGCAGTTTTGTTCATAGCGATTTATATTTGATAAGTTTTGTTAGAATAAAGGCTATTGTTGAACTTGAATGTGTATAACGAACGATCCATTCGTTAACGATTTCCAGATCCATTCGTGATATTGTAGTATCAAGTGTTGCAGTTTATGCAGCAAGGGTAATCTTCAAGGAATGTATTGAGAAAAAATTTGTCGGAAAAATCATAGTTTTATCGGAAAATTTTCAGCTTTGCCCACCCAAAAAGTTAACTCCCACTGCGCCCCTGGAAATACATGACAATTTTGACATGGCTGCTACGTTTTTTTTGCTCAAGTCATTTCGGCGTTTCTAATAGAGAAGCACTTGCCTATTTTATTTTGAAGTGACTGTCATCTCGTATCTTTAGATTACTGATGACAATGAATTCGCAAGAGCTGCAGTTCGTGCAATGCAAGATGCATGTGAGGAAATTCTATTGAAGAATACTTTATATTGGGAAACAGACCCGTCGTCAAATGGCTCTATGGTCCCCTCTTTAGAAATGGGCAACACCCTTTGTCCAGGTATGTGCAGTGGAAATGGAAGATGCATAAATGCAACGTGTGTTTGTGATGGCAATTTTACATCTGCTGATTGTTCCATCGACAAAAACAAAGGACCTGTGGTGACGTCAATACCAGGCAATGGCTTATGCGATGCAAGAAACCGTAGTGATTGTCATTTGATAAGAATCTCAGGAAAAGATTTCATCGACTCGGAGCAACTTACGTGCTTATCCATCAAGGTGAAACAAATTCAACAGAATTGTTTTACACAATATTATGCACAAAAACACAATATTTAGTCAAGACAATATTAACGACGAGTGACCGTGCAAAACATCATTATCAGCTTAAAAATATTGGCCTTTCTTTTCAAAATTTATCTCCACCTAATATTTTTCTGTTCATTTTGCTCCACGAGGGTTTGGTAATAGCATTGAGAGGTAATCATCAATTGATTTGGAGTTGCATAAAGTCACATTCTCATTGGTGGAAGCTTCTTTGCAATGCAGGAAAACAATGTTGTTTTAAAGCTAATTATTCAGCATGTTTTAAGGAGGGCGGAAGAGCTACGACTCCAGGGGTCAACGGCTTAGGGCGGAAGAGCTCCTGTAAAGAGGGATAGTGTCCCTTTAAAAACACCGTAGAGGTGGTTCTGGGGGCCCATCTCTACTATTAGCCCCTTAGTTTTACCTATGACCACGACAACAAACCAAAACTCAGATTTTGGGATAGTTGGAGGGTCATGGTAGCCAACCTTCTGATAGAAGATGGTACCTGATGATGATTCAGCATGTTCGAAACAAACTATGTGCATTAGAAGTTTTTAAATGCTTAAACAGCATAGCACCGAAAGCATCTGAACATTACTTCACGAGCAACAATCACAAAATAAATAATCGCAAAAATAATAAAAGTTTAGTCATCCCAAAAGTAAGGATAGAAACTGGGCGTAAAACCTTTTTGTTCCAGGGAGCAAAGATTTTTAATAACCTACCCAATAGCTTGCAAACTGAAGCATCATTTTTAAGATTCAAAGCATCCAGCAAAGACACAAACTTCGATTTTCTGTCATTTTCTTGATTGTCATTTTAATCCTGTAATTATTTCAGCTTTTATCTGTGTAAAGTTTAAGTTTGTAAACTTTATTTTGTAACATACAGGTCTTTGGTTGATAACAGTAATTTACTTACTGGACAAATTAACCTGTGTAAATATGAAAGAATATCATTTTTATTATTATTATAGCGTAGTAGAACCTTAAACGTGCAACTAAAATCGGTGTTTCATAGGCTGATGTATTGTCAATAAGATGTATAATTAGAAGACGTCTTAAAGGAGCCTCATCTATGATTAAATTATAAATAGATTATCATCCCTTTGTAAGATATGAAATCTTCTGCTTATCAGGTTGAAGTAAAAGATGGGAGTAAAAATGATCAAAATGGAAAGCGGAAATTCAATTCAGCTTACCTACTCAGTTTTCGTGAGGTTCTGTGCGATTTAGGCAACCACCCTGTTTCTACTGTTGGTGACCCTAGAAGCTCAAAGGGCATTCCGTTTGCTAGTTATCGCCTTCAAGTGTCAAATGATGGGAATCGCTTCAGCAGTAACAGGCTACAATACACGGTTTACGACTCCAAATGTATGCAATGCAATGCCACCACCAAAGAATGCTCTTTAAAGGTACATTAAATCTATCTCTTTGCTTGAATAGACCATGGTCATAAGAGTTCATTTGAGCAAACTGCGATTTGATTCAATTAATTAACATTCTTCCATAGCATTTCTGAGCTCCTTTCTAGTTTGCTGACCTACCATTCGATTTGGTATGAGTCTTTTTTGAGAGGTTTTTGTGATGCTATTAGACTTTGTACATCTTCATTTTGCAGCCAAACACCTGCAACGTGAATGGTCACTGCTATCTCAATGGCGAAAAATACTCAAAAGACCCTTGCTTTGTGTGCAAACCATCATTAAACAAGTTTGAGTTTTCAACTGGTATGTATTAGATTTAGGTCGTGCAAATATGCTACCATAGTAATTTGAGCACACTCAATTCTTGAGGAATATAATCACATCACAATTTTAAGGATTTCAAGAAAATTAATGCTATCTTATAACTTCAAATTTGTTTTGTTATGCAAAGTGTTATATGTAGCCCTAAATCAACTATTCTTGATGTTGGCAAAAACAGCTGAGGCCCTTGTACCTACCTTTAAAGAAGGTGCGAAGCTTTTTTAAATTTTCCGCAATTCCAATTATTTTTTAGTAAGTTATCTGTTGATCACATCAGGAATCACAGTGGCATCCTCAATATATTTATCAACACAATCATAACAATACATTTTCCATAGAAGTTTCAACCGGCAGACATGCTCAATATTTTTATGGCCTCTTAAACTCTATCAAGCAGACGGCAAAAATTGATCTTAATATCTATCAATATACGGATATTAATGCCGTGGAATATGACGAGAGAGAACATGAATTTTTGAAATGTATTTTTCAACATTTTCACAAGGTTATTTTTTCATTGCAATTCGACTTAACATCGTTTTTGCGAGAGCAATTTTTTTATTGATGTTCCCTTTTCCTTCTAGAATGCACTGCAAGTAGCAAAAACTTGACATTACTGATTGTGTTGGCAAGTGTCGGGTCTGCAGTTTTTGCTGCTTTGATGGTTTGCATAATCATCAAAATAAAGAAAAGACCAACAAAAAAGATAACACCACGTGATCCCGACGAATCAACTTCAACTACTTTTAACAACAAGGCCTTCGAAGCAAACTGTGAAGTGGATAAAGCGCATAATTGAGGAATCGAAAAGAAAATCTTTCTCTACAGAGATTCAGAGATTTAGAACACAAGCTTGGTAATATTCTATCCTATAACATTTTAGATAATTAGTTTTATATATTAGTAGTTCTGAGATCTGTCTGAATCCAATACTGGCTATTTGATGATGCAGAATCTTCAGCAACAAGAAATGTGCAAGAAGCTATACCTTTTTGCCAACAGTAGCCTGTTTATAAAGTCTATAAAAAACTTTTCGCTGCATATAGAGTTTTGTAATAAAAATATAAAGCAATAACAAGATTAAATGGAATTAACCATTTTGCTTCAAGTTTGCATTCTGTTCTTGTTCTTTGTTTTTCCTTTTTTTTCAATTGACAGATTTATGCCATTGATGTATCATTTGTTTCTGTTTTGTGACACAGCCAAGTTTCCGTAAAAGTAGAATATAGATTGGCTTCCAAATTTTTACTTGGAAAATAGGCTTTTGCGTTTTATTGCCAAGACTATTTTTATGTGGCACTAAGTTTAGGACATGTTAACTCTGTGTTCATTCGTTGAGTGAGTTCCAAAGTAGATGCATTTTGCCATTTGCTGTTTGTTTAGATCATAGTCAATATGTTAAGATCAGGGGAGTGGTGGAAATTTTCATGAGCCGGGAAAATCAAGTTTTGAGGGGCACACCATTTTGATGCTGATTGCCTCTTCTTTACATCACTTATAATATATTGGAAATGATTGCCGTAGAGGCAGCGTGGTGCCTTATTTCACTTGTTTTTCTCACAAATCTGGTGTTACAAGTGATAAAAGCTTAAAGGAAGAGAAATTCAAGAGGCCAACATCGCGGTGGGCCACCCCTCCCCTGATTTTGATTGAAATTAAAAAGGCAGTGAATAGAAATGAATGTCCATCAATGACTTACAGAATGTTTCATTTAGAATTTTCTGACAGAAAAGGCAAAATTTTACTCATATGACGCCATTTCTCTCACTTATAAAGCCTGTAAACATATCTGCCTTTTTGAATTTGTAGTGATGGCCTGTTTCAGTTTTAAAGCGGAACAGAAAGCTTTTGCTGTTGATGCTGAATAATGTACATTGTCGTATTTTCAGTTGTCGGAAATTTGTCAAAGTTTCTCGAGAGTTCAATAACAATCTTAAAACCATGTGTGAATCAATATCCTGCTGTGGATTTGCTTTGAGCATCCAAATGATTAGTTAATATTTGTCCGAAAATTAATTTGTCTGAAAATTCAAAAAGATGACCCAAAGAATTTTCGCCGAAGTTTATTGTCCGAATTCTTATCAGCTGATAATTTGTAGTTAATGTAAACCAAAAAATTAACTCTTTTATAAATATTTGTGAAAGTTTCCTTTCGTTTCATTTCATTCCATTTCATTTCATATTTTCAGCAATTAATCCTAAAATGTATAATTATCAAGATGCTAATAGTTAAGAGAAAATTTGTCAAGATAAAATTTTATTGTCAAAAGTTACATCTCAGGTAGTTAGAAAAGTGCTGACAGGCATATGAAAATAAATCAAAAAAGTTTTCGAGCATCATGCCCACGGTGATGTATTCGTATGTAACAAAACAACATTAAAAAAAAATTGACTAGTTAATAGAACGATATTTACGGTAGGATGCTATTATGCTAAAATACTATTTCCCTTATTGTTTTTTCATCTATAGGCGCATAATTTATAATGTAACAAATGATTTGTTGTAGAAAATTTAAATCCTTTGCGGGGCTATATACAGGCGAAAACAATCCTGCCTGTGTTTCAGAATGCGGAACAGGATTGGCCCACTACCTGCCTACACCAAATCATTGTCATCTCAACAAAAATTGGTTGCTAGGTAACCGTCACAACCGGGGAAGTGTTGTGATTACTCATGTGCTGCTCATTTACTGACAAGAACAAGGGAAAACAAAATGGTGGCAAACTAATACTCAGTGGCGGGTGGACGCCAGATTCTGAAATGCCTGCCGATTTTAATGATGTTAGGGAATATGTAGGTATAAAGCCAATGCCCACATCATCTCACGTTGGCTTACGGATAACCGCTCGATGTTCAACTCCAGTGTACACATGCGAGAGTCCTGCAAGGCCAGAGGTTGTGAAGCAAAACTATGACAGGCGACGACATCAAATAAGTAGCTGCGGTTACAGATCTGTTAACTTTAAGCCCTACAAAGAAGTTGGAGAAGTAATACTGAATGAAAAGGAGTTGATTTTGAAGTCGTTGGGACAGGGCATCACAGAAAATACAGAGGTTTGTCATTAAAATCAATCTAACTTTAGCTTCGTCGTACAGATAAAAATTCAAAATTTGAAACAATCATCAGAGAACCTTTAAATTCTGAGAACCAAGAATCTGAGAACCTTTAAATTTAAAACAATGTAATTGATTTTTTCCCCAACATGTGCTTATCTCAAAAGGTTTTCTGTTTTTGAGGCAGAGAGTGCTAAATTTTCGCACAACAATAAACAATGAATTATAAGAACACTGATGCCACATTTAAAACACGACAAAATGCCTACTCAGTATTAACAAAAGACTCAAGTTGTCACTAAACAAAAGGGAAAGAAAAGAAATTATATTTATTCAACTGGAGCCTTTTTCACAAATCAACAAAAGGCAACAATTGCATGCTGAAATGGAATTCTGATCTATTGTTTTGATTTTCTATGGATCAGAATAATCAGATACTTTGCAAACAGGGGTGCCATTTGCCAATAAGGTAATGCAGGACAATTACCATTTTTGTTCAGTACAAGGCATGGAGTCGAGGAGGAATTTTCATAACAATAAAAAATAATCAAGCAGAAATTAAAAGTCATGAATGATGGAATTCCAATCTATAATTGTTGTTGTATAGACCCACCATTAAGAGCTCTTACCATAAACAAATACCTCTTAAGAGCTCTGTGCCTTTCTGGCCTGTAAAATAGTATTTTATTCTAATTGAGTTTTCTTTTGAAATATTTGGCTTGTTTAATCATTTTTTTACTCTCTATTTCACTACATTGGATTACCTGTTTATTCACATTTGCTAGCCTGTTTTTCTGAGAGAGATATCTTTAATATTTTTAATCCTTTCAAAATTTATCAGACCTTCGATGTTATATACTTGTTTGAAGGTTGACATGTACAATGCCTGACAAAGGTGTTAGAACAGTCCCTTCATTTTTCCTACTCAATGTCTCTTTCTCTCTCCCCCCCCCCCCCATACAATGTTGGATTCTGGCTAGAAAGTGACAAAAAATGTAAGTTAGACAGTGAATTGTATAACCGATGTTAAGCAAAGTGTTGATCTTCCTTCCCAACAAATTCAAGGGGAGGGAAGGGGGATTGGTTTGCTTGAATAGGGAAATGAACTGAAAAATATGCATTTGATACAAGTACAATCATAGTGTTCCAACTAATTTTGGCAGCCATTGTAGCTTTGGCCTGTTTTTGAACCATGAATCATACTCTATTGACTAGAAACATTTCTATATGGAGCCAATAGAAAACCAAACTCTCTTTTAACAAATATCCACTGCTTTCATTTTTTGCCATCTGTAATTTTGAAGGGTCAAGAGGATGAAGACAAAGAGCAAAGTAACCAGTTGAAGATTGATAACAATGATGCCCAGAAGGAGGTACGAAATGGCTAATAAATACATTTAAAATCCCTAACCCAAGGTTTTGTGGTTTATAAGTGTCATGACATTCAGCAATCGTACAAACTGAGATAAAGCATGAAACTTGCTAAAAGATGATATTCGCAACAACATTGGATATAGACCTTTAGGAAAATGGCCCCTGTGCTAATTTTAGGCAGGGGTACTTGTGCTCGGTACTTCGAAGACAATATTGTCATAATTGCTTTACTGTTAGCTATACAGCTGTGAAATTGCTAATCCTACACAATTTGGTTTGCTGAAAATAACAAGAATAGTTTGCTACCTGAGAAATACCCAGGCTTGCATCATTGTGAGACTGGGGTACTTGTGCCCAGTCCACTGAACATGATATCATGGTTAGTTATACAGCTGTGAAAATTGACAACCCTATAAAATTGATTTCACTGTAAAAGGGTAAACAGTTTCATTTGCTGAATTAGACAAAAGTGATCACCTACCTTTATGCATTTTTAAACTGGGGTACTCTTGCCCAGTCCTCACAACAAAAAATCATGATAGCTTCCATATAGTTAGCCAACAGCAATAAAACCTGGTAATCCTACTCAATTTGATGTGCTGAAAAAGGTTGTTGTCTCCTAGGTAAAAAATAACCCTTGCAATATTTCCAATGTAAGGCCATTCATGAATTGTCTCATTGCTTTCAAGAAATCCACTCACCTTATGAAATAATTTACACATATAACTATTTATCCTTCCGCTGCCAATCCATATTATATTCTGAAATACAGCTAAAGAGCTTTGCTCAAGGCAGATCTTGAAAGTGAGCTTCTTTTTCCCACTTGCAACTTTTCAATTCGCTCGGTACTTTTGAACTTTCTTTATTGTTGTCCATCAAGCAGATAATTTTGTATCATAATATTGCATCAGGCAGCATTACATCTTTTGGCAGTCTTGTCCCCAGACTTGCCGGTTATACGGCTGTACAGATCAAACATAGCTTCTTCGATTTTCTTTTTCACACTTGTGCATGTCAGTTACCACGCAGAAAGCTAATTTAATATCAATGCATGCAGTCTTGAAGGTTAGCTCATTAGAGAATCATCAACATGGACCAAGTGAATTATTGAAAGAGCTATGCTTTCAAAGCTGGAAACGAGCATTGGAATAATGAAATACATCTCTAAAAATGGCTTTGAAAGAAGCAAGTATTTTGAAACACACCTAAGTTTTTCGTCACTCTTCAGAGAATAAAACGTCAGAGCAAAGACCCGAAAATTCTACGCAAGGAAATATATGGATGGAAATGGGCCAGTTAGAGACGCAAGCACATTACTGTCGAGGTTGCCCACGTTTCGATCCATAACTGTGTATATCTTTTTTCTAGCATAGAGTTTTCGACGAGTGTCAGACGAAAAGCTTAAGTATATTTCATAGTTTTTACTTTCCTAAGCCATTTTTAAATTCTGTTCCCCAAAAAGATTGTTTGCAAAATTTCCTTTTATCACATAAATACTTGGAAATACAGTCCTCAGAAAGTTTTGATATAATGTGTCTTTCGTTGGTGGAACGAGAACAATTGGTCTAAATAGAATTCTTGGTGATTCTTGGAAGGATTTTCAAATGTCTCTCTTGCAAGCAATTCTTGTCCTGCACAATGTCGAGTATCATCTTCCTCGTAATTGCAAGGACCATTGCAAGGATCTGTCATTGGTAAGAACCACTTCTATTGCTGTGCCTACGATAGCTGTTAGTCTTCTTTGTTATGTTTTGATGACGATAGACAAAACTCCTAGCATTTTGAGAAGCTCACATTTTATTTGCAACAACTCTCAAGACGTTTTTCCAGGTTTCTGGCAATAGATTTTTATCTAAACTGAACTTAAACTAAAATAAAAACAAAAAGCTGTTGAATTTGGCCATTATCAAGAAGTGTTCCAAAAAACAAGGCTGCATTGTTGTCAGCGTAATCTTGGAAAATTCTTTAACTGGAAAGGAGACACCATATGAGCAAAAGCTGCACCACCTAAGAAGACTGCCAAAATTTCCTATGGCCTCTCTGTTTCAGCAAGAATTCATTGATCGAAAATGTTCAAAATGGCTGGTTTTGTGGTTTGCCTCATCAACACACATTGCGGTGTTCATGTGGGGAAACAATTACGTAGTTACTTTCTATAGTTCTCTTACCTAGAGAGGCAATATTTTCCGCTTAAAGACACATTACAGCATTAAAGGTTATCACCTAGTTTCCTCAACATGTCCAATTGTGTACATTTAGAAAATTTCATGGCTATAAGCTAACTACAAGAAAGTTACCACGAAAACATATTGCTAGATCTGGATACGAGTACCCCAGTCTAAGAAAAACGCAAGGGGAATTTAGCAGTAAGCGGACAACTTTTATCTTCTTCAGCATATCAAATTGTATTTGTTTGCCAAGTTTCCCGTCCGTGTATCTAACAGTAAGGAAATTTACGTCACAATGTGTCTCGAGCACTGAGCACTAGTATCCCAGTCTAAAAATAGCACAATGGTATTTTTCTGAGCGGAGCAACTTTATCCTTTTTCAGCAAATCGAATTATGTAGGCTTGTCAACTTTAACGGCTGAATTGATAACTTTATGGAAGCTACTATGATATTTGTTCTGTTAACTGGGCACATGTACCCTAGTCGAATAATAGCTCCAGTGGTTTTTCTCAGTTGGCCAATCTTTTTTTCAGCAAATCAATTTTTGTGGGTTTATCAAGTTTCACTACTGTACAGCTAACACTAAGGTTTCTTTAACAGTAGCGTCTGGGCACAAGTACCCTAGTCTAAAAATAGCACAAGGGGAAATTTTTTAAAAGAGGTCTATATCCAATCGCTTATCAAATTGTGGCTACTGCAGGCTACTGCTGGCTACTGCAGGCTACTGCAGGCTACTGCAGGCCAATGGCCTCCACAGACCCTTCCACTTCTGCCGATCTTGTGCCTCTCTCATCGACGTGATACCAACGATGGTCTGTAGGTCATCACGCCATCTTCCCTTTGGCCTGACTTTTCTTCTTTCCTTCTGAGTGGTGTCCATCCCGTTTCTTTCTTTGCCAATTTTTCCTGTCTCCATTCTTGCCACATGTCCTTCCCATTACAACTTCAGTTTATCTGCTTTCTTTACAATGTCCATAATTTCCTTGCGCGATCTTATATCTTTACAGATGTTTCTTCTCCTGCTTTCAGCATTCCACTACAATTCCGTCTTCTCCTGGAGCTTTCGCATTCTTCCTCTGTTTAAAAGTTGCTTCAAACTCACTCTCTACCACAGGTGGTACATTCTCTGTAATTTTTGAGTTGATATCTTTATAGTTTTCCTTAAATTTCAGAAAGATATTATCACTATCACACACCCGAAGCCTGAAAATTTGCAAAAATTAGAAGACCAGTTGACTAAAGGAAGGTAATTTCATTACTTTGGTTTTTTATTTTATTATACATTACCATGCCACGATACTTGCCTTTTTGCTTTTCAATCCAGTTGTTGCCAAATGAGGGAAATAATAATTCCCTATAACTTATCTGTAGTCTCTTGTGCCAGAGGTTGAGGTTGTGTTTATAGCCCCTAATTGTGTTTAATAAAGTGTGTGTGGCAATCTTGTTCCAAACTTTAAATCTTTTTATTTTCATTGCTTACATATTTCAACATAATAATAAAGTTTCCAACATTAATAAAATCTAAATAAGCATAAAATACACATGGCATTTTTATGATTATCATCAGGCATCTAAATAATTTGATGTTAATTGCAATCTTTTGATTATCATAACACTTCTAACATTCGTTTGAGCGGACACAATTTTAAAATAGCTTCAAAGTGGCAAGCATTTTTGACAATTGCTAACAGCTAACAATGTTAACAGCTTCTACTTTTCGAACACTTCTTCATGTTATATTTTGTTGGTTTTCAAACACTTTTTGCTGGGTGTCTATGACTTCATGAAAATATTTCAGTGGTCTTGCATTATGTTGCTGAAAAATGGCATCTGGCCTTGCACCGTTTGCTGAAATCCAGCTATAATTTCTTTTCCTGCTATGAGAGACTGTAGCAAGTCTGACATCAACTGAATTTGTTGAAATTCCTTTAGATCACCTACCCATCCAACTAATTTTGGCTGCCTTTCGGTGTGCCTGACAGGAAATCTTCATTACGCTTGGCTAAGCCCCTTTGCACTTGATAGGGAACTCGAAATCTGACAGTTTCGCCAACCACCTGTATCTTCAAATGGTTGTTGTCTGTCATTTCAGCAACTCAAGGTCCGTAGTTAATGTAATCTAGAAAGCCTTTTGTTACTCCGCACTTAAGGAAATTCGGTATGCCATTGTTAGTGGTGATGTAAGAGAGTCAATGGAATTTCCGTCATGTTTTCATTTTATCAAAGAGTTTATCTAGCAATTTATCAGACCTTTAGATATAAAACATTACGCTATATGTAAGGTCAATATCGAAAATTGTAGCCGGGTAAAATTTTTCTGCAGGCATTTAATGAACAAAGTTAAATTGGGTATTGGCCTTTTCAAACTTATCAAGGAGGAACAGAACAGAAAGGTATCTGCTGCCTTTTTGTCTTTTTTTGGATTTTCACTTAAATTTTGTTATTACATACCACAAATAAACTTTGTATTTTTTAATGAAATATCTGATCAGGTTGAGAAAATTATGTATGAATTTCCTGTAAGTAAGGTTGTGTCGAAATTATCGTGTCAGCTCTGACTTTGTGACTTCCATCAAGATATTTTTAGATGATTTAACAAAGTGTGACTTGAAAAATCCTTGTTTGTGTTCTTAATTCTCCTGTATGTTAAGAAAGTTCAAATTAATAGAGAATACATCGGAGTAGAAGGCGTTTGGACAGCACCTTCAAGGAATTTGGCTATAAACATTTTCAAGTAGAGAGTGATGTGAATGACGATTAATCAACCTTGTTCTTTAGAAAGTGTTAACTTGCCAATTTTTATTTTTCTTGTATGTTTCAATAAAGTTGTTTGTTCATTAATATTCTAAGGTATCAAGTAGTCACAAACGTAAGGTATTCATGTAAATCCACTTTAAAATTGAACAAAGCAAAGATCGAATAATTATATTTTGGTTATTATGTTTTTTCGGTAGAAGAAAATACATTTTATTTTATATCATATAGCTTTCGTGTGTATTTTTGTGAAAGATATCCAAAATAGAACTTCTGTTTAGGAATTCGTTCTGCTGGAGTTAGTTATTTCAATTGCACCGTGTACTTAGTAGTCATAGTACTTAATTTTGAGCACTTCGCTGTTTGATAATAGTCTGTTATCACTAAGAGATACTTTTTGCACTGTTTCAGGCAATTGAAGAGGAATATAGCAGAATTAAAAGTGAAGTTGAAGCAAAAAAGTCTATGAGACCATATGATCCAGATTGGGATTTTGAGGATGAAATTGAGGATAGTAACGATGTCAGGTATAAAATAGTACCCTCTTTGCAACTTAACTTTTTCCCTTGCTTTCAGCTCTACCAATTGTGATGTTTCATTTCTCGTTTTCATATTCATATAAGTATCATATTTTTGACCGTCATATCAAGACACATAATTTTTACTGTGGATTTTTCTCTTCGAAAAGTTGATCATTCTAGTTGTAATTTCAAAGTATCTAATTATGACTTTTTCGCAAAATTTTTTGTTCATCACAATCAAAGATCGTTCTATTTAGTTCCCTAGTACATGACAACATTCTCACTGAAACAAGGACTACAGAACTAACAAGAATTGAATTGCACACAGAAGAGCACGAGGAGAAGAATGAAATTCCTCTCAAAAATGGTGGAATAGAGTGTAAGTAGATTCAAAGTAAAAAATAACAAGGATAAATTGTTACCAGATCTCAAACAGCATTAAATTTTTTATAATTATATTTCTAACTTTTTGAAGCCTGTTTAAACAACGATCCGTTTGACTTTGAGGCTTTTGACTACATTATTGATCTTTTTAGCCACTGATTTAGTGCTTGCAATGAATACCAGTGATGGGGAAAAAAATTCTGGTTGTTTGAATGAAAGGCCAAAGTCAAGGTAGTTGTTATTTTATTACCACTTACAGTCTATAGTAGTCAAAACATTACAGCGGTTAATCTCATGTGCTACAGTGTTTGCCAGTTGTTGAATATAGAACGGTTTTTCTGTTTATACCACAATAGCCTTTCGTATGTTGTTTAATAATTCTTATGTCAATTACACCGTATTTGTTAAGGCTTGTAATCTTCTTACATTACATTGTATAATCATCTGTCTTTTTTTCAATTTCTAGATATACTAATTATACGAATGATGGACTAGTATAAACAATTTTGTTGCGTTGTTAGAAGTTTCATGCAACTTAGTTTTATCTACTTTTGCCTCGATTTAGGTCCTTACATCTTCAAGAGAAGAATGATGCAGATGTTCTATCTGTTGGAAACTGCAGTAGCCGTATTGCTAAAAACAAACTGAATAGGAGCAAGAAATACAAGATAACCATGCCTAGACCATTTTCTCCTATTTTCACCAACGTCAATTTTTACGAGACTGGATCCAAGTATGTTGAAAATGAGCTTGTTTTATACCTGTAGAAAATTCTTTAAGCAACTGTTTGAGCATCAGCTTGTACAAGATGCCCAATCATAAACATAAATCCATTTTTTTGCAGAGAGTATACATTTCGTCAGCTATGTGCGTTATACTGGATACTAGAGGCAATGTCACAGGACCAGAATATTGTGATGCCGCCTATTTCTACATGCTGGAAACTCAAGTATGAAGTTATTGTTGTAGAGAAATAAATCATATTTTCACTCAAAAAGCGAAATCATTACTTCACAGCTTTTGATTTTTTCCTGACTTAATCTTAAGCAATTTTATCTGAACAGGTTATTTGTTGTATATGTAGCTTTATTTCACATATGATTACTTAATCTATTATATCATATGTGTTAATTAAAAATTGAAATCACCATGATTAGTTTTCTTATGTTATTCTTTTGGTGCTCATTAACTGTGTTGTTATTTGCCAATTGTGGTACATCTCTTAAAATATTTGTATTTATATTAATATTGTATTTTCTATAAAAATTTGCTATTTTTTTAAATTCCAGAGATTTGAAGCAAGATCTACACACAGCACAATGGAAAGTTGATAGAGACAAAGCCGTTGACCCAATATGGACAGCCTTTTTAAGAAATCCTAATAGATTCACAAGGGTATGCCCTTTTGTGAACCACCGTTACACATTCTACATTCTGAAGCTGCTTGTCGTGGAAATATTGTCATTGTATCGTAATTTTACAGGGCCTCTTGATTTAATGATGTCAATCTTTACATGTTTTTTAGATAAAACGTTTGTTTGGGAAATGCATTTTCTAGTTTGAAATATGAACGATGTATCATCATAACATGATGACGTTAAAAAATTTTGATTTTGAAATTTTTCAGTTTTGACCATTCATCCCAAAAGATCATTATAAAACACCTCTTAATGTCCAAAATCAGTTAATTGTGTCACAATTTGGCGAAGGTATTGCCACATTAGCACAGGCCCTTTCCCCATCAGGCTATTTCCCCTTTAGAAGGCCAGATAAGTAGTAATCCGCTAGCAAACTTGAATTCTTTTATTGGTAACATCTCGCCCAATTTTGAAGGCATCTGAGTGATTTTGCTTTTCAGTGGTATTCTATGCCTTTCTTTAAGATAAATAAATTCTAAAAATAGATTTTTGATGACGTCACACTTCGGTACTCTATTATTGTCTCCATTGCACTTTTTCCAAGATTTTGGCTTCAATCAAAGTAATTCATTCAATCCTTTTAGTCAAAGCCAGGTGGACGGGGTGGTCTGCTGCAAAGAAGAATATCAATTGCGCCTAATGCACTTCGAAGAATATCGGCTGCTTCAAATGCGACACAGGCATCAGGCTTCAAATTTTCTTCACTAAGTGAGCTTTCTGAAACTTTCTACACTTTTTCGAATTCCTTTTAAACTGTCAGTGATCTTTGGAAATTCTTCCTTTTCCGTCATCCGATCTACATATGTTCATTGATGCTATTTAGATGAACTTCCTTTCCCTCCAAGAGGTTCATTGCTCTCAAAAAAATTAGGTTTTATATGACGTATAACCAATGTTTGCAGACGACAAACCCTTGTTCTTCGGTTACCTTAAAATTCGATCACAAGCTCAGACCATTGTTAAAGATCCCACAATAGTGCTTTGAACCTCTATACCATTGCGTTGTAGGCGAAGATTCAGCTAGCACTTCGGCATCTCACATGCCAGCAAGCAAAGAAGAGTCAAGAGGAAGGAGTTTGAGCAAACTAGGATTTTTATTCAAGCGAGATGAAGTTTCTGCTGATGAAAGACGATTTAATCGTAAGCTTTAATTCGTGCTGTTGCATAGCTTTTAAGACTATTAATATTGTTCAGTCTTGATTATAAAGTGTACGTTCGTCTAAAGTTAATTCATCACTTTGGGGAACGAATTTGTGGTGAATTTTGAATCTTGTGAGGGGGGGGGGGAGATGTAGGTAGGTTTGCAGAAATGTCATTAACCATGTTTTCATATCTCTCTTCTATTTTACGAATAGCTATTTTTTAAACTTAGCACGAAAACCAACTCTAGCTCAAGTTGCAGAAGAGGCGAAAACGCAGCAAGCCCAAGTATCAGGACCCAGCCTGAAAGAAAAAGCTTTCATTGTTAGAGAAGTTGTTATTGCCAAAAATGTTTTTGGTAGACGAGGGTCAAAACTGAACAAAGCCAGATCATCATCAGTAACATTGGCAGCGGCGAAATCTGCTACCGATAAACTAAAAAAGGTATATTTGAAAATTTTTGAAAGGAAGGTATATTTTAGAAACTTAGAAAGACCAAAATGTTTTCATGCAGACTTCTAGTTTGCACAGCCTTGGCACATTAATTGGCATTAAGGAAGGTCTTTAGACTGTTTCTATAAAATTTGTCTTTATTTCGTCGAAAAATATTTTTTCCACAAAAGTTTATGTATTAGGTGCCAGTCACAGTAATGGCAGCGGCTGTCCTCCTTTTTTTATCAAGTAGTTTAGTTTTGCTTATATAAAGCTTGCTTTTGCTTATATATGGCTTCTATACTTTAATTATAGGTTTTTTCTGTTTCATTTCAAAATAAATATCCTAGGCCCATGTATTCACTTCGAAACTAAAGTGATAAAGGACACTAAAGTAATGTCCCCGAAGCAAACAGTATCCATGAGTCAATGTGCGTCTCTCAATGCATCAAATTACAAGTATAAGATCTTAAATCCCTTACTGGTTATCCCCCTAATGTTCTTATAGTGTTTAGCAAGTATATTTGTTAATACCACATTTCCTTCCATGTATAGCGTATATTTGTTTTTAGACAGATAGTTTACACTCTATGCTTTTACTAGCTTTACAGTGGAGAGTCTCCAGCCTTCTTAGGTAATTTCAAATTATGCCTTGAATTGAATTTCAGAATAAGAAGACAATAAAAGAAACGTCTCGGAAGGAATCCTTGGGATTTCCAGGCGATATCCCAGAGACAGGTAATAGGTTTAAAGTTGAAAGTTATATCAAGATTTTTGGATTTGGTTTTGATATCATTAATCCAATTTCGATTCTGCTTTAAAACCATTTTCTTTGTAAAATTATGATTTAAGCAGTCATTGAAATGAAGCAACAAAGTATTCGCATTGTGTCTCTTTTTTCATTGATAAGATAAGGTTGAATTGAATGCTATCATGATAAAAGCTTCATTTTATTTGGTAGGCAAAAGTCTTGATCACTTTGGTACAGAAACAACTGGTGTTAGCGAAGTTTCAATAATCGATGAGAATCAAAATGTTCCACTGAAATTTAAAGAGAGATTCGAAGAGCTTGCTGCGGAAAAAGCTCTGATACTGCATGATAATTTAGAGCAAAGAGAAAAGTAAGGTTTTTACTTCCAGCTTTTTTTTGTATCATTTTCAAAGAAATGTTTTCCTATTTTTTCCTAGTAAGTTTAGTTTTTTTCATCATAATTTTCCAATTTTATAAAACAATTTGTATGATTTATATTACAGGCTCATATTTTTAAAACACCTGTTAAGCGCTGCGCTAGTTGGATTTATTAGCGCTATTTATGTCTGATTATTGCTGATGCAAGGTTTATTTCGCCAAAGTGTCCTCCACTTGAGATTTGCACTTTTATCTACGGAGATTTTTTTAGTGATGGCTGTTTTTTAATTAACTTGCACTTTATGTCTGTAATTTATGTATAACGAATGACTTAATTATAAACTGAAACCATCCAATTGCACGTACAGATTTCTATTTTACTTTGTTTAGGACCAGTGTGCAATCAATGGAAAGAAAATTTTGTTCTCTTCGCATCATGAGTGATGTAAATAAGGCAATAAGTGTTATGCGATCGAAAAGTAGGTTAAAAGTCGAAACTGACGAGGAGAAAAAAGCAAGGTTTTCAGAAGAGTGTTCATGGTACGTATATTTTGCAAGCAACGGATTATAATTCTTCAAATTTGATGTTGGCTTTATTTTCTTATTAAGTTGTCTCCTTTTTCTTTAATAGTCCGAGAATAACAATCTTATCCACTGTTTTTGAGACCCGATTATTTGTCATCATTCGACTGACTATTTCCCATCACTAAGATAAAAGAACGTCCTCAGCAATAATTTCTTATTCGTTTTATATTGATGCGACCTTTTATAACGATCTCCTCAAATTGGTTACAATTTTATCTATCTACTCGCATTTTTTAGTTTAGATTCAAATCTGTATTGGCTTTGGAAATTGTTTATGCAGATTAATAAGAATTGCTACCTGAATGGTTTTATGAAAAAATGTTTGTCACAGCTCTTTCTCAATAATTGTAAATGGATAGTTCTCCTATCACATCTTTGAATATTTTCTCTTTTCTATACAAGCACTGAATTTTTTGGTCAACACTCAGACATTGCCCATGCAACCTTATGCTACCTTTTATGGGCAATCCTATTATGAAGATAAGGAGAACAATTTAAATGCAACGTGTAAATTTTTGTAATGATCTTGAGATATATTTGCACAGTGTATAAATATATTCTTATAGGTCAACCAGTCTGGAAACATGTCTTTAGAATTTCACGTTTTAGCTGTAAAGTTTCTTCCAATATTGACATTAAATGTTTGGAAAAATTTACAGAATGTCCTTAGCTAACCATACGTGACATTTGTTGCTATGGATTTTCCGGCATAACAAATTGAAGGTATATCAATCAAAGATCTGGACAAGTTGCAATATTTAGTGACGTTTGTTTAAAACATTTGCCAAGTGCAACCAGAAACTTTCCCTCGCCGGCAGATATTGAACCATATTCATTTTCAAACTGAACAGTCTGCCACAAATGAATAAGATAACTTTTTAGCTCAGAAAGTTTTGTTGAAGCCCCTTTTTAAGACATAATGCATTTATTTTGTTTTCTTTTGGAAACTTTTTGTACCCTAAACTGTATTCCAGGTACAAGAGCCTCCTTGAAAATCTTTCTCCTTGCATTCGCGAGGACATGAATAATGCTCTTGTGTTGGATAAAATTGCAAAGTATGGCTCGGTATGTAATACAAGTCCTAATCTCCTTTCCTCCTAAATTAATTTTTTTCACATTTGAGTTCATTTGCATTGATGATAATTGCTAGAAACAAAGTGAGTCGATAAGCCCTTTCTGAGAACTTTAGAGATATTCGATGTGACTGATCTGCAGGAAATTAACGTACAAAGGCTATACTCGCGAAAACTTTCTATATTCATGAACAACGCTCGATTGAGATTGTTTTTTATAAAGACCGGTAAACATGCAAATTTGCTTCACATTTTCCCATGATTGCAGATTTTTATCAAGTGGACGGCTTTACAGGTTGCTACTAATTGCGTTTGGCTTCTAAAGTTAATCACAGATGTCTCATTTGAAAAGTCTATCACATATATACAATGAAAAATCTTAGATTTTTTTCAAAAGCACCTGAAAGCTATATTTTCCATATGTCATTAAGCAAAGGTACATTTAAGCTAATCAAATTCACTTAGAACTTTCAGCTAATTAGAGGTCGCAATTCGTAAGTCAACAGTCATGCGAACAGCTCTAGCTGTGGGGATTTCAATAGAAAAAACACAAACCATCGTTTTGCTAACGATGAAAAGTCTAATTGCTCACAAATTCAATACATGTAGAGCTTATTTTTTGTCGAAAATGTTTACTGTTTTCCAAGCAATGAAAAACCGAGTTTCTTTTACATACTTTCCACTGGTGGGTTGTGATTGGTAGAGTGATTAAAATGTAAACAAATCACTGACTCTCTAAAGAAAATTTACCCTTCCCGTGTAAAACTGTCGAAGTTGGTGCACAAAAATTTCTTTCAGATGCGTTCATCGCCATGAGAGTAATTATTTTACAGTTTTAATAGCTGCTAAGTCCAGTATTTTTACTGAATAGTATTTATTTTGTTGGCTATTATTCTTCTTAATTTGTATCGACCTGTTGTTTGGTGCACAGAGGTGAAAAATAACAGCAACTTTTTTCAAATTTTTCTTTTTTAGTGACTGTTTTGTGTGACTATTTTTAGTGAAGCGTTTCAATGAATCACAGGTGCTAGATTTCGTATCTTGTTAAGCAGCAAAATATATTTTAATGGCCGTTTAACTGCCCATTTTTTGATCATTCAAGAATTGGAACTAAAATTTAACTGAATATGATGATAGAGAAGGATCTTGCTAAAACATGCTGTATTAATGGATATAAACGTCCAATTAGGTTTCAGTTAATTCATCCAAGGTGATAACTCAGAGTTCATGCAAGTTTTATCTTAATTGCACTTTAGATGGAAGGAAGAAAAGTGAGCAGCGTACAGTTTATCAAGGCGTTATCGATTCTAAGGCCGTGGGAGCTCTGCCACCCTGACATCAGTGCAGCTATCGAGGTATCCAACTCCTCCATTTACATTGCTCTGTAGCTTTCTGTCAAAGATAGATTTTGCCTTTTAATACAGTTATTAGCTGTGTCTTTAACTGCTCTGTTATTTTCCAGTTTGTTCGTGATAAGATTGTGGCGATGGATAAAACCGAGTTCGAAACGTGGTTTGAGTCAAGGCTATCTGAATCTAAATGAAAACATCCTGTCAAGTTGGAAGTGAAAAGTAACGCAGCAGTATGATATAGTCACGCTTTACCTTCCAAAGAACTGAAGAAAAGTCTCGCAAATATATTCCTTTCTTTTCATAGACGATTTGTAGTCTCTTTTGTACTTATCTTATCTTCAAACTTATCTTCTAGTTTGTAGGATCAACAATAAAATTATAATGCAAGCATAAGCAAGATTTTATAAGAGCGTCAGAACACGAGGCTGTTTTACAAGTTTAAATAAAGGCAACATCGGTCCATAAAATGTGCCTACGAGAATTTCTTGAGTTTTTTCAAGTTCAGGTATTTTATAAAAAGAATAGAAAATAGATCGCACCGTTCTTCTAATGATTATCCCTCTTTTGTAAAAAGTGGTTGTGCAGTAGAATCTCGCATTCAAAAGGACAAAGGCGGTTGTCAGTGTTTTATACCCATGCTATACTGTAGCTGATAATGGCCAATGAACTAGGATCTGTTGCTCTTTGCCCCAGGATTTATCAATTTTGAGCTTCTTTCTTTGTGTGAAGAATTAACAAGAGAAAGCTGGTCCAAATGCTAGAGAAGCCCCTTCCAGTTTTTTCCTTTCTTTTTTATTTCATAAGATGACCCTAGCAACTGTTCATAAAGTTTTTTTCTTGCACCCTTTATTTGCACATCCTTGAGAGAAAGTATTGATCGCACCACTTATAATCACTGAACCTTAATGCAAGTGACTGCTCGTTTTGGGCCACTTTATATCTTTCTGCGAGAACATCTCGAAAGTGTATAGAAACGTTAATTATACAGTATAGTAAGTGTTAAAATATAATAGCTCTATCTAATTCATTCACCTCAAAGTATTTAAATATAACAAATATTTTATATAAAAATATGTTTACTGTATTTCATTGCTGGTATACAGTTGATTGATTGACATTGATTCATGGTAGCTCTTAAGATTTATACAAATTTTTATATTATAATGTGATATGGGAATAATGTATTTCTACTTTAATATATGCAATCATTCATATCAATAATTTTAATTTTTTTCTGTATCAACTTCTTCTTCTAAACTATTTCTTGAAAATAAAATCTTAGCTTTCAACCATGAAGTAGCTAAATCGTTGAAGCATTGTGTTTGAGGAAATGCATCTACATGCATTCAAAGCATTGATCAAGTTTGTCACAAAACTTTTTTTTTAGCTTCACGTCAAAGAATATCTTTGCAAAAATATATTCTACCAAACCAGATTATTTTTAATGTTAAAAAAGGTGAAATATTTCAAAGCTTGAAAATGTAACACTTGATAATGACACGGAAGGTGAAATGATTACGGTAAAATGAATAAGCGTGATGGTAGAGGAAACTCGTGTTTTTCGTTTTTCGGTAGTGTATGAATCGTCGAATAAGTTTTGAAATACAGGAGAAAAATACAAACTTTTTTCTACAAAAGTTAACATCATTTGGTTTAAAGGCTCTTGCCCAACCGGCATGCTTAGCAACAGTCTTGTTGAGAAATTGAATGTGTTTCACTTTGCTCATTGAATTTTAAATTCAGGATTTCTGTTGAGCTGACGAATTTGTGGACCATCAAAGATCCCAGCTTTCAATTTCTCGATTGTCAAACCTGGAAAAACTTGACACGAGTGTTTATTCAAAGCAATAACTATCCTTGCTCTGTCCTTTTGCGAATTGCCTGATCAAGCTAAGTTTGATGTGGCTCTTTGATGATGTTCCTTGTTCTGCATGGTAACAACTCCTCCCGTGCAGGCCACTCTTTCTTTTGTGTAGTGTTTTGCTCTGTCCCTACTGTCCCACATACACAGAAAATATGGATACGTGGTAAACCCAGACTGTTGTCCCTTAAAAGTGTTTAACATTTCACGTCGACACACATCAACCACTCATGCTAATTATGACGTATTTTCTCCAGAACATACTTTACAGCGTCATGGTTCTCTTTTGGTGTAGCTGAGTTGTGCCAATGGCACGGAAGCAAAATCGTTCCCATTATGCAACAAAACCCATTTTCAAACAATCTTTTGGTGGTACAAAACTTGTAAATGGCTTTGAAAAAAGCAAATTACTATTTGTACTTTGCACGTGTTACTATTACTAATTACTATACTAATTACTATATTAATTACTATTACTAATTACTAATTACTAATTACTAATTACTAATTACTATTTGTACTTTGCACGTGTTGTTTATAGTACAAAAAAGGCCCTTCCGTCCATTCAAAACGACTGCGTTCTTGCCACAAAAAAAGTTCTGTTGTTTATGAATTTACGTGCCAGTGTGATTTTGGCTACGTAGGACGCACCACCCAAAGATTGGAGGATAGGATAAAACAACATGTTCCATCTTACATTAGAAACAAAACCCATCCCCATAGAGAACAGCCACCTCGGTCTTGCAAATCTAAAATTACAACTAAAACCTGCGATTCTTCTATCGGGCAGCATTTGCTAGAAAACCCAGATTGTGCAAAAAACTATAATGGCGACATGTTTCGGATTATTAGTAAAGCCCGATCGTCGTTCCACCTAGCAGTTTTAGAATCTATCTACATAAGCACGAAAAAAGCGCTACTGTGTAGACAACCTTAGAGGCAAGCGGCACTGATTGGTCAACCTTTACAGTCATGTGCTCGTGTTCCTATTTCGATCCACAACTGGGTATATATATTTCTTAGCGTAGAGTTTTCGATCTACGTTCTGACGTTTTAAACTCTGAATAGTGTCAGACGAAAAGCTTTAGTTTACTAAATGTTTGCTTTTTTCAAAGCCAAAAACGCATTTTAGCGATCGCTTGCTGATGTCGATGAACCAGTAAAATCGGTAAAACATAAAGCAACATAAACTGTACAAACAATGTAAAAAAGAGATATGACAATAGTTAAAAGTCAGCTCAAAAAGTCTAGACACCAAAACGTTTGCTGACCAGTGGAATTGACGAATATTGTCAATCTCAGAAATTTTGATCTTACAGCATGAATAGCCTGATATTACCAAATGAAAAAACTTTTCCCGAACAAAGCAATAAACGTGAACAAAGATTTAGTTTTAGAGCATTTGCAGTGAATTCCAACTCACTTAGTTATCAGCACGAAGGTTGCGGCAGAACTTGGGAAAACCCACAAACCCACTAATGACGTTAGAAAATAAGTAAACGTCAGCAAACTCTTGAAATTTGCATTCACATAAAATCTAGAAATGCTTCATTGTACAATTTATTTTGAATATATAACGGATTTATGACTGTTTTTGCCGTTGTCGATGACATCATTAATCACTTGATACTGAGGCAAAATTTTTTGGTCCCATCTTGGATTCTGAAAATCCATACTCGAAAGTTTATAAAACCATCGAGATCATTTCGGCTAGAAATCAGATTTTCACAGCCATAGCCCTGCCTATAATCTCTTGCACTTTGATAGAGATTGGCATGAAGACAACATTTACCATCAATCCATTGAATCGTATCAAGTTTCCTAGCCCTCGCACTCAAATGTTGTACTGAGGTGGAATAACGTCAAGGAGCAGCATTGTGTTAACGCTCACAAGCGTCTCGTTATTCTATTGTCATAGCATTAAGGCTACGAACAGCCCCGGTAATATGTGAAAAAGTTGACCTGAGAAGAGCAAAGTATGGCGGAATTAAAAGGTTTGTTGGTTCTACTGAATATCGCTGTAGTTTGTTGCACAATACAAAGATAATAGTTGAAATTTCATCAATGCTAAGAAGCAAACCAAACATTGCTTGAAAATAACTGGTCAGGTTCAGAAAAAGTTAAGGACCTAGCGCTGGCTGACATAAAACTTTAGTCACTGAACGAAACCGTACCTCCAAGCCTCCTTTACAAAAGGTACAAGTTGATAGTCTAGAAATTTCTAAAAAAGGGCATTTGTTTTTGAAATTTTGCATAAGGGAGATGTTGCGGTTAACTTTAGATATAATAGAGTTTTATTAGCGAATTTATCAAATAAGATTCGGAGATTCAAAAATTGCACTTCTTTCTATGGACATACAAAGGCCCCACGTTGTATTTTGTATTTTGTATTTTGTTTGTACTTTCTTACCTAGCAACCAAAGATAGTTTTATGATAACGAGAAGCTATGCTTGTCGTGTCCTGGTCCTTCCTCTCGATGTGATCACACCTCGCAACCCATAAGCCTGGAAATACAGAAAAGGTCTTGAATCTGTAGTCAGTGCCCTAACCACTGAGCCATCCTCGCACTTCATGTAAATATAGTTTTATACTGAGCATTAGTTTAGTCTTTTAAGTGTTATTTTTATACGGTTAAATTGGTGTTAATTTTCAGTTAAACTTGCGGTATTGCTATCATTCAATCGAGACAGGTAGAATGTTGAATGATAACACGGGTGAAATATAGAGTGGAAAAATAATAACATCATAAATTATATCTGGCAAATTCCGCCCACAGGCAAAAATTATATTCATTTGTTTGTTGGTTCAAAAAGTATGAATCTAGCCAGAACAAGCGTGATCGACAAGCAAACTTCATGTCTTTTGCTGGTCATATCTCATCCATTCTCTGTACAGATTTATTTTTCTTTGCACATTAACATTTATAATGATTGTGTTCTTTTTAGATTGCCTTTTGAAAATAAAAAAAAGTTAAAATGGTATTGAATGATGTCATCAACTAACTAGTCTAATGAGCTAGAGTTTATCACATGGATTGTTAGTACAAAATATTACATTATCGATTGTTACAGTAGTAAAAAGAGAACTGTCGGTTTAAACCAATTGCAACTATTTTCTTGAATTGCAGCATTATTTTAAATGCAGGAAGACGCTAGGGACAATAACCAGCTCTGAGAGATGCCAATGTTTATTGCTTAAAGCCACGGTATCCTGATGAAGTGGTGCTAACTGGTAATATAAAAAAGGCCAATAACCAGTAAGCTCCAATAACGCTAACAATACATTGGTTAGGAATACAAAGAGACCGAGAGCTCTCAACCAACTTGGTAATGACCAAGGAAGTAATACTTATTCTGTACAGTGGAAATTGACTCAATATTTTCAAAGGCCTTTTATCGTTGAAAATTCCTGCACGTACACGTGGTTTTATTAATGCAAACATTTGCTGGGCTTGTATACACAATTACACAATTACTGAAATTTAACCTGTAAGAAAAGAACAAATTCAAAACACAATGCTCTTTCAGAGACTAGAGCGACCCGTGCCATAACAAATTTTTTTAGTTGGATTCAACGAAGAGACCAGTTAAGAAAACTAGGCTAGAAATTTTCTAATGCGTAAACAATTACGTAGTCAGGCATGTCGGATATCTAAGAATGTGGAACGCCTTTTTACATTGTATCTGCTGCATGCAATTTACCAATTTTTAGTCAAATCAAATTTATCTATCAGGTTTAGTGTACTCCTCGTATAAAATTTTATTGCAACATCTGCTTGCTTTTTTACAGTCATGGAACTCCCTGCAACGAGAATGATTATCTTGGCCGTCCATGCTTTCATTTATATTCATCCGATCAAAGCGTCAGGTAAATTGATAACTATTTTCTCAATCCCTAACTAACTCATATATTGTAACGATATTTGCATACTTGTTACTTTCGCTGTGAATATTGCAGAAAGGTTTCCAGGCAGTAGCTCGCATTGCAAGGGACTTAATGCATGCTATAATATAGGTTGGGGGGAGAGTTAATGCATGCTATAATTTTGTGCTAGATGCGAGTTGTCAGACTTTGGGTATTTACAATCAAAGTGAGCAAATTTCGCTTTTCAAAACCGTAATAAAGATTTTCTGGCGTCTTTTAAAAGGAAAACAGTTAACAGAGTAAAGAGGAAATCTCCTATCCATTTTCTGCTTCCCTTCTATACCTGTACTGAATATCAGAAATGTGGCACAAAATATCGTGAGCTGATGAGAAGTGTGTGGTGCATCTCTAGTTCCATCGTGAATTACACACAGCGATTCGTCCAGTTGGACCGGTTTGCCAATTGAGCAAGATAATTTGGTAAATGACCCTGTTTGATGCCACCAAAGCATCTTTGGACACCCAAAAACCGTTGTTCTTCATTTCGGTATCGATACATATGCCCAAATATGCATGGCAGTTATGGCCACCAAGAAACTTAATAATGTTACCCCAAAAGCTTTCAAAACTTAACTTTTAAAAGTTTCCCTTAAAAAATAGCGATGAAAATGCTATTGAAATTTCTAAGTTTTTGAAAACACAAAAAAAGCTATATTACAAAACAATTTCACTATTACTAGACACCAGCTTCAAATGCAGTTTAGCAACCTTTGAAACAGCAATGCTATCAATCTTACGAGTTTCTATGTAAAGCACATTAACCATACGCCAAGGCAATGAAAATTATTGCGTGTCAACATTTCTTAAAAGTTAAAAAGAATGGGTGGAACGATAAAAAGTGTTACTTATCGACAATAGATGATTATGAATCATTCGAGTCATTTCATGAAGTTTTTGATAATGACAGTTTTGCAAGCTATTTGAAATTCCGAAATACGACAGTAATATAAGTAAGTACTTGTGCGATAGAAGAACAGGATTTAGTAAAAAAAGTTCAGCAAAGTTGAAGTCCTGCTCTGGATATTTCATTCTTTTACATTCCCTTCCAGTGAAGTAATCTATGTATTTTTCCGATAGACCGAAATAGAGAGATGGCTTCTATAGTGTATTCTACCAGTCACCCATATCTTTGTCTCTGATTTGAGCTGAATTGCATGCTATTTTTAGTGTATTTGAATTCGATAGTGCTCAAGTAGAAAAAAACCGAAGGACAAGATTAAATACATTTCCTAAATCATCTTTGTGACATAATTTTAATCATTCTTCAGGTTGTGACTTCGCATTCGACTCAACGAAAGGCAATTTTTCTTCTCCTGGTTTTCCATCGACATTTCTATCAAACAAGCAATGCACGTACTCCATCGTGGTGCCTGTTGGAAAAATAATCCAACTTAACTTCGTCAATTTTGATCTGGGCCAGCTGGGTTGTGCATATGCGGAATTCAAGGTCTACGAAGGTGCTAGTTCATCTGATAGACTAGCTTTCAAAAGGTGTGGGAAATCACTTGACCCATATTTGTCGGAAGGCAATCGCCTGTTTATATCCTTCAAAGCAGTATACATGACGACAGCGGGATTCAGAGTGAAGTATAACGTAAGAGATGGTATGAAATTTGAAATTTTCGCTTAAGATGTTCATTTATTTGACATGAAAATTTATTTTGTTAAACACATGAAAAGTTTTATTAAACATGAAAAGTTAAATTATTAAACTTGACACGATCAAAACTAAAAAGAGCTTAAAGCCAGAAGATAAGTAAAAACTGACTTACCACAAACACATTTTGTAGTGATTCGGAAATAAATTAGTCATGATGATGCTTCTAAGGAAGGTGTTCTCTTGTCGTGGTAGATATTCGATTTGGCTTGTGACGAGTTTGAGAACGTCCTCATATTGCGAAAGTTTCCAATACCAGAGACCTAATTTGTTAATACTATCTCTTGTGATTTTGCTTCTATGAAAAATGAGCAATTCAAGAATAAAATTTGAGTATATAACACAATTTCTGTTCTATTAATTTCTTTGTCATAAAAAGGCTAAGATGCTACTTCAAGATTATCATGATTTATACAGAAAATTTTTTTTATCTAAGATGTTACTCTAAGACGAATCCGGAATTTGTGATTTCTTCAAACCTTTGATGATAATTCACTAATGCTTGTCCGCCCTGGCCAACGTTCTTTCAGGCTGCAGCATGGTTTTCGACGAGAAGGAAGGCACAATTGTGTCACCGAAGTTTCCATCAAACTATCCTAATGGCGTCAAATGCACTTACAAGATCACAGCGCCTACCACCTCTAAGATTCACCTTATATTTTCGCGATTAAGGTTAGAGTCTAGCTCTTCATGTGCAAAAGACAGTCTTTCAGTGCATGAAGGTAGTGACGAGAGAACGCCAGTAGTCCTCAAGAAATGTGGCACAAATACAACACAGTACCTGTCTACAAGCAACAGCATATTCCTTCAGTTTGTCTCAGATTCATCAGAAAATGAGGAAGGTTTCAAAATATTCTACATCGTTGGCAAAAGAGGTGATTCGTCTCTTTGGTTATTAAGTGTCATTTTATATCTAGAAAGCAATCCGTTTTTATTCGTCAATATGCATCTAAAAATTCATAGCAGAAAGTTATCTGGACGATCTTTTTTTAGGATGCGAACAGACGTTTAATGCGGTCACTGGAAATATAACATCACCGATGTACCCTTCAACCTACCCAAACAATGCTAAATGCACTTATAAAATCAGCGCAATGGAGGGCAACTTGATCCAGCTGTCTTTTAAAAAGTTCTCGCTACCTGGCTATGGTGACAAGGACAGACTTAAGATATACGAAGGGACAGATGAATCTGGCATGCTTACTGATTCAAGAACATGGGCAATTAATTACCCTTATATTTCAAAAAGCAATAATCTTTTCATGGTTTTTCAAACAGATTCCACTGGAACAAGTACTGGCTTCGAAATAGAATATGCAGCAAGAAAAGGTTTATATATATAGCATTATTTTTCATTTTTGTTCTTTTGTAACATTATATGCAGTATAAATATGACCCTAAACATATGCTTGAATGATGTTCCATCATACCTAATTAATACCTTGTGCCATTTTCAAATAGATCTGAAAACATGTTTTACTGACTTTATCAAAAAATATTGCATTTTGATAGCATTCAAAAGAAACTTTAGTTAAAGTTGTGAAAAGTTGTAACGAATTCAAAAATATTTGTCTTCTATAGACCTAAGTGTACTTGAATTTTTTTACATTACATTCTTTGCAAAGTTTTTCTATCGTTCCTAAAAGATTTCATGAAGAACATGGCTAGATAAATTTGTTTGAACATAACTATGACCATGTTTGGAAACTCTTACCTTTCTAGAATTATCTGTACCTCTGAATACAACGCTTAAATAACATTCTACCATATTGTTTTTACTATCTATAAACAATTGCAAGCGTAATAAAAACCATATTCGCGCCAGGAACTAGCGAACAAATTTTTACCAATATTGACGTCATTTTGGAGTACCATCCAGTTCTAACAGAAAAACTCATAATTCTTTCACTGCTTAATTTAAATCTCCATAATTACGTTCCCCTCTAGATTGCGTGGGCATTCTTCGCCCCTAAATCTTGTCATCATTTTAAGAAAAATAGTTGTTTCCTTTTCTGAAGTACTGCTCTTGTATTAAATATTCTCTGCTCTTGTATTAAATATTAAATAAGTCAATGACCACATACGTCATCAACAGCTTTAACATCGGGACAGCTATTCAACTTTATCGTCATTGGTGTGTATTATTGACATTTTCATCTTTCCAAATGCTTCATTCGCATTACACAAGCACATTGTCATGGCGAGGAGAGATATCATCTTTGAAGCATTGATATGTGTCTGGAACACCGGATACTCTTTTTGTTCTTATCGTTTCCAGGTTTCCTCGCAATACAAATTCCTCTCACTCAAGAGCTTGTGAAATTTTGGACCATTACTCTCTTATTTCTTCTAATGCTCTGCAACCTTGCCTCTTTCAAAACAATAAGAGAAAACTTACCCAATCACCCTACCTTCTCATCCTCTCCATTTCTTTTTAAAATCTTTCCTTAGCAGTGGCTATGCTTTTTACTTTTCAAATAATATAAACTAAAACTTGCATTTTCCAAATTCAATGAGATTCAAGAGCATAGTTTTACACTCAATAAAAATCTTCTATCTATAGGTTGCAACATTCACCTTGCATCCGTAAATGGGGTTTTTACTTCTCCTTTGTATCCACACACTTACGAAAACGACACAAGCTGCAATTACACTATCACAGTACAATCTGGAAAACGCATTCATTTATATTTCCAAAAATTCGAACTTGAGTATGACGAGTCTTGTGCCCATGATAGTCTCAAGATCTTTGAAGGATCTGGTCGTAAAGCTACATTAGCTGAAATATTGTGCGGAGAATACAAAAACAAGCAATTCATTTCAGCAAGCAACCAAGTATTCTTACAATTCAAGACAAACAGCAGAATTTCTAAAGCAGGGTTTTTGGCAAACTATTACACTACACAGATAAGTATGTGGCATTCATTTATCATGTTAAATAATGCAAATTGATAATGCAAAAGTTAACAATCTCAATACCACTGATGCTTGTGTACGAGAGTTATACAAAATAGTAGCAACAAGATGTTTTTTTACGGACAATCATGTAAAATTGTGAATAATTTTGCTGGTAAAAGGCACAGTTTAAAAAGGTTAAACTATGCTAGATTTTGAGCAGTCAAATTGAAAATGAAGAAGAAAATACATTAGAGTTTTAAAAATTGATTATGTATAGCAATAATTTGCAAAAAGTTATCAATATGTTTGATGAATAAAAATTTCAAAAGGGTACAACATGGCCAGAATGTTAAGAAAAATGGCTTACTGCTCACTGTTTCGTTTGTAAGATTGGGTTCTTGTGCTTTGTATCTTTGACTTTATGAAAGGGATTTTAGGAATTTTTAAATATGGAAAGCTGGTTGATGTCTATTTATAACTGAGTGCCATTAACTATAGAATAAAACTGACAAGTTGATTTAGGTTGTAATAAGCTGTTTCGTTGCATAATGAAGATTTCTAAAACGACTATAGACCACTTGGATTCAGACAGTTATCTAAATGAATTGATAAAGAAATTTTTATTCAACTTACCCTCTTTTTCGACACAGATTGCGATGCATATTTGACTGCAAAAAGTGGAACAATTCAGTCACAGAACTTTCCAAATAATTACCCAAACAATGCTAGATGCACATACCAGATCAGAGGAAAAAGCGGTGACAGAATCCAGTTGATATTCTCCACGTTTTCCATTCAGAATAGTAACAGATGCAGTGCTGACAGCTTTAAGGTTTATGGTGAGACAATATCTGAAAGCTCACTGATAGAAACGCGATGTGGGAGTAATGTCACAGAGATGTCCAGTGCAGCTTCTCGACTATACATTGTTTTTACTTCTGACATAAGCAAAGCTGACACAGGTTTTCAGATATTTTTTCAAGTTGGACCGGATGGTAAGCATGCCAGCATCGATGATTTAACTAATTATTTCATTTTTAAAGTTTTCATATTCTCTTGTTCTGAATTTTTATAATTTTTCAAGTCTAAATTCTGCGACATGGAGACCATCTGCAAATAAAACGACCATCTGTGTCTTGGTCTCTGCAATCTGATGATTGTGATGATTTTTATCCACTGAAATACTCCAGACCCTTGGCGCAGTGTACAATGTTTTAGTCTGTAGCCATTTATGAAAATTGCTTCAGGCCAGGTTACTATACAATTCTGTATTGGGATGCGTATCTAATAGAGACGCATGATGTTGCTCACTTTTAAACATATTTGAGTTTTTGAGCAGGCTTCAATATGGATGCGCTTCGTGCACTGTGAACGGGCATACAAAAATTTGCTTTAACATTTCAACAGAAATTCACAATAAGAACATTTTGTTAATCATTGAAAACGCAACTATTTTCTAATATGTTGAGGTATCATAGGTTTAAAAGAATGCGGAAAAACTGTGTCTATGCAGCTAAAGGTAATGGTCTGGCATTTTGCATATACCGATCCACTAGAGATAACAAAATATTAATAAAATCCATCTCAGAATTTGCTGTAAATGTTATCTTTATACGTTCTATTGTTATCATTTTAGGTTGTGGTGGTATCTTTAGCTCCGACAACGGTCTCATTACGTCACCAGATATTTCAGGGAAGTATCCAAATAATGCCAACTGTAGATATAAAATTGTTGGTTCATCTGGAAAGAGAATAAGCCTACTTTTTTCATTATTTGCGATTCAGTATCATGAACTGTGCAAGTATGACAGCCTCAGAATCTATGATGGTCTGGCAAAAGATAATAGGACGTTATTGGCTACGAGATGCGGGAGTGATGCAACACCAGTATTATCTATTTCCAATCAGATATCACTTGAGTTCAAAACAGATGGCTCCGCAACAGGGACAGGCTTTCAGATCTATTACTTTGTTGGGGATCAAGGTAAGATTGCAATCTTTTTGTTTGCGTTAAACACTAAAACAGCGTAAACTATTGATATTCAACTACTGAATGCCTCCTCAAATGAATGGTGTTCGTGAAATGAACTTTACTGTATTTTATTTTAAGAGAAGTAAATCTTGCAACAGATCTACCGGTGAGTTTCGACATAGTCAGTAGAAAAATCTCTGGTCTGGAAGTCTATTGTTCTGTTCTTTTGTTCTCATCTACAACTTGAAATTACTTTTATTCTAATCACGTGACCTACGTAAGGGGACAGCATGAAACATTCTCTCTTCTCGCAATAGCAGATGCAGACAGTTTCGTTAAGCCCAGCGCACACAGGCGACCAAGGTGTTTCAAAAGCAATGATATTTGGCTTTTTGCTAAATGTGCTCATTTGCACGGGTCAGAGATAAAGTTTTTCTGCGTTTGAGATACAGATAAACAAAAACAGATTACAGCTGATTAAAAATGAATTCAAAAAAAGTGATTGATCTCTTGCTTTTTCATCTGTCAAATTTTTAGATTCTGTGTCTTCTTTGAATATATTTGAGACAAAAAATAAACGTTTTAATAGACTGCAAGCAAGACTGTAAGAAATACTCTTTAATGTATTTTAAGCTAATCTAAAAAGCGGGGTCGCAAAAAGAATTAACCATCATCTGTCCCTCTACAGAATGTTTTAAATATTCTCCTTGTTCTCCAACCCTTCCGATCTTTGCCTCTCCAATCTTCCAGGCCTGGCTAGGCTACTGCAAAACATATTAAGCTTATTAAGCTAAATACATTATCTCAGTTAATGGCTCTCGCACTTAAGCATAGCAGATGTTAAACGTTTAGGGGGGCTAGGCATGGATCTTCCCCGAAAATAGTTTCTTTATTTAGATAGAACGGTCCGAATGGAGCCCGAAATATGTTGTCCCAGCCAATTCTTCCCCACGCCGAAGTTCCCGCAAATAAAAACATCTACTGATTCAATTTGATGCTTAAAATAATTGTTTAGAGTCATATACTTCCTTTATACCATTTATCCAGGCTAAAAGATCTCGCGATTTATTCTGCAAAATTCTAAAAATTCTTACTCACGAGCGATGACAAAAATGCCTACAGCCCTGAACTGCATAATATGAGCTGACCAAAGTTTTTATAAGATCAGGTCAGAATAGATTGTAAAATTACCAATGCTCTCGAGAAACACTCAAAACTCAACAACAATCCTATACACCTGTTTTCACGCGCCCCCTTTCTTAAATCAAAACACGAACAAAGAGTTAGAAGAAAAGGCTTCCAGGCCAAGTTTTTCTACTGACTATGATTTCAATAAGGTCTTTTTATATAATTGTGTAGTTGCATTATTATTTCGTTAATAATTGTTTGTAGATTATGGTAATAAATAAAAAAAACAAACAGCAGAAAACCAAAAGCCTACAAATCACTAGTTTCTTACAATTTTTTGCAGGGTGCAACCAAAACATCACATCATCCAATGGAACAATTTCGTCACCTTTATTTCCAATTCCATATCCAAACAATGCATTTTGCACATACTCAATAGAAGTTCTAAAATCCCAAAGAATAGAATTGATTTTCCAGTCATTCATGCTACAGGCTTGCTGCTCTCCTGTTAGCTGTGATACACTAAAAGTGTATGATGGAGGTGACTCGGCTAAGCCTTTGCTTAGAACTATGTGTGGTACACAGCACAAACCACTGATATCTTCGAGTAACAAGATCTTCATAGAGTTTAAATCTGACGGCAGTATACCAAATTATGGATTCAAAGCAAATTTTGCTACAAAAGGCCCAGGTGGGAAAGCAATCTATCTTATAGTAAAAAAAATTGAATTTCAAACAACAAGCAGTTGTCTAAAACTTAGGGCAATCAAGGGGCTGCTAAAGTAACATAAAGGTGACTTAAAGGTGACTTAAAGGTGACTTAAAGGTGACTTAAAGGTGACTTAAAGGTGACTTAAAGGTGACTTAAAGGTGACTTAAAGGTGACTTAAAGGTGACTTAAAGGTGACTTAAAGGTGACTTAAAGGTGTATTTAAAGTAATCAATTAATCATCCATTGAACAGTCAATGAGCTTGATACCACGTACGCGGTAATTGATTGGGTAATTTATTTTCCTTTTGTAGGATAGATCGATCGGTTTCTATTTTAGTCCAAATTTAGACAAAGCAAGCCTATCGACTTGCAGTAATGTACTCTTTCTCTTACGGTTACTCTGCAAAACGGTGCAGAATAATATTAGAGAGAAAAAATTCCACCTGCAGCATTGATTCAATAGGTGATTTTAATTTTGCTTAACCTGATAACCAGACCACTTTTAACTCTCGATATTGCCTGATAAAACTTCTGCATTGTATTGGTCACAAAACTGATTGACCTTTTTTCGTAAATTATCAGTGGGAAGGATGAAGATAGGATCAAAACCTCATATCTAAACTAAATGTCGAATATTTCGCAATAGAAATCCATTTATCTCTCTACCGTACTGATAAAACTTCAATTAATTTTCTTATTAGGAACAGAAGTAAAAATAAAAGCAATAATAAGGCGATAATTGTTCCCACAGAAGACATTATCTAGCGAGTCGTAAATTTACGTTTCTACATCATCGAGAACGTGCAGGTCCGTCGATCCATCAGTAGCGATCGCTCGACCTACCATCAACTTCTGGCAGGAAAAAGTTTCTTAGGATGTTTAAAAAAAACCTGAAATGTAATTTACTTTTGGAGGGGATGGGGAAGAAAAGTGCCTTTTCGCCATAAGAAGTCGATGCAACAATCCTACCTAGAAATATCAAAACCCTAATAGCAAAAAGATGACTAAAGCTGTGAGAAGTTTTAATGCTGCTGGAAAAAAAACTCAAACTCGAACTGAAAATTGTTATTTTCAAATGAAGAAACAAATTCAGGGATGGTTGGTTGAGAGAAACGAACAGTTATCTTCGTCCATTAATACCCAGGCAATTGAACCAAAGAAACAGAAATGCTACGATACAACACATTTTACCTTAGTTTCTAAACCAAAAACCCAAGAAGAATATTAGGCTTCACCGCATCTTGCAAATCTTGTAGGAAGGGTACAAGTAAATCATGAGGAAGTATGTCACAAAAGACCATAACGAATAGAAACAATAGCATCTCAAAGCGAATGAAATTAAGAACAACAACGCTTGTTAATTGGACTCAGATAAAATTTCGTTTAATCGTCATGATAATTAGAGTGCTCTAATGTAAGTGAGTGCAAATTAGAAGGAAGTTCGAGTAAGCATTTTGGTCTCATTCTAGATAAAAATATCTATAGTTCAAAGTTCTCTATTTCTTCAAATTCATGTATCATTGCAAATATTTTCAACTCCTTTTTGTATAATAGATCTTTTATTTATGAGGTAGGGATGTGCAAGAAAAATAAACCATGCATGAATAATGGCACCTGTGTTGACGTAGCTTCAGAAAATTACAAGTGCCAATGTCTCCCTCAGTATACTGGTGTGAACTGCAGTGCGAGTTTTGAACCATGCAATTCCAGTCCATGCTTGAACGGTGGCATCTGTAAAAACGTATACGACAAAGTTTCTGCTAATTTTGAATGTATTTGTCAGGATGGGTTTACAGGAAACCAATGTGAAAAGCGATTTGGTGAGTTATATGTAATTTTTGTGAAGGCGATTGCCATATTAAAGAAACGTATTAATGTTTTTGAGCTGTGATATTAATCAGACCATTAGCATTCAATGAAAGGGAATATAATACAATATTTTGTTTTTATTTGCAGTTTGTTTTTTTTGTAAGTAATTGTTCTTAGAATATATACATTTTCGAAATTTTCCATCCAAGCATTACGCGGTAAAAAAATGCCTATATGTGAAAGTGATTGATGAACACTAGACTAGCTTTGATAGTGATACAATTAAAGTTGAACGAATCCATGGTCAACTTCTTCTAACAAGTGTCATTTGGACGTTAGAAGTGTGTGCAAAGTTTTCATAACCCCTGTGACTTGCTGTTTGAATTAAATGAAATTTCAATGTAGCATAACTCATGTTGTTTGCAGACGAGTGTCTCGGCTATCAGAATGACATTAGATGGCAAAGGAGCATCAGCTACACGGCCAAAGGGGACACATCTGTCCAATATTGTGACAAGTCACTTGCCAGTGGCTGGTACCGGTTCACGAGTAAAGCTGGCCCTGATATGCCTACTGCATGTCCCCCTGCTCGTTCCTGCGGTAAGACTATCTTTTGCATTGTTTATGTTTACAATATTTGCATTTGGTATGCAAAAAATATTATTTTATTTATGTCTCAATGTTAATAAACATATTTTCCTATCCATTCCTTTTCCATTACCGCTCACGCTATTCACATGCATTTAATCACATGTCTATGGGGATTAAAATTTCTCTTCTTGACGATGTCAACGAATTATTCCAGCTCATATCCACAAACTCTAGCCACCTCAGCCTTCATCATTTTATTTCTTTTATTCTCTTCCATTTTCTTTGATTCTCTTCCAGCTTATACCGGCACTTTTGTTTTGGTTTAATCATAGAAATTGTAAATAAAAAGAGTCATTTCTTCACAAACGCAATAATACTACACAATTTTGCTTGCTTTCTTGCTCAATATCATCGGCGTTGTAATACATTATGCGGTACCATTTTCTCTTCTGTAGCCAGCTTGTCTCTCACTCACAATCCCTTCAATTCTGGGTGCTATCCGAATCAATATTAACACCATATTTGAAGCATGGACTGATAGAATGTCAGACTCTCAGAATAGATTACATCATGAGCATACTCAGATCATTGGTTTAGCCACGCTTTGGTTCTCTAAAATTTCATTGCACAGTTTGTGTAGTACTTTTGCTGTTGTCTTCCATCCATCTTCAATTATCTCTGAACTGATCCTTTTTGCACCAGGCGACTTGTCCCTTTGAAGTTCTTTAAATGCCCACTCGTCCTTAGATAATAGAATTTTTCTTACTTTGTAAAAATTGTCATCGTGTTTAGGCCGTACTTGCACAGTGAGTGCCTTCTGTATATCATTGTTCCAAGTTCTTGACAATAGCCTTCTCCAATGTTCCAATTGTTCCAAGGCCTTTTCTTAGTCTCATGATCCTTTTTTTCATTTAGCTTCTTTGCAACTTCATGCCTTATTCTTATGTTATGTTTCTTTGATTGTCTCCGACTTCCTCTGATTAGTTTTCAATGTATACAATAAGTCTTAAAATATTTTGAGCTAATGCTTAGCATTTTCTTTCCTATTTCAATTGATTTTTGCATGCTGGAAACATTTTGCACTGGGTTTTATGGTATGAAACTTATTAGTACAAACAGCAGTTTCTCTCGTGGGCAGTAACGAAAGGCCTAATTGTGGCATTGTGAATCCGGGCTCTATTTTCATTGTCTGTAACTTAAGCTTGATTCATGTTCTATTGCTTTGTCTAGCCAGGAATGTGTAAACTATGCTCATTAAGAAAGTTAACCCTTTTATTGGAAAAGTTTGTAGTTTATGAACCACAAGTTTATTTTCTGATGGGCGCATTTTTTTCATTGATTTTTTCGTGTTCTCCAATTGGTGTTTCTAATTTTTAACTTTACAATTTGATATAGATGTGATTCAGGTTCAAATATTGCTCATGCTTAATGGAAAAGCAAAGAAATACAAAAATATTTCCGCACGAATCCATGGAAGAATAGTACTTTTATATCTGTTTATTTAAACTATCAACTGTATTAATTAACTTTTACTTGTAATTATGATTTTTATAACTGATAATGAATTGATGTCGTGATTAAATAATTATTAGAAATAAAAATAAAGATTTTGAGCCAAAAAAACTTCTATGGCATATACTTTGTGGAAAGTAAGCACTGCAGAAGTTTACGGATGCCAAAAGCCTCCTAAAATAAACTGATCTTTGAGATATTTTCATTTCACAGGTTCAAGTCTGTCCATTTGGGCTAATGGAACATTACCCAGAAACGTTGGGGACTATGCAACATTGCAAGCTTGCGTTCGGAATAACGTTCAGTGCTGCACAGCATCGTGGAGCATCAGGGTTAAAAAATGCATTGGAAACGGAACAACTTTTAATGTTTACCGACTAACCAAACCACCAGCTTGTCCAATGGTTTACTGTGCAGGTACGACGTTGCAAATTTTTGTACGGTGACAAGGGAATGTTCTGATACCAAAACAGGACAGATATAAAAATATTTTAGTACATTGATACAATCATTTGTTGTGTTAATGCTACCAAAATGCAGACTGATGTTTATATATATAAATATCTATTCGTAATTTTCATATGGCTGTCTAAAGTGCTCAACCGGGGCGTTTAACTAGTTAGACTAACATAAAGATATAATAGTAACAAAGCTGTAAGCTGTAAAGCTGTATGTTTAGTGTATTAACGAACGCAAAGATCACATTTTTGTGTTTATGGATTATAAAAAATCAGACTTTTTGAGTCATACTAAAGCTTTTTATCCGACACACTCCAGAATATAAAACGTCAGAACATAGAACCCTTTGCTAGGAAAAATATATATATACCCAGTTATGGATCGAAATATGGCAACAGAAACACGAGCACATGAATGTTGAGGTTGCCCATTCAGTGCCGCTTGCCAATTGAAAATATTACCAATTGAGTCCTAAGGTGAAAACGAACGCCTTTGTCTACACAGTAGCGGTTTTTTGTTTTTATGCAGATAGATTCCAAAATTGCTAAATGGAGCGAAGATCGGGCTTTGCGAATAATCGGAAACATGTCGCCATTATATTTTTTTGACGAATCATGGTTTTCCAATAAATGCTGCCCGATAGCGGAATCGCATGTTTTACTGGGTGACGAATTTTGAGAACAGCTATCGTTTGACTCATAATGTTTGCATTTTTAAATGCCATTTTGTTTTGTACCACCAAAAGAATTGTGTGCTTGTGTTTATATTTATATTTCTATAAGAAATCTATGCTTTGATTTTTCTGTGGTACCAAACTCGATTTTCTGTAATACCATACACGTAATTTAATCTACAAGCCCTTTTCGTTAATAAATCACCCGTTAGGAAATGTTTGACTGAGCCAAGGTGAAAGATTATTGATTAACATGTAAAAATTTACCTTTTTCTATTACAATTTTAGGAACTGAGGTACCTTGTCCGGCTGGTTGGAACTCCCCAACTGGTTTCACACCAGGTTGCACCAGTAAGTGTTAGATTATTTTGAAATTTGTCCCAACTACATGCAATAAAAATTCCGAATTATCATATATATCAGCAAATGTTAGATAAAGCCTTATATAGTGAAATATAAAGCTGGTAAAGAGGCATGATATAGTCTTTTTTTCTATCGCAAAAATTATACTTACTATAACAATATATTTAAAATTTCCTGTGACTGCTATAGATGGAAAGGACATCTTGTCGGCGAGTTCCATCTACGACAGCCACTTACAATATTGATACAATACAACTTCAACGAAGAAAATCTGAACAAACAAAACAAAATTTCTGGGATACAGCAAAGCTTATTCTCGTATATCAACAAGTTTCTAAATTCTATCATGTCGTGTTGTCAAAGGAAAATTCTCATTGAAGCAAATATTTAAAGTCTTAACAAAATCATCGTTTATAAACACTAAAATTTTGAATATTCTTGCAAGGCTATTTTAAAATCATGAATATTTATGTAAATTGAGAAGCATACGTAAAAAAATAAGTGTGTTACACTTTCTTACTCAAAAATAGGTAAAGATATTCAAAAGATATTAACAAGATTCTCTGTTTTAAGAGTTAAAAATCAGATATTGGAAGAAAAAAGAGACAATAATTGTTTAATATGGGAAATATACAATACTTTGCAAAAGTTAAGCTGATTATTACAAGGGAGGGGGGAAGACTATTCGTAGATGATCAATACTAAGTGCTAAGAAACATCTCTACAAGAGGATTCATTAAAAGCAAAGCCTACCTTGGAGTTGCGAGGGCGTGGGGGGGGGGGGGCCCGGCCACTTTTGCCAAATTTTCGATTAATAAACAGTTTTTAGCGCTTATGTCTGTAAACCTGTTGGCAAATTCGTATGTTTTTGTGGGCTCGCTCCGCCACCTGGAAAATGAATTTCTGCCACTGTTGCTTCGTAATTGTACTCTAAACGTCATGACCTACCTCTGCTGTTGCTGGTGAGATATTTTCTTGATGAGATATACAAAAAGAAGCTTTAGAGTGAAAAATAATCCGCTCTGTTATTTTTAGTTTCATTTGGAAATTCTGATGAACAGAAACTTATTCTTTAAAACGGGCTGAATAAAAGATTTATTACAATTCTTACATGCTTACAATGCATCACTATACTGTGGTATCTTTTATTTTTTCCTCTTTCATATTTTCTATTTAGACAACTTTCCAAAAATTATATCAAATCCTGAAATTTCACCCGGAATCTTCAATAAACAACTACAGTTTACTTGCAAGTTTGGCAGTGACGTGAAAGATCCTACAGCCAAGTTTGAAGTAACGTGGTACGAGGGATCTCCTGCAAAGAGAATTAACCACACAGTGTTTTTAAAAGGGTCAGAAAGGGCAGCCACGCTGCAGATCAAGAGCGAGTACAGCAAAAGGCCTTTCTTCGCACTAGGAACAACAGTAAGTTAGCCCAATGCTTTCAAAATCATTTACTTGAGCTACTTTGCTGATCAGAGAACGCATAGATGCACTCCTGATTGATGCAAATTTCTTTGGTGTCCTCCAGGTCTTCTGTCGTGTACGCAGCTGGTACGAGGGAAACACGATGACCATGAGCAAAAGTCCATTCTACGAAAGCAGTCATTATTTCTCTGGCATGAAGGTAATAGAAACTTTAAAAATTCATCAAAGAGAAAAAAGAGAGGGATTCCAAGTGCAGTTTTTTTAATCATTATTGTTCATATATTTTTTTGCCTCACTAGAGCTTTAAGACAACAGGTAAAAAAAACAGCCTAATCCAAAAACTAAATTGGATATAAAGAAAAGATGCAGCTTTAAACACAGAAAAAGATTATATTTTACACAAGTGAACACTACAAACAGTAATTCATCTGGTTTTGTCTCATCCTTTACTTCTAAATAATCTGTGATTATAGACAGTTTAGGAGATCATTCCTATTATTCAAATCCTGCTTTGCCTGTTTGAACCTTAGATCATACCACAAAAGCATCATTACACGGTAAGTGAAGCAGGCAAGTCCTTAAAGCTCACTGCCCTTGCAACAGTTCCAATTTTGCCCGAGACTGGTAAAACCTGTAGTGTTACTGTTCAATTGTACCAAGACAACAAACAAGGCTTTCTTAGCACTTGCAAAATAGAGTTCAAGCCTGGTCCGGCAAATCAGACCCAAGTCATCGAGGTCATGGCAAAAAGAGACTTCATCATCGATGGGAATCAAGAAATGAAGATTAAAGTCAGAGTGATCGGCCACATTCACTGTCCGGACTGGAATAGTCATCACAAAGTACCTGATATTGTGGTAAGGGTATCCTTAGCACGGTAATATCTCAGGGTCAGGGCATCAAAAATTTACTTTTAAACCTACAGAAAGAGAGCATTTGTTCATATATTGCCAATATTAATCACAGTATAAAAGGTTTTGCTGAATTCACCCTGTCCATTTTCATTCGGGTTTGGAAAATGTGTCATTGATTCAGGAACAGTTTGGAACAATAAGTTCAGCAATTTACATTACGTCTTATTTCTATGAGCTAAGCATACTTTTCATCAATCTATTGATCATACCTTACAAGATACTAGATTTTTTTTGTATTCCTACCGACACTCAAATAAACTTTTTCTCTAAAAATATTAACTGCACAGTTATTGTAAAGTATCTTTATATATGCGCTTGACGGCAATGCATAATTTGTGAAAAAAGCATCTTCCCCAAGAAGAATCTACACCTTTTTGTTTTTGCTTTCTTGTAGATCATCATTGTCGATATCAACACAGAGCGATGCACGTCAAGTGGAGATCCACATCTTATCACATTTGACAAATTGCAAGTACTGCTAAGTGCTTTTAGCCAATTTTCAGTTGTCTTTGTCCTAGGGAAAACAGCTGTCTTCCTTCACTTAAATACATGATATTTTAATACAAAATTTTCGCCACGTGCAAACAGACAGTTCGGATCAAAGATCTCCCATTGATTTTATCCATTATGAATATGTTAAGAAATCATGATGAAGCCCTGTATGCCGGGGCGAAATATTAGTATACTCTTTAAATTTAATTTATTTTGAAAATTTTATTTCGTGACATTGGATTCTCGTCGTCGTATAGCTTTGTTCCTGTATATCTTTCATTTTAAAATCTCATTGCAAGATTCACAGAAACCGGCGGACAGCCTATCCTGCGGTTCTTCCTTCTCATACACGAGAAATCATTTCACTGTCAAAACATGAATTTTATTGCAAACAATCCTTGCGACAAGTATTAAAAAACCTTGCGAAATTTCTCCAATACAACTAATCTTTTCCTTATGCAAAAGTGGAAGATAACGCAGAAAAGCGAATTGCATAAGAATGGTGAGCATAAATTTATATCCTGATACTGATCAGAAGAAGCCTCAATGAATAAAGACACGCTTGATTGGTTCCTCGATATTAAGCGATTGTCGGCCGCTTTCAACCTAATTCTTAGGGGTCTTTTCTGAGCCGAAAAAAGTACAACCAATCAGAATCAATCTAGAAGTTTTTTATCGGCAGTTGCTCATCTCCTAAAGTTGGTTCGTGAAAAGAAGATCGAAGGATGGACCTTGTCAAGTTTTGACAATTGTTGCTGATAGTGTAGGAGATAAGCAGAATGAATGCGCACATTGTGATAAAAGCATGAAAATCTGCGCAACTACACAGTCTGATATGCTGAAAAAGATGGGATCGGGACCCAGACTGTGAAATGCCCTCTGTAATATATCAGGCCGAGTACACACAAGAGAACAGGCACATTCACGCTAGAATCCAGCTTGAATCACTATCTAAAACGAGGCTAAAACAATAGGACTCAAAACTGAACGAATACATCACACCCCCAAATGCTATTTTTAGAATGCTAAATTGTTCCCAGACTTCTAAACTGATTATCTTTATAACTTTATTGAATATGAAATCGAAGACATGAAAATTGGTACAAAAAATAATCATAACACTGTAATGTGATTTAGATTTACACTCATCGTCAAAATGCCCCCAAATGCTATTTTTAGACCATGTAATCGTTCCCAGACCTCTAACATGCTTATCTCTACAACTCTGTTAAAAATAAAATCAATAGCAAGCTATTTATTTAGATAATAATTATAGCACACCAAAAGAATTTGGTTCGACACGCATCTTCATAATGCGTTAGACACGCATATATTGATTTTTTCTATAACTTCGTTGCAAATAAAATCAATGACATTAAAGTTAGCAAGAATACTAATCATAACAAAGAAGAAATTTAGAAGGATTGGATTTTCACACGTAAAGGATTTATATTGACTTCCATCTTCAAAATGCTACCCGAATGCTGTATTTAGATCGTGTAACAGTTCCCAGATCTTTCAAAAGTTATTCTCTGGAATGTCGCTAAAAACCAACTAAATGCTATTAATCTTGTATAAAATACTTATTTAAAAGTACGATAAACACCCCCGATCAAATTAGCTTTGATCACAAATGATTTCGCGCTGGGAAAGATAGTCTTCAGTACTCAGTTGGACGGAACACTTACAAAAAGGCCACTCAGTTTGTAATGAGTCGAATTTTTGCAATTACGAGGAGGTAGATACAAGCCAGTTTTTGGTAGATTTTGTTATAATCGTAATTACTAAATTTCCATGCTTGAGTATCGAAAAGCTTTGGGTAGAGTTGGCTACTGGAAAAAAAATAAAAGGGGATACCAATCCAACATAATCTTTCAGGGATCGCAAGATACTGTATTCCATGTTTCGGTATGCACCCTCAGTGTTTGATACAGTTCGTTTGCTGGTCGAGGGAAGCCTACTGCATATCAGAAATTAAAGTATTTTCCTTCTAGAGGTTAATTCTTAAAGCAGGTCATTAGTGCTAGCCGACAAGGACTTTGCATTCAGGAGCAGATCGAGGTTCATTGGATTTAAATCATGGCATTAGAGAAAATGCTGCCAATCCACCTAATAACAGTGCGTTACAAACCATTACACATGGTGTTTTCTAATGAAGAACTTTTCTGCCAGACAAAATCAAAAACCTTAGTCAAGAAGTGTATCAGATCACTCTGCAGTTACCAAAAGAGCCATTAAAATAACTAAGCAATTACAAAGATGAGTCAATAACAGAACTATGCAATTACCAAAGGAGTCGATAACAGAACTATGCAATTACCAAAGGGGTCGATAACAGAATTATGCAATTACCAAAGGGGTCGATAACAGAATTATGCAATTACCAAAGGGGTCGATAACAGAATTATGCAATTACCAAAGAGGTGGATAACAGAATTATGCAATTACCAAAGGGGTCGATAACAGAATTATGCAATTACCAAAGGGGTCGATAACAGAATTATGCAATTACCAAAGGGGTCGATAACAGAACTATGCAATTACCAAAGGGGTCGATAACAGAATTATGCAATTACCAAAGGGGTCGATAACAGAAATATGCAATTACCAAAGGGGTCGATAACAGAATTATGCAATTACCAAAGGGGTCGATAACAGAATTATGCAATTACCAAAGGGGTCGAAAACAGAATTATGCAATTACCAAAGGGGTCGATAACAGAATTATGCAATTACCAAAGGGGTCGATAACAGAATTATGCAATTAACAAAGGGGTCGATAACAGAATTATGCAATTACCAAAGGGGTCGATAACAGAATTATGCAATTACCAAAGGGGTCGATAACAGAATTATGCAATTACCAAAGGGGTCGATAACAGAATTATGCAATTACCAAAGGGGTCGATAACAGAATTATGCAATTACCAAAGGGGTCGATAACAGAACTATGCAATTACCAAAGGGGTCGATAACAGAATTATGCAATTAACAAAGGGGTCGATAACAGAATTATGCAATTACCAAAGGGGTCGATAACAGAATTATGCAATTACCAAAGGGGTCGATAACAGAATTATGCAATTACCAAAGGGGTCGATAACAGAATTATGCAATTACCAAAGGGGTCGATAACAGAATTATGCAATTACCAAAGGGGTCGATAACAGAATTATACAATTACCAAAGGGGTCGATAACAGAACTATGCAATTACCAAAGGGGTCGATAACAGAATTATGCAATTACCAAAGGAGTCGATAACAGAAGACCAAACGTGAGCAGCATGAGCTGGAAAAGCCTCGGTAGATTTTGCTGACCAAACCCTTCACTAATTGGTTAATCAACAAAATACTAATGCTCAGACCAAGTGTGCTGCAACTCCTATAACACCCCCTAGACCTGTCACTGAGTGAATACAAGCAGTTTCTCTAGATCAAAAAAGTGAAAATATATCGAAAGTTAGAGATAACTAATTATATTAAGTGCTTATAAGTTATCTGTTAGAATTTAGAGAAAGAATCAAAAAAGGTGATTGGTATATTTTTACTAATGCAGTAGAATATCACGGATACCGTACACATTACATCTTAGACACAGAGTTCACAAGAAAATGTGACTTTGTTAAAGATCATATTGACCAGCAGATGCCAGACTGCAATGCGCTAGCAGTGAGTTACCTGATCAAGAAGCAGCAAGTTTACATCAATCTCTAATAGTTTTGTCAATTTTCTTTTACATTTACCATGGAACATAACCTGACCAAGAAACATCATATTTTGATCAATTTACACCAGTTTTGCCAATTTTACATTTGCCACATATTTTTTCTTTTCTTGTCACTCATTTCTCAACAATGTGATGCCCTATCTGATTGTGGTGCCCTAAGCACATGCATAGCCTGCTTAATGGTTAATACGACCCTGCATCGTCGTTTTCATGATCACAATGTGCGCAAAATCATCGCTTCAAAGCCCTTAGCTACAACACTATGATCTGCTGTTTAAGACTAAAAAAGGCTCATGCGTAGGTATTAGTCAAGACGCTAATTTAGATATTGACTCAGACATGAAAACCTTTAATAAAAGTAGCTTAAAAGTGTTGATTGACATGAGCTTAAAAGTAGCTTAAAAGTGTTGAAAAATATTAATCATGTAGCAACAGATCGAAGCTGCACCCATTCATTCTATCTTAAACTTATTATCTTTTGCAGATATTACAATCATTATAAAGCAGGAGACTACGTACTTGTTAACAGTACGTGCAGAGTGTTCGAGGTAATTAGCTAGTGACAATATTTTGTTATCATTTCTCATGTCAAAATATTTTTGCACGAATTGATGTTTTTAGCTTACAAATACAACTAAATAAGTCACTAATTTAGTTTTGAAACAATGCTTCCTTGAATCAAAATCTTCTTCAGAAACTAGTTGATGTTGTTCCAGAAGATCATACTTTAAGTTTAGACTAGAGCTTTTATTGTGCTTTTGCTTAAAACGATTCAAAGTCTGCAACTCATACATTTTTTTGGAATAATCTCACTGTCTAATGAGGATGTGATCTTTTTATCGACGTAAGCCTTGTCCCTATTGATCAGGGTCGGCCAGTAAAGATGTGATATGGACCGATATTTATCCAAATTTGTTTACGGACAATTTTTCCAATAATCTCGAAGGTTATCACATTCTTGTATAACGGATAATATTTTTACGTGCCATAATCGAAAGATTCTGCTATTTACAATCCTGGAATTTTTATCAATGAGCAAGTGCAATTTTCAAGGAGTTTTAGAGCAGCTACTTTTGATGTTCATTGGCTACCCCAAATTGCAAGAGTTTCGTCAGACCCATTGTCTGCCTATATGTAAAATATAAATTAAGAAATCTATAAATGCTTATATTAAGATTGTCCTCAAAGCATATAGCCAAAAACCATTCATTGAATACCATAATGATGGATGAAACTATTATTTCATGAAAGAAAGGTTTTAAATCTGAAACAAATAAAGTTCAGAATCATTCTTGAGTTTGGCAAGTTTAACTGGGCTAATCTGCAATGGTAGAACATACACTAATAATGGAATAAAAATCAGATCTAAACAAACTGAATCCGAATAGTGAAAGTTGTTAAGAGAGGTGGGATCTGTGGTACAAGAATGCCGTGATAATTGCCAAAAGCACACAATACAACTCCAATCTCATGTCTCAACAAAGCCTTTTTCCTGTCCCAGTCTACCTCATTAATACTACGGCTGTTTTATACTTTAATTAAACTCATTAATACTGTGGATGTTTTATACAACAACAAGTTTGAAATGACAACATTAGTCGTCCAAATAACTTGTAAGTTGTAGCAGCTTTAGTAACATGTTGCAAGTGCAGTGAGGTGTTTTTTGCTAAAATTGTATAGCTGCATCTCTATAACATTCTGTGATCTTTGACTGCTGTTAAGGTGCATGTTCGAACGTGGAAGTGTGCCGCTGTTACTTGCAACTGCGGAATTGCGGCTAGAGAAGGTGATGACGTCATAGTGGTTGATATGTGTAGAGATGGGGTTCCTAGAGCGAGGTTTGCAAGCACGACAAGACCGACCACTGGTACATCATTGCATCGAGACGAAACTGGAAAAAGTTTCATCGTAAGTGAGCTAGAGAAAAGAAACGCTGATGCCTTCAAACTAACTGCATAAAATAGGCTTTCTAGAAATTTCATGTGGATGAATGATGGCATAAATTGAATGTTTCATAAGTTAAAATTTTTTTTTGTTAAAGATAAATGATTATTGTGCCAATGGACTGTCATTACGATAAAATATTGTAAACTCGTATTATCTCTTTCTAGATAATTATCATATTATTAGCAAAAAAATCATTATTTTCACTTTTGCTACTCAAAAATTTTGTTAAGGGAATGAAATAATTTTGTTTACATATATTAAAAACAGATTCAATTTCCGTCTGGTGCCTTTATTCGAATTGATAACTATCGATGGTATGGCAATACGTACTACGCAAATGTGGTTGTTCAAGTGCCAAGTGACGACTTCAATTGTACCATTGGTTTATGTGGTACATTTGATCGCAACATGCATAATGACATGCAAAGCAGAAGTGGCAAAATCTACACTTCAATGAACGTTGGTTGGCAAGCCCCTGTCGGATTCAGTGAAAGCTGGAAGTATGTAGAACTATGTTGGTTGTCGTACAGCAAAAAGTCGCGTGTAGTTTTATATTGTACAAAATATATTTTGCAAATTGGGCAATTTCATTCATCACTATAGGTCGTATGTTATTTTTAAGAGAAAATAATTTTAAAAATGTTTTTCAATCTAATTAGCTATTCAACAGTTAAAATATTTTAGAATAGTTTCGTAACTGTACATGCAATAGCTTCTTGATATGTTGAAACGACATTGGACAAGATAATTTTTCAATCTGAGATTTCCTTTGAAAATATTGTGAGAATAGCTTTTTGAAAGATCTTATTCCTGGCTAGATGGTCATGTACTTTTATTGAAATAGCAACTCTGAGACGAGACGCAACGCTCAAATTGTATACATATAAATTTGGTAATCAGACTTTTCTCCTCTGCCTCAACAAAAGTAAAAATTGCATTCCTATTACTGCTTACTAGTCCTTCTTTCGATCTGTTAATTGTTCACTGCCAATTTTTTTAAAGAATACAAGCAGGAAAAAGTCTGTTTTACTATAAAGAAAAGGGAAAAAGCTCTTGCAAAAAGATACTAAAGACGAAGTTCTGCACTTGCAAAAGTAGCTCAGATGGCTCATCTCACATTAATTGTCGTCATGAATCAATTGCCGATCGCCCGAGCTATCTTGATACCAGTCAAGGATGGAGAGAACTAAAACCATTGTTACCGAGTTGCGGAGAGAGAAAAAGAAGATCTGTCGAAGAAACCATTTTAATTCCGTCTACGAATGACGATGATGCATTCTATGTTTACCACCCTGCGAACATAAGTTTCACGGTGCCTAGCTGGCCAACACCGCTTGGAAAAAGCAAACTGGAGGTCGAAGTTTACTGCAATAACACAGTGAAGAATTCTGCACCAGGAAAAATATGCTCTGCGATCAAAAAATTTGACATCGATTCGTTTACAAATCAATGCATTACAGATGTTCAGGTCAGATTATCCTTTTAAGATCAAATACAAGAATGCTATTTTGTTTACATAATTTCTTGTTTACATAAGTGTGTTTTTGTTGTTTTTGATACCATTTACAACCAGCGTTTTATTCCAATTCGCTCATATCTAAATATTTTTGTCTTTTTACATAGGGTTATTTTTTTCAGAGAAAACTAGTTACTAGTTGAAGAATTGTCAAAATGCTAGAGAAAGTTTTCATGTTGAGGTGTGAGTAGAGCTATGGTTTGTTCATCAAGCGTGCGAAAGTTCAGTTAGAGAAGCAAAATTAGGCGCTGACAACGATGAGTCGAATGTTGGTTCGATCTTCAATTACTGAATTTCTAGTTTTCATGGTGAGAAAAAGCTGAAAAAGTCCGTCTGTCCCACTGTTTTGAAATTTCGCTTTTAATGAAGCATCTACATTTTGTCGCCTTTTCCCAAGAGTTCTTCTCATAATGACTAAGAGCTGTCTCGAGTTCAGTTTTATCTCTTTATTCTGTATTTCTAGCTCGTGTCTGAATCAATCACTGCGGAAACGCTTTTTTCTCAACGAGAAGGATTTTTATGCATGAATTTGTCGAATTCATGAGAATGAAATGATAAAAAAAAGAAAAGCTCTTGCTCTAAAAATGGTAACAAATTGAAAATAAGAGACTTCAATTCAGCTATGGTGCTCTTTCCTGTCAAAAGCTAGGGAGAAAGCTTCTTATAACACGGTGTATTGGTTGCTATCAGAAACTTTGAAGAGTTTCCGGCCAACGGTAAACTAAAATAATGTGAGAAAAGCTTTTCTTGTGTTTTAGTTTTGATCTCTAGATTCTCAATCTCAAAGTGACATTAAAAGCAGTATGTCTAATCAATTGGAAAAAAGACAAAATTTTTTCCTGCTTCCATCTATAGCTCTTGACATCACATTTTTTCCGCAATTTCGTTCCAGGTTGTGCTGGTTTTCTTCCACGTGATAAAATGAAAATGCAAATTTTTTATAGCTCTTTTTCAGCAGCAGTAGTCCAGTCGAGCTTAGAAACGATTAGTTATGGCCAAGAACATTAGGAAAATCATCAGGGTAATGCTTTAACCATTTAAGGCATCAGAATACATTTTTGAATGCGTCCTTCTTGCTACAAACAATGGAATAATTTTAAAATGTATGACCACTTATTTGAAATCGAAAATAATGTTCTTATGCATTCAAGGCATTCAGCAACAATAATAGTTCACATATTCATCTCCCTGTAGATCACTGACAACTACATCTTCTCCATGTCAGCTGTGCGTTCAATGCAATACGCATGCGAAGAGATCTTTTTGAAAAACACTTCTTACTGGAGGCTCGATTCTACAAAAAATTCAACTCTGACACCACCAATGGAAATAGCTAAAACACTTTGTCCTTCATTGTGCAGTGGTCATGGCTCTTGTGTAAATGCGAAGTGCAGATGTAATGAAAGTTACACGGCTGCTGACTGTTCCATCAACAAGCACAATGGCCCATCTGTCGTTTCAGTGTCGTCAAGAGGCCTATGTGATGCGAGAAAGAGAAATGATTGCGAAATTGTCAGGATACGTGGATACAATTTTCTGGAATCTGAAAAGCTTTCCTGTCGTGCCACGAGGATCAAGGTAGATTTTTAAATTTTTGAACTCCCATTATTTTTAATCTGCAAACTTATAGTCTAATTTTTAACAGACTTGGTGAAACGATTGTAATAAAAAGTATAGCAATCAAGTTGAAAGGAAACAAAGCACAAACAAGGAAACGTCATCGTAGCTGTAAGGCAATAAAGATACCGGCGTTGATTATCTAGTATGACGTTTGCCAGGCTTCTTTTGAGCATACGAGAACTTTGGGGGAAGGAGTAGATTTTTAGCAAAACTTTATCTATGGTCCCGTTCACACTTGATTAGTAAGTGGTTTCAGCTTAACACGAACACAATTTTTGAATCAATTTGTGCAAAAACTCATTTTCAAACCCTAACTTTATCCAGAGAATAACTACCTTGTTCTGAATTTCAAGCGGCAGCACTTGAACGACTTGGCCTTGGCTAGTTTGATAAGCTTGGTGAAATTTTCAGCAAGTATGTTTTTATTTTAAGGGATAGGGACAAGTCTAATGAAATAGCACTTCCAATCTAACTGTGTTTAGCGACTGCTGTTTCTCAAAGGGTACTTTCTTGATTTATCTCGCTCGAATGCTTTCTCCTATATAAATCTTAAAGGGCCTCTCCACCAAAAAAAAAATTTTTTTATTGATAAAAAAGTTAGCATCTAGCGCGTGTGTTATGGCAAAGTCGTTGTTTTTGCAAAATTCCAATTAGTTTAAAAGTTATGAGGCTTTAAAGTTGCACCTTTCCGAGGAAAAAACGACAAAAGCCGAATCAGTTTGGTGACATTCTGACGTCGCAGTGTGCGGCTCTCGTTCGCCATGAATTTCGTACATCTTCCACCGAATCGTGAAGGAGTTTTTGTCAGGCATTGATAACTGCATCTAAATCTAGAGCAGAATCTTTTTAGGATCGAAAAATATTAAATGTTTACAATCATTCTAAGTTTGCGGGTCGGAATGTGTCCATGCTGTGTCTCGACTTTGTTTTGATCACCTGTGTAGGCCCACAAAGCTACGGCTTCCTGTTCCAGCTCTTCCCTCGCGTATAATTAATCGAAATTGACACTTCAGTTGTTCTCCAGAACTAAAGGCTTCATTCAGAATTGATATCTGAAATGCTCAAACTAAAAGCCGGTGGAACAGAACTGAGAGTACCATCACTTGCAGTGTACAATTTGCGAATCGCCTTCGTTCGATTCGGTTTGAGGCGAGACTAACGAAATACACTGTGACGTCAAAATTGCGTCATAGTGTCACTAAACCGAAAAATTTTTGTTGGTTAATTCAATTCAATTATCAAAATGCAAGAGCTTATATCTCACAAACTTTAAAAATTATCGAAAAACAAATAACGAATTCGGGATCAGCAGGTTCAACTCCTTTAGATTAGCCAATAAAATGCAAGTGAAAAATTTTGCTGGAGAGGCCCTTTAAACAATATTTAATAACAAAGGATATGTTAAAAACTGTATAATATCAGTTTGAAATGGTTTTCACAGTTGCTTCACAACTGTCATGGCAGCAAAGATCTGTAACTCTTGATAGTTATTTTGTCCGTTTTGTAGATCAACAGTATTGGATATAGAAAAACAGCCATCTCAACAACACATACCGCGTACCTTCTTAGCTTTGGCGAAGTGGTTTGCAAAATCAACAATCATTCCATTAATTTAGACCATTTTTCCAAAACATTTTATAGCCCTTCGTACGAAGGATACGTTCTTGAAGTGACAAATGATGGGAGAAAATTTTCTAGAGAAGAGGTTGTTTTGTTAATATATGACTCGAAATGCATTGCTTGCAACACCAATAACACTGTTTCATGCAGAATAAAGGTAGATTCATGTTTTCTTTCAATTCTATTGCTCACCAATTTTTATAATATATCAGAACTAAAGTTTGGCGAATAATTTGCAAAATATTATATCTAGGTAACTTATTACCCTTATTGAGATTTAAATTCATTATCAATTAGCTTGCAAATGGTTTTGTTCATTATTACTTCATGGTCGCGGCGTTCAATTTTTTTATCAATTTCTGGAATGATTCAGTTGACCACATTTGAATAATCTAGAGTATCGCTTACACATAGGTATTCATTTTGCTCGCCCTTGCATTGTTGACAAAGAGAAAACCAAAAAAATTTCCTTTCAGTAGAAAGTCGTTGAATTTGACTGAATGGTTGTTAAGCTGAATGGCAATTTCAGGGCATAAATCAATCTCTAGTGAACGTGGAAAATCTGGGTGAATATGTAAATTGCAGTTTAAACTTATCAAAATTTTATTAAAATTTTCAGAATGGCAAGTGCAACATCGATGGATATTGTTTTGACGATGGCGAAGTGTCAAACTTTGACAGCTGCTCGAAATGCAATCCAAGTCTGAGTCAGACAACTTTTACGCGAGGAATTGGCAAAAGTTTAAAATGTAGTTGTTTTTTCGTATAATACTTTCAACTTGTTTTAACCTAGCAACTATGAACTATCCCTACAATCACACTGATGTCATGGCCAATATCCTTTCTGTTATCTGAACATCAGTGCTTTATATTTAAGCGGATCTCGTTGAGACACAAAATAGCGATACACTAAAACATCAGACGAAGTATCGAAATTAATTGCTTTAAAATCTCCATTTTAAATGAAGTCGATGTTCTTCCAAATTGAATTTTTCTTATTATTGAGAGAGGTTGACGTCATCAAACATCTGTTTGTCACATTTCCATCTCACTGGCCAACGCTGGTCAGATTCATTCTTTTTGTTGACAAACTCGTGGCATTTAAGTTCGTTGGCATAAGCACTTAGAAAATAGTGACTGTGCTTGCGGGGAAAAAAACTTGCGCGATATTTTGTCTGACAGCTGTTCACAGTTAGTTTTAATATCAGAATAGGAAGCTGGAGTCGCCTTGATCTATAAAACAACACGGCCTTTCCTATCAAATGCATTTTCTGCATAATTCTGTCTTCTTTCTTCAAGTTTACTTTCACGTTTATTTTAACAAGAAGAGCATCAAACGTTACTTACTTTAAGTTCTACCTCTAAAGAACATTTTTCTTTTTAAAACACTGCTTCTTTCAATTACTTAGTGAAAAATTTTATGGCAATGTTATCAGCTCAAAATTATTGAAGTTTTCAAAAATTCACTGATCGATCCATCATTGAAGTTTGGACGCAGAATACCTAAACTTTTCCTAAGTCAGGTTTTCGTATCTTGGCGATCATCGCTAGTGAAGGCCTTGCAATGCTTGTGATGTATGACAACATGAGTTTCCAAATGTCAACAAAGATTGCCGCTAGGGAACTTTTTGGAGAACATTATCTGGAAAATGTCTCGTTTCCAGTCTACATCCATGGTCAGGCTTGCGCCGACAAAAAAGACCGAAGCCGTGGATACGATTCAAGAAAACTCAACATCAGAGTTTCAATTTATCGAAGAAATATGAACATATTACGATAAATCATGTAACAGCTTTCAGGAAAGGAAAGTAGAAGTTTATTTCTAGAAGAAAATTGCAAAAGCCACAGGAATGACTTGAAAATGAGCAAAGACACAAAACAATATGAACGGCATCCTTGAAAAATTGGTTGACAATAAGTGAAAAAGGTAGAAGCATCAGGGAAGTAGGCTCTATTGACCAAAACGTGAGCATGTGCCCTGGCCGATGAATGTCATTATAAAGTCGTGACACAGCTCCAGTATACAATTTATCCAATATCAGACGACCAAGAAAAGTTTGCGGCACCTGGCGAAGATTCAATGACATGTTAAACGAAGTAAAGAGAGGTGAAAACCACACAAATGAACAAACTGGAATTTCTTATAAAGTCGGACTATAACATGGCAAGAAGACATTGCTGCAGTTTTCTGTTCAAAATTGGGACAGACTTTAGATTAAGGCTCATTACAGGCAAGAAATATATGGAGACACTTGCATCAGTGGCGTAGTTTGAGAAGGTCAGGGGCGACCATCCCCTCACCACGCTTCAAATAAATCTTGTCGGAAGTTTCATAAAGACCTAATAAAGCATTTGTCGGAATATTTTGTAAAAGCATAGAGGTTCGGGACATGATATGTTGCATTGCATTCAATAATTTTCTATGTAGAATGAGACTTTATCTTACAGGAGGAGTAGAATACAAAAAGTTAATATCACAATATGATTATAATTGAATATGCTCAAAAAATATTTTCAAAAAGTAATAATTTATTTTGAATAACACTGTTTTGCAGGGAAACGTATAAGAAGCAAGCTAGTATGCAGACGACAAATATTTGGTCAACGGCAAACAAAAAATTAAATGCTTTGAATTTCTTTCGATAATGATTACTGAATCAACGCAAAAATGACACACTGCAATCATAGCTGCTCATTGCAATATTCATTGCAGAACAGTTGGAGCGCTTAGATGTCATTTCGCTTTGGAAATATAGAGATTGTGTGAATTTTAGCAAATTAAAGTTCACCCAGTGGCGAAGCTAGCGGTCATGCTGGTCAAACTAAAAATTTTCAGAGCTAAAGATATTTACCATAAAGATTAAAAGTCTTCTTTATTGAAAAAATACTTTGAAAACCCAATTTCGTCCAATTTATTCTCATTATACTACTGCCGTTCCCCACCTTGGTCCCTTGTGGTTAGTCATGCTCATTCTGAAGAGCATGACCTGCCATAGTAGGGTTTCTTTACGCAGAGAGCCCAACCACTCCTGTGAGTCGGCTGAGTTTCAATGACTTTTCAGTTGGTATCCCTGTGGTAAGTCATGCTCATTTGGAATAGCTTGACCTCGTCATTATAATCATAAACCTAGCACCGATTTGATTGGCTGAATTCTATCTTGCGCATGCTATTTTGGCCCGTTTTGGACCCCAAGTCATGCTCATCATCAAATTTTTGCACCAAGAACTATTGCCGAGAGTAAAGAGCAATCGTTTCGTGATACGTCTACAACGAAAAACAGCCCATCTGATGTTGCTACCCATATTAAGATACCAGGTGTAGATTCACTCGAACAGTCTCCGAACGATTTAGCTATTATTCAAAAAATAATTATTTCAGTTGAACATAGCTCCTGACATGGATCTCCTCTGCCAAGCTGATTCAGCTTTTGCTACTGATTTTTGCAGTTGCAATTCATTGGCTATTTATAATCTCCCGAGAACCAAAAATGAAATGAATGCGTTTTTCCGTAATCAATATTGAAAATACGTTTGTTTATGATTATTTCATATCCGGCACCCGTGGCATATTAGCAGTGATTATATGCTAGGGCCTTTACAATTTGAATGTGTACAAAAAAATATTTTTAATATTTTCTTCACGCTTTTTTACTTCTTTTTATTTCAGTTTTAATTTTTTTTGCAGTGTAGCCCATTCAGCAATGCTGATCTTATCATAGATAATTATCATAACATAATCAAAAATAAAATAAATCATTGCAATAAATCAAAAAGTGATAGAATGCGCCACCTAGCCTTTTCTAACTTCAGTCACCCTACCCACCAAATATTTTATACACTTTTCCAATATTTTCAGGTCTATTTCCCTTAATTTGTCAAATTTTATTTAACTAGGTGTTAGTGATTACTCTTTATTTCATCTTTTTTCATTTTCCGGTTTTGTATTTTACATTTTCTTGCACATTTGCTGTTAGTTTTTACTTTTTATGCCTATTAAAACATATGAATATATATCTAATAGTTTAAAGTTCCAAAGCATGATCAAAAAAATTCTAAAGCAAAGTTTGAATTTAATCGGAGATGTTGCCTGCTTACCTTCGGTATCGAGGCAATTCCAAAGTTTAGCACCCCTAGGCCCTAAATGAAAATGTATTCAAAGCTATAAAAATTTGCAACTTGTCACGTTTTCCACGGCAATATCAACGTCACGATCTTGCCATAATTCACCACACCACCAAAAATTCCTAGCAGCTCTTAGCTTACGTTAAGACTCAGTATAAAGAGTTGTAGATTTAGCATAAAATTTTGTTCTGTAACATTTATTTTTCTTTTGCAAAAGACAAGCGTCAGTTTTGTCAAAATAGGAAACAAAACATTCTAATTTTTTTTATGACGGTACAATTTCGTGCACCACTTTTTGCATTTTATAATTTGAGTATTTGAAAGTATGATTTAAAAATACAAAGCACCTTAAAAACAGTAACAAGATTATTTTTTCTAATATGATACTGGTAAAAATTATCTTTAGAAAGCTGAGAGACAGTTTGTTTTGCTTTTCTACTCAAGTCAAGCTCAAACTGTTATGATGTTGTACAGCTGTGCGCACACATCAGACTTCTATCGTTGCGAATGCGATTGTAAAATCGTTTAGTTGCAGTGCACCGCAGACTTTTATCGTTGCGACTGCGATTGAAAAATTGTCCAGTTGCCGAACACAGCAGAATTTTTTCGCCGACAGATTCGATCTTAGACCACTTTGAACTTCACGCATGCTAGACAACGTCAAGAAGAACTTTTCATTTTGATTAGCTTTTTTTGTCACATGATCCACAAATTTTGTTGTGAAGTTCCTTACACAGCATATTATTGTCATGCCTCTCGAGCAATCCGAAAAAATATCCATGTTGGGTTTCACAACTGGTTTTTCGCGAGAAACGTTAGAGCACACAGCATACAACCAATTTTGTAAATTAAAAACAAATACCGCAGTCCGTATCGATAAAAATTTGCTGTGTGAGGTCAGCTTAATTTGTCTGTTATTTATATTAATATAGATGATCTTCTTTGTAGATAAAGCATGCAAGACAAATTCAAAACTAGTCACTGTGGTATCAAGCGTTAGTGCGGTCATCGTACTTCTTATTGTGATCCTTGTTGCATTCATTGTTTTCAAGCAGAAGAAAAAGAGGAACAAAGCAGTTATGCCTTGTCAAAAAGAAGTCCAACTAGACAGAAAGTTTGAAAATTCTGCCTTCGATGGAGACAGTATGCAGTAAAAAAATTAGAGAATTCCACTTGATAATGCACTTAGGTAAAAGTTGCTGAATGTAGTAGAATTCCTTAAAGAATATGTAATTTCTGAATCAACTTCAAATTTACTATTTTGCTATAAATATCATATCGTGGGCATTCAGACCTTATCTTGTTTGCTCTGTCTTAGTGCAGCTGTCGTGCAACGCTAGAGCCATAGCAGACTTATAAAGGATGATTATTATTACGCTGGATTTTAGGGTTTTTACTGACAAGTCTTAATTTCATATGAATAATTAACATGTTCTTTTTTGCTGTATTAAACATTAGAATTTCACTGTGAGTATTGTTATAACATCTGAATCTTTCCATTTCAAGGAGCTCTTTAAAAGAAAGATGTCATTTTATTCACTGTACCTCCCTTAGGAATGCTGCGAGCCAGAAGCTTCATCTTTATCAGAAGAAGCTACTTTCTAAAACCACTTTAATGTTTATTATTTTACTGCTCTTTCTCTTTATAATGTCATAAGTGCTTCAGACAATTAAATCACTCTTCAATAGCCTTTTGATTACTGCTTCAGTTGATCAACGTGTCTTAATCGATTATTTTCTTATGTTTTCACTATTACAACTATTACAAGAATCCATTATAAATCTGAAATTTTATTTGAGCATAACAACTTTCTTCTTGATGATTACTAGATTCCTGACGCCTGGGAGCAAAACCGACGTAAAGAAAAGAAAACTTTTCATCTCTATTATTTCTTCTAATATCCTACCTGCTTTGTTTTGTCACACCTGATAATTTCATCGCTCTTTTTCCCCATAAAGTCGATATCCGCCTACCTAGTGCTTCATTATCTTCTCTACCGTATTTTGCATCACATCCATCCTGTCCTTGCTCTTCAACATCCAGTTTTCTACCCAGCAGCCCTTTTCATAATGCTCTACATTTTTTTCCCTTTTTTGGTATGAAAAGTTTTTACGAGTTTACTTGAAAAAAAGTCCTCCTCAATTACATCCTCAAGTCTTTATTTAATTACTTAAAAATGTTTACTTAACACGTTCTGAATTCATTTTTTTTTATTTGATTTGTTGTAAATTTAATATTGCTTAAAAACCTACTCCTTTCCTTTCTCTATAAGTATCGGGAAAGTTCCTTGATTTTTTCAATTAACTTGAGATGTAATTGCAAATTTTTAAAAAATTTTAACTGGATAAATTTGAAAGAAACTGGCTATTCCTTAAAGGCAAACGAAGGTTGGAAAGCAAAGTGGAAGAGCTCAGTGATTAAACGTTTTGGGACAACTTTAACACCCAAAATTATAGGCTGTCCAAGAATGTGACCCTCGTGCTTCACAGTTTCTTACTTTGTGTTGACTGGGGTTAATTCATAGATTGGTGTGCCAGACGTTTAGTTTTGTAATCAACGTTTGAATGGTGTTAATCAAACCATGACCAACCTCAGATCCAAAAGCTGCCTCTTCTTTGACAAAAAGCGTTATCTGCAGATGTTGTGGCGGCTAGAGTTGATTTCAAAACAACATTGCTTTGTTTAATGGGAACAGTACAAATCTTGGTCGTTTTATCAAGACATAGCAGCAGAAAAGTATGTGAATTTTCCCATGTATCAGCTGTTTTTCTAAAAAGTTTACGATAGAAAAATTACAGTCAAATGATATCAACAGATCGCTGAAATCTTTACTTTTAAAAAAAGGGCTTGCTTTGCGATAACTATATTTCCGCGAGGGGAATGTACTGCATTTTGCATTCTCATACAGTACGGTATTTAGCTGGTTTTGGCAATACAGTCACAAAGCAAACTTCTCTCTAAAAATGCAACCTCTGTAGTGTTAAAACTTATGTATTGACTGGCATCAAATTTGTTGCTTTGCTTGATATACATTTAGAAATATTATTTGCCAAATATGGAGCACCAAAGAATAATCTCAGAATCTTAATATTTTCTAGGTATGTGACAATAATTTGCCAAAATCTTAGCTTGAAATTTTTTAAGCATTACAAGTATGAAATGCATGATTGCACATTTTATAAATATTTAGAGGCTGGAGAAGTAAAAGAATTTTGATACTGCTTTTTCGAAATTAAAAGCCAATAAGATTCGGAAGGGATGACCAGCATTATGTTCTAACCTTATGCCAACTTGTTTGTTTCTACTCGCAATGATTTGGTTAAGGTAGAGCTCTATATTTGCCGTTTGATTAAGAAATAGCCCTCAAAATACAATAGAAAATTATCATATTGTAGCAGAAGAAAATTCAAAGCTAGTCACTGTGGTATCAAGCGTTTGTGCGGTCATCGTACTCCTTGTTGTGATCCTTGTTGCATTCATTGTTTTCAAGCAGAAGAAAAAGAGGAACAAAGCAGTTATGCCTTGTCAAAAAGAAGTCCAACTAGACAGGACATTTGAAAATTCTGCTTTCGGTGGAGACAGTATGCAGTAAAAAAATTAAAGAATTCCACTTGATAATGCACTTAGGTTAAATTTGCTAAATGTAGTAGAATTCCTTAAAGTAATTTCTGAACTCTAAATTAATTTCTGAACTTTAAATTTACTAAAAAATTCAGAGAAAGACTAATTTCTTGCAAAAAAGAGCAGCCGGTATGAAAATAGCCGAATTTTGTCAGGTCACTTGACATTTCTACTGATAAACAAGGTCCAGCCCCTTCAATAGAAAACATTATTTGCATTTTGAATCATAAAATATTCATGTCAGCGAAATTGTTCTCAGTTTAGATACAGACAGTAGAAACTAATTGGTATTTTTATTGTCGTAGTAAAGCAATTTGGCTATAAGATTTAAAATTGAATTTAAAAGTTGGAGAAATAACAGAGCTCTAATGTGTAAGTACGGTGTGGAGGGATAGAAAACTCATACAAGAAATCTTAATAATATAAAGTGTAACAATTGTTTCACTGGTCTGGGAATGTAAAGTAATAATATTATCCCTCGACTAATGATGCTTTACGTGTCCAGCATTTTAAATGCATACGGCTTATTCGTAACGGGTGTTCGTAACGAAAAAGCAATTTTTCTTTCAATTTCATTATAGAAAGATTTGTATAAGCGTATGGGGGCAGCATTGTCAATTTTGATATATGTCATCTCCACACCATCCCCCCAACCCCCCAACCCCTTCCTCCCGTTCACAATCAGGGCACTGCTTGAACAGCGAGGACGGTTATTTTTCTTTTCTCTTTTTTGCTAATCCTCCTCCTTTTCCTTCTCCTCCTTCACCTATTTCTCTTCCTCATTTTCTTCCTCCTCATCCTCCTCCTCTTTCTCCCCCTCCCCTTTTTCCTCCTCCTCTTTCTCCTCCACCTGCTCAATATCCTCCTTCTTTATCTCGTCCTCTTTTTCTTCCTCCTCTTTCTCCTCCTCCTATTTATTCTCCTCTTTCTCCTTCTCCTCTTTCTCCTTCTCCTCTTTCTCCTCCTCCTCTGTCTCCTTCTCTTCTTTCTCCTCCATCTTTTTCTTCTCCACTTTTTTCCTATCCTCTTCAGCTTTCTTCTCCTCCTCTTTCCCTTCCTCCCTTTTCTCCTCCTCTTCTTTCTTCTCCACTTCTTTCCTATCCTCCTCCTCTTTTTCCTCCTCCTCGTCCTCCTCTTTCTCCTCCTCCTGCTCATTATCCTCCTTCTTTTTCTCCTCCTCCTATTTCTTCTCTTCCTCCTCTTTATCTCCTCCTCTTTTTCTTCCTCCTCTTTCTCCTCCTCCTATTTCTTCTCCTCTTTCTCTTTCTCCTTCTCCTCTTTCTCCTCCTCCTCTTTCTCCTTCTCTTCTTTCTCCTCCATCTTTTTCTTTTTCACTTCTTTCCTATCCTCTTCAGCTTTCTCCTCCTACTCTTTTTTCTCCTCCTCCTCTTTCCCGTCCTCCCCTTTTTCCTCCTCTTCTTTCTTCTCCACTTCTTTTCTATCCTCCTCCTCTTTTTCCTCCTCCTCGTCCTCCTCTTTTTCTCCTCCTCCCCTTTCTCCTCCTCCTCTTTCTCCTTCTCCTCTTTCTCCTCCATCTCTTTCCCCTTCCCTTTTTATTCGTTAACATTTTTTGTTAAAACGAGAAACCTTTGCGCTAGAAGCCTTGCGCAAATCAACTGATGTCAGATAAGCGGACAAAAGCAAAGTCAGATGACTTGGACTCAGTTAAAATGGGCTAATAAAAGATGATAATTTTTTACAAACTGGTTCTTGAGACAAAAATATTTTCGAATAAAGAGAAATACAACGTGTCTACTCTCAGTTGGGAAAAATGTTTGGATGGAGATGCCACCGATCGATTATAAAACATCGATGACATTTGGTAACATTTCACCACATCAAAAACTTTCTTGCAAAGCAGACATATCATTCGGTGCAGGGGCATAAAGCCATATTATTTCTTTACCGCTGCAGGTCTTTAATAAAAACCGGTCGGTACGAGGGTACATTCACGAATCTTTATCATTTTCCTTGCAATATTTATCGACAGTTTTTAAAAGTTTAAGTGTTTGTGAACATTTAATGCAATTTTGTGTAATGATGCAATCCAGTTTTGATGCAAATTTGGTTAGGGCGGAATGCTCAGACGTTGGTGTCGCGAAAATTGGTGCTCTTTTGACCATGAAAATTCTTTTAAACTTTTGTTTTTCATAATTTTTTTTGTATATCTGGGAATCGGCGGTCTTCGTGCATCCAATGATTCTAGCAATTTTACGATAGCTTTTTCCCATCATTGTGATAAAACATTATTTCTAGACACTGCGCAGAAGTCAGTTCTTTTGTTTCGGTCGCTACCATCTTGAGGAAAATCCCTCACAGAGTTTGCTTACATAGCAATGAGATTATTTTTTTTCGACGAATAAATTGGTTAAGGGCCAAAAAAACTTCAAGAAAAATTTTAAGAAAATTAATAAAAATGTTTTGATGAAAACAAACTTTGAAATTTGTAAACAAATTTATCTAACAACAAATTCGCAACTGAATTCGAAACTGTCCGGATACTTTTGTGACGGGAGTGTATTAATATGAAGAACTTAACTGTAACATTTACAATGACGATATGCATAGCTATATATCTTAATACAAACATTAAATAAATCTGCTCTTATGAATGTAAGCTAAGAATTAACAATTAAAAACTATGCTGGTTGTGAAGATTTTGTAATTAATTAACTTGGGTGGAACCATAATCAGCCTAGACAAAGCAGTATAACCTAAAGAATGGCCAGCAATGTCCGTGTAGAGTGTTTTTTGATTATCTTCTAATAGAAATGATTTAGCGTAATCATGAGACTCTGATGTCTTCAAACCTCACAAAAGGCTAGATCTACATTTTGTTTCCAATCCAAGTAGCTGACAATACAGACACCCATGAACTTGGTTCTTGAACTCATTCTAGTTGATCATCATAAAATATTAAATTTAGTTCTTTTTCTCAGTGGCGTAACGTCTATGCATGTTAACATGCAGATTAAGGATGAGAACATCTAGAAATTCCAAAGTTTCTTTTGTCGTAACTGCATAAGTCTTCTCGTCTTTCATCCACTTTGCGAAAATCTTAGATGATTTTTGTAAACACGGAACAATCCTAACTGTTTTATTGTTTGGAGCAATTACCGTAAAGAAAGTTCAAAGAAATAATCTTTCGAAACCAGCTTTGTGTACTGTTACTAGACAGAAAGTTGAGAAAAAACTTGAATCACTCACACTATCAATGGAAAACTCTCCCATACTTTGCGCTGGCTTATGTTCATTTTCAAATGTTCCACTTGATCATCGCTGTTAAAAAAGGGCGGTCTCAAAAAAATCAGCTGCAGTTTTCACAGGTCATCTTAATCTTTCATAAGATCATTTCATGCCATAATCTACAAATTTTTCCTTTTTCATTTTAAAATTTTTTTTGCGCAAATTCATCATTGAAATTGTGCCATTGCGTGGGAAACTTCAGAACTGCTTCTCTGCCTTTGTTTAGTTGACCGGTGGCCCTTACCTACTCCATACTGGTAAAATAAAAAAGGTTCTCTGCTTTAAATATAATTGCTTATCTGTTTTGAATCAATCAAAGTTGACATTTTACAAAACTCAAAAAAAGTTTATTACAAGAATGGTCAATGGCTCTTGTACATTTTTCTCCAACTATTTTGGTCAAAATTGTGCATTTTTCTTTTGGTACTGTACTTTGAAACATTGGTGTATCAAATTGTATAAGTTAAGAAAGCACTTGTGGGACATATCTCTCCAAATTCTATAAATAGATATACATTTTCAAATTGACAACAAACTTCATTGATCGTGTTTTTTTTAACTATTTGGATAGGATTAAACTTTTCAGAATTTCATACACTTAAAACTTTATCTCCGCTTTACAGAAGTGCAAATCCTCGGACAAAGTAAATTTAAATTTAATCCTCTTGATTCTCAACGGCGACCCTGAGTTATATTCCTGGTGATGCTGTAAAAAGACATCACAGGTTATCATTGAAAACTATCAGTTTAAAAGCAGCTACTTGCTGGTTTCAACGAAATGATGCTACAATCTTTTCTAAAAGAACAAGTTGATTTAAGTTCTGATTGGCTGTTTATGATTTCCCGCCTGGATTTTGTCTTAGGATGTAAACATTGCAATCGCTAGCTTTTGTGCTCAGGGGGAGTATTCAGACACAATGAGCCAGCAAAGTGAGTAAGACATTCTATTCTTGTCGGCAAGTTTGAGAATTAACCCACAAAACACCCTTAGATGGCAAAAATCCCCCCTTGTATAAGGTGCATTTTTGAGGGCGTTTCGCAACATTGCACAAAATTACATTTTACTGTACTTTAGCTTGTCTTTACTTTTTCTAAACTTTTTACCAACTTTGAGGCTCTTGTTATTTAAATTATTCTTATGAAAAAAGTAATGAATGCCATACCTAATTAGATAAGATCGTTTCACTTCTCTAAATTTACCAGACCAATGGAAGAAATCGTTATATTCATTTCTTTTGAAATGGAAATACTTAAATACTGAAAACTGAGAGCCAAAGTTATTTTCTTAAAAATATTATAAGTTTCAAATAAAATAGCAGTTCGGCCTTACAAGGGTTTTTGTACCCTGACCCCTGACACCCTCTACCTTCACCACTTTAGTATTTGTTGATTTAAATGGAAAAGAACAATTACTTCTGTTTGGATCGATTTATGGAAACCACGTTTATATATATTCAAAAACAAATGATATTTTTGCAGTTTTTTCGCATTCTGCTTTATTTCACCTTATAAAATCGTTGTACAGCTTTTTACTAAAAATTAGTAACGTGTCCCTGTTAATCCTGCTTCGTATTCATTTGAGTTCACTGCCACAGACCACTTTTAAACAAGTACCAGTTTATACTTTTTCGCATAAAATGTCTTCATAAAGGTTAATTTTTTTCTCCACCTAACAAGGTTATGTGATTTATATTTGAATTTTGAAAAAAGGGTGACATTGGCTGGCAAAATAATTACCTTTAGTTTGAAAAAGTAACTAAGAACGTTCCCAAAGTCTGTATTTCCAAAGCATTAACGGTTTATTATAGGAAATTGCCTTAGAGATAAAAATTCCTTTTATTCCATTTAATTTGGCGTCTTCTTTTTGCTTTAAAGGTCAAAGCAAATTATATATTTTGCAAAAAGTTATGTACAATTATCACCAGAAATCACGTGCGTAAAATATGTTATTGTGCGTCAGTCATGTCAAGAAGTCGTCTTTAAAAAAGGTTTGGTCCTTTGAATTGAAAAATGTTATTTAAGATTAGCCCGACCCAGCAGGCAAAAGCCGCAAATGAAAAGTAAGTGGATGGGCAGCTGAAAATCAACTACCTGTCCCAAAATAATATTATACTCTTTGACCAAAATGTCTCCTAATACCCTAAAGCACGATGAATCCAACTGATAAATCAATTCATATTCGGACTTAAGAATAGGTTATTTTCAAATTAGACATTAAAATACCTCAATATTTTTAAAGAATTCAATTTCGATGCCATCAGCATCAAATAACTTAGATTCTACATTTCTGTAAGCAATAGTTTTAAGTTGATAATGAAGTTTTATTTGAACAATTCATTTAAATGCTTCTTAAACAATTTTTCCGCTAAAGAAAAACTTGAGAAAGACACAAAATTCGTCGGCATCGGTAGAAGATATCAAATTGCAAGCATCTTTTATCACATCTTCCTTTTTGAGGGTTTGGAAAGAATTAATTAAACATCTGAACTTAAAGATCGTTTAACCTGTATGGTATACGGCAGTGTAAGTCATTAATTATTTGATTGGAAAACAGGGAAGCCTAATAAAATTGACGAGAACCAACAGCAGCGAATTACCACAAATGAAAAGATGGTCTCTTCAGATCACACTGTATGTAATTCATACAAAGAATAAAAAATTTCAAACAAGAAACGACGATATGAAAAACTCAGACGATTATTTGAAGTTGTCTTTTGAAATTCAATCGACAATGTCTTGTAGAACGTTTGAATTTTATCACCATCTATGACTATAAAAGCCAATTGTAAAGCAACTATAATCAATTATTGAACTAACACTAAAATCAATACTAAAGTCAACACTAGAATAAACACTTAGATCATCGCTGTCTATAAACATTTTCCATAAAGAGAATTTGGCCCTCTCTAAAGGCAGACAATAAAACTATAAAAAATTTAAGCTGAAAAGAGAAATTGATGACGAATTAGATACAAGTATAATTAGGCACCAAAACAATAAAGATGATGCTAATTTTATCTAAAAAATAATCTTTTTATAAAGTAGTTCATCATTGTAAATACAAGCAGATTCTCTGTATAAAGTAAAAACTAATATTTTTAAACATAGCAAAACTAATATATATTTTACACTGGGGCTTGTTTATTCAAATGTTCTGTCTAATTTACTTTTCATTCTTTTCGAAGATGAAAATGCATCAATATCCTAAAACAATTACTATATTGGATCGGAATTAGGAAATTGTTAAAAGAAACTAAAAAAGGAAGTGGATCAAAATACGTACCATGTGGTAGATTTGAGGTTGCACCATAAAACTTGAAATTGACGTTGTGTAGATACCTAGAAGACTATTACTATATATGTCATTATTTTCAACGTTTCTAGGACATTTTGATGATAAATGGTGTCAAATGCCTTTCTATTAAACTGAGAAGACTCGATATTGATTGACAACAAAGAACTCATAAAATCAAAGGCCGCTATGTTGCTTAACAGTGGTCTTTAACAAATTAAAGATTTTAAACCAGTGCGAAAACCAGTGCGAAATCTCATACAATACCCTTGATTCAAGCAGCCAAGTAGCTACAGGGGAGTACTGGGGGCTGTGCACCTTCTAATGAAAATTTCGACAACAACTTACCCCCTTGGGCTACAGTTACTCCAAAACCCAACTCTTGGGATATCTTTCGAGGAATTTCTGGTTGAGTGGCTACAGAATCCTCGATTTTTTTTTTCAAAATATGTGTTCGGTTCTTAGTTCATAGCTCTATGTAAGCTCGATATATTCGAAATAAAAGCATCATCCACTGTTATGAATTTCTCCTTGTTTAATAACCTGCCTCCTCGACCTATGATTCTTGCTAGAGTTTGTCTACCTAGTCGATTTCCACAGCTACGTGGCTGGATTCAAGTCGGAAATATTGTCTTTCTCTATAAAAAGCAGTTATCATGCATCTTAAAATGTGGTTGGATTCATTTAACGCTGTAAAAATATTTTGAAGGGTAGCTGAGCATTTTTGCTCCATTCTTCATTTTTTATCTTTTCTGTGTACTAAAATATAGCTTCAAGCAAAGTTTCGTTTTGCTTGTCAATAATAAATATAATTTCGAATATATATTGCTATAACTTTCGTTAAATCTTATTGCAGGATTGTCAAGGTAAGGATTGGGCTGCAAATGTCGTTACTTGTTTTGGCGCTAGCATCTGGTTCAATGAAAAACGGGTTTGTTCCAAGTCGATCCAAGGCAACGACAGCAAAAGAATCTGCACATCATACACCGCACAAAGTTGTTTTAATCAATCCATGCTCATGGAGAAAAATCAAAACTCTGTGCATACTTGCTCATAACATGGCAAACATCTTACGATAGCTATCACCTGGCTATTAATCAATTATTTATGAGGGCAAATAAAGATGCATCTGACACTTGAGAGCCATTCAGTAAATGGCAGAGTTAGATTGGATATACAGGATAAACAGATCGCTTTCCAGAACAGACGAAAACCAGCATGGCTACTCAAGGAAATGCAAGCAAGGTATTCTGTACAACTCTCCAGCAATCTTTCCGAGTACAAAACGATACTTCTTTGACCTCCACTGTAATATTAACAGTGTTGCAGTCTGCCTCTTGTGTTTTTACTGTAGTGATAAATTTAGCAATTATAATCGCTTTATTGCGAAAAGAGCAGTTAAAAACAGCAGCAAACCTTATACTTACCAGTATGGCCATTAGCGATTTTCTAGTTGGTCTAATAGTACAGCCACTTACTGTGACCCATCAGATATTTAATATATACGGCAATGATTCATGCTTTCTCCAAAACATTAACTCTTTGGTCGCTATCCTCTGTGTTGGGTTGTCTTTTGTAAATGTTTGCATGTTTGCAATGGATAGATGCTTCGCAGCAATCTTTCCTTTCAAGTATCTAGAAGACAAAGTATATAGAAAGTACCTGGCAATTATCATTGCTTCATGGCTGACAATAGGGATTCTGGTAATTCTCACATACATGAAACTATTCAGTGGAGGAATGCTTCAGCGGCTAATGACACTGTTATTCGTAATTTCGATGGTCTTTACGCTCCTTTCGTATTTCATCATCTATGGCACAATCCGTCGTCAGAAGAAACGCATTTCTAATATTTCATCTGCACCAACCAAAAGATTCGTATCTGCAAACTTTATGATACGTTTCAAGAGAAGAAGGAGATTCTCTTTTAGAGATTCAACTACAGACTTCCCACAAAGTTTTGTGTCACCAAGAGCTGATGAAGTGATTGAAATAGAACACGATCAAGTTGTAAAGATTGGTGGAGAGGGTGACATTGTAGATGGCTCAGAACAGAATGTTGAACAGATGATTAACCCAAAGTTGAGAACACAGAGAGCAACATCATACACAGTCATTTTCATACTTGCAGTGTTCATGCTTTGCTATTTGCCGTTGACTGTACTCAATATAATAACGAAGAATATAGAGATCGATGATAAAACACGCATTGTTGCATACGACTGGGCTAATTTCTTAATAGTGTTTAACAGCTCTTTAAATCCTATAATCTACTGTATTCGAGTAAAAATGATTCGAAATGAGGTTAAAGCTACTTTTAGTCGCATCTTCCGCTTTCTGATTAGATCTTGAAATGACGTAAGATACTGGAATGTATAAAGCTTGTGTAAATGTGTAGTTCTAGCTTTTGTTATTGTTGTATTCGTTCCAGGTTTTAAAAAATATCTTTAAAATGACGTGTCGGACATACTACGTAAAGCAAATAAGCTAAATCGGTAATATTCAAAGACAATATAAGACCTTTTCTGCATGTAATACTATACAATGTATATGCGACTCTATGGACAATGTGTAAAAATATTGTAAATACGCTGATAACGAATATGCTGATAAAACTCCCAATATGTTAATATTTAATAATTCTAACAGAAAACAGACTTGTTGAGCCGCTAATCAGGGTTTTACCACAGGCTAGGAAATAGGCAGAAGGGTAACTCTTGTCGCTTCCATTGTTGTTTTTGAAGCTCGAGTTACCTACAGATTTCTTAATTCCCCTTTAACCTCGATTTTATTAGACAAACTGAGCAACGACAAAAAAACATCCATTTATCAGATAATAGCCGAATTATTATACATAATTAGATTTGTTCACTTTCATGGTGTATTTCGTCTCGATAAAGCTGTCTACTTTCAATTCTTAAAAAAAATCGCTACAGATACATGTTAAGCCTCGTATAATAAAACGCATGCGCTAGAATATTCAGGCTTCACCTGATAGGCAGGAGTTCCCCTTCTGTCTAATTCCTATTCTAGGGTTTTACTCTCAATGCGATCATCATGCAACTATGATAATATATTAGAATAGTTAATTCTATACAGAATTGAGTTCTCATAACTGACGTGTTGATATAAATCATCAAAAATAGTTTCACGTAACATTTGATTCAAAATTATTATTGTATTTATGCGTAATCGATTGTGTAGAAAAGAAACAGTAAAGAAGTTAGTGAAAAAATTCGTTTTTTTATTTTGTCATACCTTGCTCAATAAAGTACTTGAAAATTATCTTCTCCACGTAAAATATTTAAAGAGGAGTTCAAAGTGTTTTGGTTTCAATAAAAGACACAAAGAATGACTTTATAAGAGTATGAGAAATTGATAAGTATTTTCAGGATTTGAGTTTTGAGTAGATTTCGATAATTTTCATAAGCGTACGCAGGCGATTTATAGTACGCTCCAATTTCTTCTCGACAATTTCCTCGTACATATTTGAACCAGATCTTTCAAGCTTGATTAAGTGGAATAATTGCTTTTACAAAATACATCGCTCAATGTAAGGACATTCCTCAGTCAAGGACAGTCAGTGGCAGCTGCACAAGGCAGCGGAATTTGTTACAGAAGCATGTCTCTGAATCAAAGTTGATTTATTTTTTGACTAAGAAATGAGAAGATAGAGTTCTTAAATTATAATACGGGTACAATAAGGACCGATATATCTAAAAGTACTATATCTCCAACACGATTCTTTACAAGCCCTTGAAATTTGCCTCCTCTGCTACTCAGCAAGGCTCATTTTGATAAAGCTTAGCATGTTGTGATCGAAACTGGTGACAATTCACGTGAAAGCATTCTATCAGAAATAGTCATGCTGATCTGGTTAATCAAATATAACAAATAACAATTGAACAAACAAGTAGTCGTGTAATGAAAACCAACACAAAGCATCGACTGTTAATTCATTTAATCTCTCAAAAATTACATATGATATCAAAGGAGCAGGGGCGTTGCCCAATAAGGGATACCAGAGGGGCTGTACCCTCCAATGCTTTGTCCTTCGGCACACAAATAACTTTTGTTGGGCTAACGAAACCTTTTAAAAATTGAAACATAATTAATTGTAACCTTTTGCATAATTTTTTACGCAATAAAATTTCTGTAGCAGGTGAATTTTCAAACAATGGCACTAAAATACTGAATATTGAAATAGAATCGCATAAAAGGAACAAAAGAAATTATTCCTCTTATAACTACGCCTTTTTTATCAACAAAAATCATTTATGTACCCTTCCGAACAAATTGTTTGCTTCGCTCCTGTAATGGAAGATGACTATTTTTTAGCAATGGAGATTAGGTGCAGCAAGCCAAACCGACGGTGTTCAAAAATTTGGATGGCTGGTTGAAAATTAATTTCAAAGGATCTTAGTATCGTATTTATTTTCGGGTCACTCTGTTAAACATGATGTTCTGAGCTGTACGGAAAATAATGTCTAAAAAGAAGATTGCCTGCTGAAACCTTAACATCTGCGTATTTATGCCTCACCCTCTCCCTCTAAAAATATATAGAAACAACTGAGAGAGCTGTTATTAACTTAAATGTCAGCTTTCCAAACGAAAAGATTGAAATATCTTTAGCTGTATTTTAAGTTACCATTGGTAGATGATATTTCATAAAATTTCCTTAGATTTTTTTCCGTACCATATGTTGATATGGTCGACGCATTCAATGATGAGCGAAACTCTGTGAATTTTGCGGAGAAATACTGGAAATGAAAATGTTATCGATTTGCTATCTAGAAATAATCCAGTCATTTTGAATAGAATAAGTGACACTTGTTTGCAAAGATTGGATGCGCCGTGTTTTGGGATTTAGGTATTAGTGAAGAATTCTGATAGGAGCAACGATCAAATGAAAGTAAACGTCAGGTAATATAAACCTGTTGAACATATCTTGATGTAGGTTTCTTCGTTACAAACGTACTGCGGTAAAATCTTATCTTATGATTAGCAAGATAAAATTATTATGCTTTAGCTATAAAAATGGAAGACGATCACACTGGAAAAAAGGCATACAACTTAAGGTGTAAAATGTCGCAAAGGGGCACCTCGTACCGAAAATTTCGAGGCCTTGCCCTTCAGAACGCCGTAACGGCTCTTTAGAAAGTAATTTCACTTACAAAAATAAATTCTTCTCACTTTACATTTATGAACAGTTCGATGCAGAGAAGATATCAAACACTACAAAAATAGATATAGTTATCTAAAGGATAATTAAACACCAAGCTTACAAAGTAAAGTTAAAAACTAAAACATATAATTAAACAAGATAAAACACCAAGACAATGAGCAAAATAGGGTTCCCAGCTAGAAAGAACTGTACTTAGGATCCGTTAGAGTGAACGTTCCAAAATTGCATTAGAGAAAACTTCTCCAGCAGAAAGATATATTTCTGCAGATTTGACCTAAAGTTTACTCTCTTATTTTTGCGAATAATATAACTTTACCTATCCTAGTAAGTCTGTTTATACATCACATCTATCCAAGTTGTTCTTCGATTTTTTCCTTATTTGTCACTAACTACTGTTCTCTACCTCCTTGACTTTTGTTTAGAAAACCAAACGTTTAACTAACTGTAAGCAATCAAGTAAATCTATGCAACCGAAATAAAAATAAGTTTAAAATCGCCTCTATAATTCTTGTCTTTTACATCGTAACTAGATATGGCCTAAAATGGCGATCGCACCTCTTTTGTCCAATGGAGATTTTTCTACTATAGACAGAAAAAAACCCGCCCTTGAAAGTTTGCTTATTGCACGCCATAGGTTTTACCCAAGGAAATTTGGTGTCCGATTCCTACCGCCAGCTTGCCTAAATTCTAGAGGCATGTCATGCAACGCCAAACAACGATAAGCAACCATCACGGGAGGGTACATATAGTGTATAGTGTATAGCGACCAGTACAAATTAAGAAACTTTATCGTGCCTTCGCTTGTATTCTTTTTGCGCCAAAATTTTACAACCTGCAACAATGTGATCAACATTTTCCACTCGCTCTTTGTATAAACGGCATTTATTTGTTGCTGTTGTATGATAAATGTCTTTCATTACCGCATCAGCGCCTGGCCTTGTGCAGCTACTAACAAACTCTCTTTTTCTCTTTTTAAATCTCCACTTCGGAGCCACTCCCATGATGATTCGCCCATGTAACTGCATTGCTTCAAGTTTTTCCTTTCTCTCACGGGTAACCCTACCTTGGTGTTGATTCTTCTCCTCCAACTCAGCATCAGTTAGTCCCATTTCAACTGCATCTTGATTAAAAAGCTGTTCTTCACCTTTTGCAATATAATGTCCTACTGATCTTGTTTCTCCATTCACACAGTCAGAAATGTTGATAAGTCCCCTTCCTCCAAGTTTTCTTTTCATGTACATTCAAATGACATTTGCTTTACGGTAGAGCACTCCAAGCATTATTATTATTGCTATCACTATTACTATTATTATTATTATTATTATCTTTATTATTAATATTATTATTATGCCTAGTAACATCTTTAACTTTACCATCAAGTATCTTAACAACACTCTTCCAACTCGTAAAAATCTGCTGAAATGGAACCTTAGTCAAACATCTGACTGTGAATTCTGTCTTCTTCCAGAAACACTTCTACACGTTGTTGCTGGATGCAAAGTGTACCTTGACCAAGGACGCTATACTTGGCGTCATAATTCTGCATTAAACTTTTTAGCCACTTCCTTCTAAGCAATCAATGGGTCTTCTCTCTACGCAGATTTACCAGGCTTTCTTTCTCCTTCTATCATAACTGGAGATCAACTACGCCTTGACTTACTTCTCAAAACTAAGGAAAACTGTCTGTACGTTTTAGAGCTAACCATAGGCTTTGAAACAAATCTCAACTGCAATGCTGTCAGAAAGTCAGGGAAATATGCCACCCTCGTATCTGACTTAAAACGTCAGTTTAAGTCAGTCTCGTTTGTCAATCTTTCCATCAGTTCACTTGGTATTTTTGGCGACTCCTGCAGCTCATTCATCGACATGTGTGACTCTTTGTCCATTGATCATCAACAGAAACGCTACCTCATCTCCAAACTTACAAGCATCTCCATTCGCACCACATACTATATATTCTGCTGTAGAAACAAAACTTGGACTAATCCAGAGCTACACCCCTTTTAACATTTTTTTTCTCATTACTACGATGTAATAGTTTTTATTTTGTAAACACAGGCTAGCCAGTTACAAATTACCTTGTAATAGTGAGATTTGTAATTGTAGTTTTAACAGGAATTCAAAATGAAAAGTTTCCATAATACTTGATAATTATAATAATAATAATATTAATAATTATACGCGAGAGAAAGGAAAAACTTACCATCTCAGGGAGCTACAATTACCTTCCTACTGAAAAATTCACTGGAAAAGCTGAACTGTATTCGGTCAAGTACACAAAGCAATTTGCCTAGTAACATCTTTAACTTTACCATCAAGTATCTTAACAACACTCTTCCAAATCTGCTGAAATGGAACCTTAGTCAAACATCTGACTGTGAACTCTGTCTTCTTCCAGGAACACTTCTACACGTTGTTGCTGGATGCAAAGTGTACCTTGACCAAGGCCGCTATACTTGGCGTCATAATTCTGCATTAAACTTTTTAGCCACTTCCTTCTAAGCAATCAATGGGTCTTCTCTCTACGCAGATTTACCAGGCTTTCTTTCTCCTTCTATCATAACTGGAGATCAACAACGCCCTGACTTACTTCTCAAAACTAAGGAAAACTGTCTGTACGTTTTAGAGCTAACCATTGGCTATGAAACAAATCTCAACTGCAACAAACCTCAACAGAAAGTCAGAG